GTGATATTTCACTTCTTCACGCAGACGCAATTAGATGGGAAATTATTAGCGAAATGTTAAAAGCAGACGTGCGATTGAATATCAAACACCAACAACGCGGCAATAAAATAATTATGCAACCTCAGGTCAACAATCTCCACTCTAAAATAATACCTTTTAAAAATTCCACACCACCACACCCCAAGAACATTGCCGCCGCCAAAGACACACAACAATTCACAATTCACCTTTCCACTAATTCAGTCAGACCATCTTTCTTACACAAGCATGCACTTATACACATTCACTCATTCATTCGTTCGTTCGTTCATTTGTTCGTTCATCTGTTCGTTCAGTTATCTATGCGTCTATTCACAGATACACACATACATACACACACATACACACACACAGTCAGACTCATTTAAAATACCTACGTATCGAGATGACAGGTTACAAATGTAACCTTAATGTAATGACAATTACTTCCAAATTCACATGCCAGGCAATTTATAGTGAGCGCCATTAAAAAATCCATACCCATATACAAACTTCATGCAAATACGACTTTTTGAACGAACTGCACATGTTCTATATGCCTACATACATACATACATACATACATACATACATACATACCACAGTGAAATGTGTTGTGTAGGTATGCATGCATGCACTATGCGACAACATTTTTCCATGTTGAAAATAAATTAAATTGTTGAAAAAAAAAGAAATTAAAAGCGCCTCGCTCATTCATTCAACTTTTCCTCCATTCATCCCCTAATGACAACGCGATGACAAACAATTTGCTGGGAGATAATAGCCCGATGGTTTGAAGTCATCTTATGTGTATATATATATATAAGTACGTACATATGTATGTGTATATCTATATATATATATATATATAATATATGTACTTACGTATGTATATGTACACATCTGTATACACAATGTATACACACGTATGTGTGTATATATATATATTTGTATATATATATATTGTCATATTATATTCATTAATAAATTATATATATATATATTATATGTACGTATGTATGTATATATATATATATATGTACTTACGTTGTATACGTACATATCTGTATACACAATGTATACATACATCAAATATATCTATTTATGTCTATTTATTTAGTGTATAATATAAGAGAATTTAGTATCGCAGGAAGCTATAGATATAGCAGGTGGGCATTGTTGTTCTTTTAATTTACAGAAGAAACAAAAGAGGGTGAATGGCGAATGCATTCATTCGTCTGTTTATAATTTTTTAAAAACTTTTTGTTGTCACATTTGATCAATAACAAGGAAAAAAAAATTAAAACGTCATTCATTTCAAACCATTCATCATTCCACCTCGTTCAAAATAGTTCGCGACATTTTTGTAACAATAAAAATGTTAAATATAATAATGATGATGATGATGATGATGACGACTACGACGATGATGATGATAACACAACAAATACGTAGACGATGATGAATGAATGAATACTCCAAAGGAGTGTTAATAACATCCTAATATTTTCATTTCTTGCCAGGCCATGATATTTTCGAAGTCGGGGTGCCAACAACTTTGCCAGAGGAACTGCTTCCAGAATGAGTGGCTGAATTTTTTAGCGGGGGATTTCTGTATGAAAAACTTTTGTGATGGCTGTGAGATCCATGCGGCCTTCTGACCTTCTGTTTAATAAAAAAAAAATCCACTAAATTCACTTATAATATGCACTAAACAAATGAACAACACGTTTAAATTATTTTTTTAGCGTTTGTTTTGTTTCTTACTGGTGAAAAAAATGAAATGAAAATACCAAATGAAAATAAAAAACAGTAAAAATACGATGATTAATTTGTCCAGGCAGCAGATTAAATTGAAAGATTCGTGAGATGAAGAAACAAAAGGTTGAACAAACCTCAGACTGGAAGTAGGGCGTATCGTCAAGTGCATCAAATTGTTTTATACTACTCCTACTACTACTATTGCTAATGCTGTTGTTGTTGGTGTTATATTTATTACTAGTGCTATATTTACTAAAACTATTATTATTACTATTATTATTTGTAGTAGTAGCAGCAGTTGAAGTAGCAGTAGAAGCGGAAGTAGTAGAAGAAGTGGTCTTTTCCATACTGCTCTTATTATCTTTGCTTTTTTTCCTCTTGTTGGAATTATCATGAGACCTTCCTGTGAAGCGAAAACATTGTTTACGTATCATTCCATGTTTAAACTTAGCATAAACTTTATGTTTGAGGTTAGCGTAAATTTTAGAATGAAAAAGTCCAACGAAAAACGACAAAAAAAATTTGGATAATATTTATGATCATGTTTAAAATAATTTGCAGTAATAAACCTCACAGCGGAATTAAACGTCTTATAAAAAAAATTGAATATGATATATATGGTGTAAATGTATATATACCAAAAAAAATATAAAATCCTTTTTTTACGATGAATCCATAAATAAGTTGATTTAAAAGTAATAAAATTTTGTCAGTATATGAAATAAAATACTCTAAGAACCAATTTTAGAATCCGAAATAATTTATATACTAATATTTTATTTTTTCAACGCAAGCATGCATTCGTATAGATAAATGAACACGTCTAAATAAGTTTTTAAACAAACCTTCTACTAAATCTCCAGTAATTTTCTTATTTTCTGAATGAATCTGGATAAATATAAATAAGAAACCATATTCCAAAATTAATTGTAACATCAAAAAAATGTAAAAAGGCTGATGCTTGCATATGAAGGAGCGTTTAAAAAAGCATCATCCAATCATGTTCTCAATTATAACAAACGTGTTAGGCTAAATAAAGTCAGCAATGATTCAAGATTGTACAGCAAATAATAATTATTTCTAAGAGAATTTACAAATTCTCAAGCACATTCCACTAAGGAGCTAAATGAAGAAGATAATTATTTTCAACAAGACATTGTTGGAAGATTGACCTTATCACGAACTGTGTAAACAATTTCATCTTCTGAATCATCATCCTCTTCTAGCTCTATTTTTGAAACTGGAATTTCGAAATATAAAAAAATTAAATCAGTGAAATAAAAGCTGCAACATTCAACAAATAAGATGAGATTAACAAAAAGATAACCATCACTTGAAAAAAAAAACCGCCAAAGCACCATCAACAAACAAACCATTAAACAAACCAGTCCTATATTTTTCATCACCAATATTAAAATTTATGAACCAAACTGATGCTTTATTACCATAAAAAGTGATCAGTTTAAAAAATTGACCTGGTTTTTGTTTGTCTTCTTGTGTAACTTGCCGGCTGGGATGTGGTAACAACTTCCACTTTGTAAATGAAGCCTAATGGAGAAAAATTTCGCGATACAAATTTGTAACAGGACAAATCAGATGAACTCGTCAAAAATAGTTTGGCATCAGCAAGCAGTTCAAAATCAATCTAAATTATTTAAAATAGTATCATCAAAACGTAAGTTAAGCATATGTTGAATGGACAAGAAAATTAGATGCGTCATGTAGAGGATGGCTTTACATGTGAAAATTAATTCATAAGTATCCAGATCCACATGCATACATTATGTACACATGTTCAACTTCAAAAAGCATTTGCATAATATTATATCATTTACGGTCCAAACTCTACAAATACAATGAACAATTGAAATTATTTCAAGTGTTGTTAAACTGACCAATGCCTTTTTGTCCACTAAATATTCGGGAAGGTACTGTCGAAAATTATTTTATTTCTACATGTTAGTATTTACTAAAATTTTTATAATATTTGAAGATGAGATCAAAATGAAAAAATTATTACAACTAATTCACTCACTCCCTCACTCACTCACTCACTTACTGGAGCGTACGGACTGAAGATTTTGCTACGGATCATCTCTACTTTCATCACTTTGGCCGATTTTGCCTTTTGTGGCATCCCATTGTTTAGCTGCAGTGTCACGTGTTATTCATTAATTTATAACCTCCTCTTAACTTATTATTTAAAATATATAGCGCTATGATTTCTAGAAAAACTTTGTCAATATTGTTTAGTTGTTTAATTGTCAGGTTGGTTCAGTGCAATTGCGTTAAATTTAGATGATTTGAATACTAATTTATGTATTTATATTTAAATACTATTTGTAAAAATCTAAGAAGGATATATAACAAAGATTCGTAAATTATTTCTCGTTGCACGTCTCGTCATAAACCAATTTTTCTAATATCTACTAGCTACAAATTTGTTCAGCTTCTGTTAGCGCTGGGAATTGAACAAATTTTCTATACAGGTTCCACAAAAGGGAACTTTTCGCACCTAGGTTCCACACAAAAAACAATAAAACCATGGAAACGGAGGAGGTAAAAAAATGGTAAACTGGTGGACAGGAGTTAACAGGTGCAGTGAAAACAACTAAAACTGAAAAAAAAACTGCTTACACAGATGACATTGAAAAATGCAGACTGCTGATTCTTTTCAGTTTGACTAGTGACAATATTTTTCATCGGGAGTTCTATCATCTGACCACCATCAATATTATTATTCTTATTGTTGTTGTCATCATCATCACATTCTTCAAGTTCTTCTTCCTCGTCATCAGCGTATAAGCCATTCAGTATTTTTGATTCATACTTAGTGATAAAGAGGTTAAAGTTGCTAGGATGGTCCATTTTATTTGGTCCAAATGTTCTTTTGCTGGCGTTCGTGTCATCCAATGTTGAAGAATCCATTGCTGTCGTACTTGTAAGCTGGCGAGTTTTTATTTTAATATTTAAATTAAAATTTGGGACTTTATTTTCAAGAAAATTTTATAATGTCTCACTAATAATATACCAACAACAAAAAATCTTCAAATAGTTTTCTCAGCTTAAGAAAGTTAATTTTAAAATAATTTTTAACAAATTACAAAAAAAAAATAATTTGTTACTTTTTCATAAAATTGTACAATTGACACATAAATAGTTTTCCCAGTTTAAGAAAGTTGATTTCAAAATAATTTCAAAAAATTACAAATAAAAACAACTCAAAGAATTGGACTAACAAAATAGCTGTCAGGTAACTCAAGAACATTTCTGAGGATTCTATGAATGTCAGCTAATTCCTTCTTCACAAAGGTGGGCAGGGGTTTGCAGCAGGCCAGTATTCCTTCAGGTTCTCTAAAGTTTAAATGTCAAAGTTCAAATGTCAAAGTCGGGTCGTCAAAATGATAAACTATGTGCCCATTACTATGACGAGTAACCATATAATTCACCCACGCTCACTCATTGAAAATTACTTTAAACGAAAGTTAAGATTGAGAACGTAACTTATAAAAAGCAATTAAAAGCAGGGATTGCAGAAAAGGACATTGCTAGTATAAACACGAGAAATCAATGTAAAAGTCATGCAAATCTAGTTTTAAAAAAAATAACATGGTTTAAAGCAGCTTAAAACAATCAACAAAACTATGCATATCAATTTTTAAAAAATATTTAAATGAAGATAATAAATAGAGCATTAATAAGTTGGATATCTATACAGGGATGATAAAAGATATGTAGATGATGTGTTTGTGGCGGAAAAACGGAAATAACGACGCTGATGAGGTAGATGATGAAATGTGACAGTTACAGACATGAAGGAGGGTGACAGTTAGTAACACGACATACCTTGGCAGGTGCTCAGCCAGCTGAAACATCATCTGGTTTGGAAGGATGAACCTGATGTTGTTGAGTCGCTATTATAAGTTGCTGCACCATTTAAACAACAAAATAACAACAGGATAAGCAGACAACCATCAATCAATTAATGAGCGCTGATTTTAATCGTAAAAACTGAAAAAATTAAACTTAAGAGAAAAAAACTGAAATCATAATCAATTTAATAAAAAAATTTTCATTAATGACGTGAAAGAATTTTAAACAGTATCACTTCTGAAAATGTACAGAATAAACATTAACAGCGACACACGACCACCAACGACAAGACACCACAAGCAGCGAGGCAACAGCAGCAGCAACAACATCCACAGAAATACAAACCCAGTACTCTCGTCTTCGAGACGAGCAATTTTATCTCTCCAGGCAAACAGCTGCTTCAGTGCTTCCATCTGCCGGTCATTGAGGTGATGCTTGGTAGATGAAGACCTTGCCTTCAGAGCCATGTACATATCTCTATGGCTGGTTTCAGTTGTACGTGGTTTCTGATATTTCTGGTGAATTTGTAATTAAATGTTAATAAAATAGAAGAATTTAGTTTTACATGTAAATTGTAAATACAAAAAAGTAGTAAGTTTCAAAGTAAAGTTATACGACATTCAATCTTATAAAAATAACTGGCTATACTCCCCGAAATTACATAATAATAAAAACGTCATCAATCATTTTTACATCAACTTAAACATGCAACAAACAAAACTTTATGAAGCAATTAATTAGAAAAAAAAAATCTTCATTCAAAGACCTTCTTGCAGAGGTTGTTGCTGTTGGCAAATGCACTCGTCAGGAGAACGTCAGTGTAGTTGCTCTTGTGAAGCAAATCATTCCTCATGCAGTCGTACATGTAGAGCAGGTAGTGCGTGTCCTCCCTAGCGTACTTTATCAATTCAGCCGGTAATGGCCTGCCCAAGAGTAACGTCTTTTACATTAAGACATCAATATAAATGAACTTTTATAAAATCGCGTAAAATTATTATATAACCATATATGTAAATAAGCCAAAAAATGAAGACCTGATCCTCCAATCAGCAAGTTGATATTGTTTATCGGCCTTGACATTGCAGTAATGTTGAAGGGCATATGCAAATGAGAAGTAGGGCAATCCGAGAATCCTGGAGGCCTGTCCAGTGTCAAACATTCCAACTAGGTACACTCCGAAGTCTTTCTGCAGCCAGACCACATCCATATCTGCACCGTGCAAAACCTGCTTGGCATTTTGTGAAATAAAAATATGGAGTTGAAAACTTAGTAAAACGATCTCAATTAAAATTGTTTGAATAAAAGGTGAAAAAGAGAAAAATTTTTATTTTAAATTTTACTAGAAAATTAACCTTAATGATATTAGGGTTTGTAAAAACGCAGTTGATCTTATGTATGCAGTGCCTCAACGCCAACGTATCTACAATGATGTCTTCATCTCTGGTCGAGAGCTGCATGAGACATGTGAAGCCCTGGAAACTTCTGAAGGAATGGTGCTGCCAGGTAGTAGAGGAATATGATAAATTTTATAAATTATAAAAGGATATATTGAAAAATCAATGAATTAATTGTTTAATTTAAACTACAACTAAAATAAAAACTAAACAAATAAATCATCATTGAATCAACATTGTTATTACTATACCAAACATTTGTGGATAGCACCAAAACTTTCTAATCAACACCAACCTCCAAATCAACTGCTATTTCAGTCACTGACTTCAACTTTTCAATTAATTCATCAAACTTTTCCTCCGTGTCGACGTACGTGAATGGTGTCGTCTCTACACCTTTTGGAACCTTTGGGCAGTTTGTGAACAGTTTAATTTAATAATTGAATATTTAACAAGTTTGAATCATGTGCACATCAAAAGAATTTTCTGCTACAACAATTTACAAACTTCAACATAAATAAACATAAAAACAGGTAATGTATTTAAATAAAATGCAATTAACTGGAATAATTCAATTCATTTTTTCAATTTGCAATAATAAAAATTAATCATTCACATAAATCATTTCCACAAAGCAGAAAGCATAAAATGTTTGACTGACATTCAGGCAGCAAAATATTAGTTTTAAGAACATACAAAGGATGAAAAAATGATTGAGGTGAAGAAGAGTCAGTTAGTCACCTGAGTGATTACTTTTTCAAGGAGTTGCTGCGCTGGTCGAAACAGATCAAGTTCATATTGATATGGATGTGGATACTCAAGGCTTTATTACAAATTTTATTTTCGATTTAAAAATTTATTAAAAAAATTATTAAATTTTTAAACAACATTTGTTAAATTTTAATATTATATAATTAGTAAAAATATAAAAATGAAATGAATCTTTCTAAAAAAAATATGTAACATCTAACTTGAGATCATCAATATCCTCTGTACTGGCTTCCAATTTCAAGCTTTCTGAAAAATTATCAGATGTGAAAATATAATAAAAAAATGGTATTAAATGAATATAAGTGAATAAAAATAAATAAATATAGAAATAACGCAAAACTAATAATTAAAAAGAAGAGATTAAAGAATAGAGAGAAAGAGACCTCCAAGTGGAATCATGGCATTCGGCTTCTCAGTAATTTTTGGCAGGAAAGGACTGTTCGAGTTGTCAATTTTGTCTTTGAATTTATCCTGAGACCTCGTGACAACTTTGCTCGTCATCAGGGTGTAATTTGACACCTAAGATGTTATTAAAAATGTTCATTCAGGTAGAAATTATTATTGTTCAACTCTGTTGGATGATGCTATTAATGAAAATGTCAATAAAAGCTTGATAAAATAGTCAAAGTATAAATATATAATGCATCAGCATTTTCAAACACACACTGAAACTTGAGTACAAACGTACTAAATGCACTGACAAATATAAGTTCAGATGTACTAAAAACACATAATGATATACAAATCAATAATCATACATACTCAATACATATACACACGCATACAAATTACAATATACACATACAGATGTTTTGTTGAAAGAAGCATTGTGTGGTTTTTCAGCCACTGGTGAAGATGACATCAACATAGAAGATGACGACGACGATGATGATGGTGTGGGGACCGAAGATGTCAAACACAAGTTGCTCAGTCTGGATGACACAATCAGTGATGCAGCCTTCTTAGGGTTGGAAGCGTCATCGAGGTTTGTGCCCTGTTTACAAATTAGGAATACAATAAGAAATTTTAATAATAAAGATGCTTAATACATGAAACTTTTAATATTATAAATGTTTAATGATAAAAATGCTAATCAATTAAATTAATCAAAATTTTTTAAAACAATAATACTTTCATTTTTCTCATATATTTATACCTTAATAAAAATATTTTCATCAATGAAAAGAGAAGAAAATGAAAAAAAAAGATATATCTAACTATTCTATCCATCAGCTGATCACAAGCATCCGTCAGGAGGTCGTATCTCTCTTCAACATCCAGCAATTCTGAAGAAATATCGGTCTTCAAGTTGTGCTTCGACAGAATAAGCTGGATGCTTTTGTCAAAAAAATTATAATAGTTCTAAAAACTTTTTCAAATAGTGTAACAAAAACAATAATTCATTTAACAGAAGCAACATCGATAAGTTAAGCCCTCCTTGTGGTGTTGGTGGTAGGCACAACTTAATTATTTCCATTTTAACTTACAGGTTCAGGATCCTCTTGCCGTGGTGATTGGTCAGATGCGTGAACTCATCGTAACTGGTCCAGCACTCAAAATCACTGCCACTGACGGGCAAACTGTCGACGTGCTTTCGTGATTCTGTTACTGCTTTGAAAACTGTCTGCAATCATTAATAAAAAATAATTTTTAAATAACTTATCAAATATCTTATCAAATATTTAGAATATCTTATCAATTTATAATATCCTATCAAAAAGACGACAGTATTAATAACCAATATTTTATAAAATGTATTTTTTGTATAGTAATTTAACTGAAGCATTATACTAAAATTTACGCACACAAACTCTTCATCCTCATCATGTTAAAATACTACTACTACCAAGTCTATTATATATTATTAGTAACCCAAACTTCGGGCAAGTAAAAAAATTCCTACAGTTTCTACTTGTCAGATCTACTAGACCAGAAGCAAAAACCAATGCAAATGTTAGTGCATAACTGCATAGCATAGCACATATAGCTAGCATAACAATAGCTACTTATGACTCTCAAATGCAGAATGATCATATATTAAAAACATGAAAATTCACGTAACTGTGAGTTATATTATAAATAAATATTTAAAAAATACAAATCAAATAGTAATCAATGTTAGTTTGTAAGTCTTCATCATGAGTTAATATTTGATTTGCTACTGTTCTATGCTATGAAATGACATGACGTGATGATTGGCTTCAAATTCAAAAAGATCCTCACCTATCATTATCATTGATTAATTGAAATGATTGAAAAATAAAATTATTAAAAAATTTCAAAGTTAAAACTTAAAACTAAAAGAAACATTTCTATCATAATATGATAATCATATCATGCCTTCACTTTTCTTTTTACTGGATCAAAACAAAATTTATCGTTTAATTATTTTGGCAAAATCCTAGGACAGTGCCTACAATGTAATTGAAAATTATAAATGCGGGAGATATGTATGAAAAAGAGTGCACATAAACAACGACCAATGAGATAACTAGAAAAGTGAACGCAACACAGCTGTAACTTAATGAATGAACAAAAATACGGAGCTATCGAAGTGTTAATGTCACGAATATAAAATATCAATTAATCTATTGCAGGCAGCAATATAAACTAGTATTTATATAAATTAAATTTTTGGACAAAAAGATTGTATACATTTTATTCTCTTTTACCATCTCAAAATTTGTATTTTTTTACATTAAATAATATCAAACAAATGTACTAATAAAAATAATTATAAAAAACTGAAATTAAGAAAAAAGAAAAATTAAGGTATCATAGTCCCTAGCATATGTTGCATTTCCGTCTAACATGTACAATGATATTTCCAAAAGGCAACTTACCAAATTTTTCTCTCCACATAAATTCAGCTAAATATGTAACCTTCAAGTCTTTGGATGTCCCATACATATATTTAAATGTACGCTTCAATCTGGCCCACATCGATTCGATATTTTGTGTGTGTGCACCCGTTACTGGATCAACAAAATTTACACTGTGATTCACTGTGATGTGAGTATAACCCAAGTTGTTCAACTGACTGTATGCACGCCACTCATCAGAGACTATTGTTATCCCAGGAGCAATCCATTTTTGAATGAGAGGGATTAGAGTTTGTGAGTCTCGTGCCTGTACCTCCTCTGCAAAACATATTCTTGTCCCTCGCTGTATTCCTCCAAACACCCATCCATCTTTATATCTGTTGTTTCTTCCCCTATAATATTTTGCCTTCAGAATATTAGTTTCATCTATTTCTACAATTGTTCCGGGACCCCCAATCTGTACAAAATTATCAATACAACGGTCTATACAAACGTCCCGGCAAAAATTGTACCAGTCCACGACAGTATTTTTATTTATGCCAACCTCCCTTGTTGTCAAATATACAGGCATTTTCCATGCCCAACAATAAAGAATTTGTATCGTTTTTGACATCCCTAATTTACTATTTTTAAAAAATGAATCCTTTTGAATACTTGTCTTCATTTGACAATTTTTTTTGGACATCGCCAAATGACTTGGTCAACTTTATTAACTAAATGAATAACCTCTTACATTTCTTCCCCGCAGTTTTTGCAAAACATTTCCCGATGCAACAGTCCATTAAACCTTAACCACTGCCTAGTTATTCTACGATTTCTAGTGAGACGATATAGCTTGTTAAAATTTAAACAATTTAATATTATTGCCTGATTCATTTTACAATAAATCGTCTTTTTCAAAAAAGGAACTACGACGCGCGAAAAAAGATGTTTCATTTTGGGCATATTCGAACAGCTATGGCACGCGTAAATCATAACCACTTCAAAATAATAAAAATTGTTTCTGCGGCATTTTTACTAGATTAATGAAAAAAAATGTACTAATAACAAATCAGCATTGTCCTAGGATTTTGCCAAAATTTTATTTGTTAATTATTTGGTATTTTCATTATTCCATTTCATTTCAATTTTTAATTATTTGATGATATAAATGGCCAATAAGATTTTTTTTTTCCATTTTTACTATTTTAATAAAAATTATTTATTTCATTTTATTATTTTAATATAAATAATTTAAAATAATAAAATTTGACAGTTCCGTATTTTTTTAAATTTCTTACATTATGTTTCTACATTGTGCTCACAATCTCATTGGTCATTGTTTATGTGCACTCTTTTTTTATACATATCTCCCGCATTTATAATGTGTTTTCAATTGCATGGTAGGCACTGTCCTAGGATTTTGCCATTATTTTTTTTGATAAATTTATCTTTTAATAAACAATCCTGTCACTAATCAGCACACATCATCCTAAACCCTCCTAACAGAAACCAGTCATAAATCAACGTGATACTGGAGGCGATAATACAAAAAATTTAAATTAAAAACAAACCTGTGAAAAATCTTCCACAGACAAAACTGCATCGTTCGTATCCATCATAAATCAACTTAAATAAAAAAACTTTTAAATCTATTTGCAAAAATGAAATGCGATAAAAAGTTAGAACGACACAAATTTATTATATTCAGCACATTGTATCAACAATAGATATAAAAACATAAACATCTAAAGGGCTAATTTTATTAAAAATGTGAATTTCATTAAGCGAGTTATTCCGAGAGATCACCTCACGAACTTTTAACAATTTTGCTCAATTTAAAATAATTTTATGTTGTTTTTTGATTTTTTTTTTGTTAAACGTAAAAAATAGAAATATTTTATTTTGCCCGTATTCGAGTTATGGATATTTAAATAAACTCTAAATGATTATTCATGCTGCGACTGTTGGGATGAATTTTAAAAATTCACCGTTTGTATTGAAAACATTCACGGAATTTCTAATAAATATCAACTTAGAGAGAATTCTTTAAAAGTACGAGACAGCCGAACTAAAATTATTTTGCAAAACCACTTCAATCCTTACTTTACAAGTAAATAAGGATTGTAAATCTTCTTAAATTATTGTTCATTTTTTTCATTAATATCATTTATGATTTATAATATTGGTGTGTGTGTGCGTCTGTATTTGTGTGTATTTTAAAGTATTTTTAATTAAACTTGGCTTCATTTTTGTGTTCACTGCATATTCCACAAAATCTAAACTTAATTTATGTTAAATTATAATTTTGTTAAACCATACAATAGATAGTATTGATTGAGTACTTTTGTCTGCAAATATATAGATATGTCTCAAACAAAATAAAATATTTTTAATAAAGATTAATTGCACAATCAATCCTCAAATCTAATGCTGATGGGGTTTAGTAGAGTTGTAATTTTATGATGTATCAGTCTGTTTCAAGCTATGATCCGTCTACATTGGTAACTTAATCACTTTTCATTACAAGTCTTTTTTCAATATATTATATAACAATAAATAACTTAAACAATTTTTTAAATAAACAGAATTTTACATGTCAATACAATAATTTGAGATACAGTTCAAATACTCCACAAACATCTTATAGTAGATTTCCAACATCACAAATGCTAACTTATGTATGTAATGTGTTTTTTTTTATTTTGATGGTTAGTAAACATTTGTTTCTTTCTTATTTTTATGTACATAGTATCCTAATTTGAATCAAAATACTGCTCTTTGTCAAACATCTCTGCCATATTCACAACATGGGACAAATTCTGACAATTATTCTCAAAGAAATCTTCAGTACAGGCACGTCAGCATGCATGATGGTTGGAACATTAAAAATTTTTTATATTTAAAAAATGAAATAATTTTAATCAAAATGTTTACAGGTAATTCAAATGTGTGTTCTAATAATATACAAGCCCGCAAGTTTGTGCAAGCACGCCCTAAACACATTGTTAAAATAACCAATCCTGAGACAGGGGATAACATTTTTATCGAACTGGGGAAAGGAAAAAACACAAAAGTGTCAATTTTATCAGAAGCTGAGAGTGTGTCATCTGAGTTGAATGAAACGGAGGCTAAGGTGACATCTCATCATTCTTTGATAAATTTAAAAATCTGTATTTTGATATTGATGAATGTGAATGCACAGCACATCAATGTATTAGTACATTGAAATGTGATTGTGTACTTTCCACAAAATTCAAAATTGACATCCTAAGAATATGAATCGATGCCTGTAGAAGTTTATAATTATAAACTATCCACTAAGTGTGTTTTTTTTTTTAAATTAAAAGAGAAACACTCCAAAAAAATTATGAAAATATTTAACATATGTAACCCTCAACCAAATTTCAAGTTAGCTCTTTTGAATGATTGTTTGTCAGATAGCCTATCAGGTTCTAAGATTTTTATCATCAAAATTTATACCAATCTTGAATAAAAGTATTGTTAATAAATTAATAAATGATATTTATTTGAAAAAAATTAATGACAGGGTGAAAACTTAACCAGTGCAGTAAGTTCCACGGTGGCAGGTGATTCAACTACTCTTCTGCCACTAACCTCCAATTCACATTCAACTTCTGACAATCTTCATCATCAATCCAAAGTTGCACTTGTCAACAATGAAAGCACTCCAGTGCAGTCCTGCAACTTAAGCCTCACAATTGATCATTCCAATGTACCTTCATTCTCCCCAACAAGTTTAGCAGTATCTATGGCAAATTTGACAATCCAGGAAAGCAACTCTCACCTGACAGATGCCAATAGTGCTAAACCGGTAGTAGTGAAGAAGAATGTTGCATTTCAAAGCCCTCCTCCTAGCATTCATACATTTCAAAATTCTGAACACCTGGGTTCAACAGTAGTGCACAAAAATCAGTTCCACGTACCTGGAAATGGAAATTTCATAGCTTCTGGTCGAACTTCAATTAAAGGTTATGAATATAACAGAAGTTCTTATAGATCACCACAGACGTATGCTTCACCACAGCCACAGGTAAATTGTGTAAGGTTCAACGCATTTACGGAACACACACTACTACCTCAACACTATGGAGATCAATCGTCCAGTTGCTACTACTCCCCCACCAGTCCAAACGGCATTCCACATCAGTTTTACCAATCTTACCCCTATTACTCAATCAACAACATTGTCAATTCCATTTCACCTGTTAAACAAAAAATTAAAAAATTGTCTGAACTTTCCTCTAGCAAAATAGTTCAAAGCACTAGCCAGAGCAATGGCAGTGGTTCAAACAGTTCTGAAGAATTATCCTTAGGGTATGATGAAAATACAACACAGCCATCTTCAGATGGCAAAAATAGTCTGAATGAAATACTTGATGAATCAAAACTGGAATGCCAGGTGTCTAATTTCGGCGGTAATGCTCAAAAGAATGGTGAATGTGAAAATCAGAAATTACTAAAAACCATCCACAACAAGAATAATTTATCTATGAAGTTTGAAATAAGTATAGCTGACAATAATGAAAGTACTAACAATGAAAGCTCAGCAGAAGGTACCAGCAAGATGAAGGAGGAGACTTGCGAAGTTACAACTAGCAAGGATATTAATAAGGATGGTTCTCTGGATCCGAATGCTAAATCATTTGTCTTCTCCGGCAATCTCTCCAGCAAAGCTTTCTTCTTTGAAGGCGAGGTAGTTGGAGAAGCCTGCGTCCAGAAAGCCAGATTACTTCCGCCGTTCAGTAGGGATTTGTTTCCGCTGGATGGAGATAAAGCTCGCAACATTGGTTAGACGTTTCAAAAGTTTATTTAATTCTAGTGTTTCATTTCATTTCTATAACTCAATAACTGCATACTACTGTACGATAAACATTGATGAAGAGCAGCGGTGGCATTGCAACGCCGCGAATTATGCTAATGATAAAGTAAAGTGTGTATACTGTACCGTTTGAAGTGCCTACACGTTGTTGTTTGGATTAACTACAAACTACACACATGGTACATATAACTGCTTAAACGTATATACTTACATATGATGATGCCCGTATTGCATGCATCCTATACTTCATAACCTAATGTATATAATATTTATATTTGTACAAAAAGTTTTCCGCATAAGCTGTGAGCTTCTCTTAATATATGCATATGTATGTATAAATATATATGTACACTTAATATAAATAAAATGTAAAACTCATCTAAATGTTTTTGGAAAGGCTTGCTTTGTGTATTTCACGCCAATTTCGTTTTTAAGTTTCTGTTGATATGATGTTTTTGCGGTTTGAAAGTGCATAAATGATACCCATCATATAATAATGAGAATCAGTTGACTCACCTTCATGGAGTTCTCATCTATTCCGCTGTTTTCGTTTTCAAAATTTCGAATCTGAGTCCTATTTATAAAATAAAACGATTCAGCTGAGGTTGCGTGATTTAGAATTTTTGTTTGGTTAAAAAAAAATCAAGTTACAATTTTTCACTAATTTAATAATAATTATCTAATTCTGTAAAAGTAAAATATGACCCCTGGGACAGTTTAACAGCTGATCCTTAAGTTCACCAGCATTTGCAAAAAAAAGTGCAAAAGTTTTGAGTACTTTCGGGAAAGATTGTTATTGTGAAAACTCGTCCTTAACTTAAGGAAGTATCTGAGGGAAGAAGGCGAATATGTTGCAGTCCAGAGAAAATTTAAACTCGTCTGACAACAATTTAAATACTATCCACTTGACATCATCTTCTTCAAACAAATCTAAAAAGCACAAACGCCGACCGAGCAGACGACGGAGCAACACGCCCAGTTGTAATTCATCTAACACTTGTGAATCAGAGAACGCTAGGAGTCATTCAAAACTTTGGTCTAGAGGATCAAGTACTTCTTTATTTACATCTAGTCATGATAATCCCACTAGAAGACCTAGTGTTCCAGCTCTGCATTCTTCATCTAGCTCTAATAACGTTCGCTGTCACCGCCCCCCACTACCACCAGAAAATGGTAATGCACACACGACTGATTGGTTAAGTTTAATTTAACGAATTGCAAATAGTGCAGATTTTTTAAAAATTTGTTGATCTATTTTCAAACTATCTGAAATGCAACTAATTTTTGCCTTATAGTAGTTTATTTTTTAAATTATGAAAGGTCATGATAATAGAAGATTTGGAAGTAGAAGTTCAAATGTTAATCTTGAAGATGAAGGAATGCTACGGTGGTGTGAGAAGGTTGTGCACAATTATTTGGAAAATTTAATTGAATGTTAAATTATATTCTTCTTATATTCTAAAGAGAGAACAAAGTAGTCAGAAGTTGAAGATGTCTAGATCAGAGTCAGAAGGAGGTAACCTGGAAAAAGTATCTGGTTCCAATCATGTAATTCAAAGTACAAAAGATTCTGCTTCGGGAGAAAAAAAAGCAGATGAAAATAACAAGGGCATGCTAAAATTTTTATTTGTTTTAAATCTTTTTGCATTTTTTCAACATTATTTGTCTAGATGTAATTAATTTTCCTTTTAGATGGTAGGATTCAGTACAGCAGAGAGTTCTTGTTGAACTTACAATTTGAACCGGATAGTTTGAAAATACCAAAAGATCCAATCACATTTCCAGAGATAATTCATTCTGGGATGGTTAGTTTATTTCTCTACAGCACCATCTAATGTTTAGATTGCTGATTTTGTTTACCTTAATAATTATATTTACTGAATAGAAGCCAGGAAAACATCCAAACAACAGTCAGATGTCTGACAGTCAGCATCGTGCAATAAATAGCAGACAAATTGTGTTAGGAGATAGCAACAACAGCTTTACCAACCCATTGCTAGTTCAACCTATTTTCAACAACGGTCTCAACAATGTTGGAATGGGCTCTAAAAGTTCCAGCATGTCTCTACCGTCTATGAACCAGCAAAATAGTTTTGTATCCCCTAGATTTCCACACCCCAACCACCCTGCAATGATGATGATGATGGCTGGGCATCAGCAACAACAACTGAATCAACTGCAGCAACAAAGACAATTTTTGCAGCAGCAGCAACTACAACAGCAAAATGCATTGAATAATGGTCGTCAGTTGAAAGGCAAACCACTTCTGGGGCAGCAACAAGTTCTACAGCAGCCACAACAACAACAGCAGCAGCAATCTTTGCAACAATCTTCGCAACAACCTTTGCAGCAACAACAACAACCACAAAGGAGGGTTATTCAAATGTCTCTGGGTCAAAATGTGCAGCTGCATCAGTCTGAAAATGCATGGAAACCGATGATGCTAGCCAACAGGAAAGATGATCTTGGCCTCTCTGAAAACTGTAGCTCAGTCAGTTTTTCTTCTTTTTTTCTAAAACAATTCTTAAAAGATTATACAATCTGTATGGCTCAAGAATAATTTTTTCACCTATAAAAGTGTTTTGTTTGCTTCAGATTGGTTGCACCAGTTGATTTACTTTTCACAGGATTAATTTTGTCAATCCATCATTTATTATTGACCTTGTAGCCATTTTACCGTCAGGTATAAATATGAATTTGGCTTATTTCAGATTCTGGAAGTCTTCATTTGATAGCATTAAATTTATTACAGAATTTGTTTTTGATATTGTTATAAAATTAGCCATCACGGTAGTACACAGGCAGGCTTGAACATGCATACTTGAAATAACTACATAAGTGTCTAAGCCAGTAGTGGGTGCAAATAATATGCACTGGAATAAAAAATTTGTTGAAAGGGCCAAGTACACAAACAAGTAGAAAATAAATGAACTCCTGTCTAGAAATAGAAAGACTCATCAAACCTTGTTTGAGAAACCTAAAATCTTTCATTTTTCAAACTGGCAATTTTTCGCTAGTACTTAAACGTAAATGTTTCTTCTTTGGGACACGCTAAATTGAATGCTACACTAATGTTATGACCAGCTTGAAATGAAATGTGTGGCTGCCGGTAAACAGGGCATTAACTTTTAATATTTTTGCAATTAAAATTTTCTTGATGCATAAACAGAGTTGTGAAGTTTTTTTTAAACTGCTTAACAAAAATTCAAATAAAGGTACATTAAACATTTATTATAAGGTTAATTAGAATTAGAAATTTGTTCATCAACTGTATTACACACCTGAAATAATTATCTAAATGGTTATTTATTCTGAAATGTATAAATATATTATGATAGTTTTTCTCCTCTCCAGGATTTGTATCGCAAAGTTAGGAGCATCCTCAACAAATTAACTCCACAGAAGTTTGACACCCTCATTCAGCAAGTTCACGATCTCTCCATTGACACAGAGGAGAAACTAAAGGGATGTATCAAGCTTATCTTTGAGAAGGTTCACGCTAATGTGAACCATTAGCTTGATCCATTTTAAATCTCTTATAATAATTTATAATTATTGATCGGGGTAGTGTGGCTTGCTGTTGTGTGGTGTGGTGTTGTTCTCACCGTATGAAATCATGGGAAAACTGGGTAGACCCTTTATATTATTTTTTCATTGCTCCGTCATCAAAAAAGCCCGTTTTGAACAAATCCAAGCAAATTCGTTTAAAATTTTATTTCAAAATGTTTGACTTCTCTTAACTAAGAATGTCGACGACCTTTCTGTGATTAGTGATGGTTAGAAACAAAGCAAAAGATGCTTCAGTTTTAAAACTGTTTGAATGTTTATCTGTTATAAATGTTTCTCAAGTAATAAACATGAGTAAAATCTTAGCAGATTGTGGTGACAAAAAATAAATATTAACAAATGTTTTGCAGTTATGAGTGAAATGTTTTTCTATGAAATATGTACTACTTTTAATTTAAAACAGAATCTTTTTAAAACATGGCTGGCACTCCTTCTTCCTAATTATTTTTTAATTAAAAAACAATTGTCTAATTTAATGTTTCGTTACTTATAATTTAGGCCATTGGTGAGCCCAGTTATTCAATTGCTTATGCTCAAATGGCCAAGAGTCTCAACAACGTTCGTTTTTTTATTTGTTTGTCAATTCATTTATTACTTAATCAATTTATTTATTCATTGAATTGTAAATATTTATTTCCATGCTACTTTTTTTTCTAATTCCCTTTTGTTCCTGCCCTGAACGTTACAGCTGAGAGTGCATATGGATGAGCAACCGAGTGAGACGGTCACCTTCCGAAAGTTGTTACTGAATCAGTGCCAGAAGGAGTTTGAGAAGGATAAGTTGGAGGAGATTGACCTCGAGAAGATGACCTTGCAAATCGAACAATCAACCTCCGTTAGTAATTAATTATTCACCGCTAAAATCCGATGCTTTAGATTATCATCTAGATAATGTTTTAAATGATTGCTAGGTATAAGTTTACATTGATTTTATTTCATTAAAAAAAATACGATTGTCTGAAATTGAACAGGAGAAAGAGAAACTTCAGTTGACTGAAGCCAAGCAGCAGGCTGAGAATGTTGCAAAGAGGAGGTCCATTGGTAACATCAGGTTCATGCCACGGCTTAATTTACTCTCACTACAAATTCAACCTTGTTTATATGACCTTAAATGAATAATTTTTTGCTACAATATTTATGATTTAACAATTTTGGTGGAGATGATTTAAGAAATGCTAAGTTAAGCTAGGTCGTTTAACTAAAATAGATAAATAAACCAGTACATATTTTTACTTCCTGTATGATTTCGCTGTCCCAGATTTATAGGCGAATTATACAAGTTGAAGATGTTGACGGATAATATAATGTTTGAATGCATCAATCGACTCTTGAAGTACTCGAATGATGAGGACAACGTTGAATGCCTCTGTCGTCTGCTCATCACCATTGGATTCGACCTTGATAATGCTAATCCATTATCTAAGGTTAATAATTCTAACATTTATTTTTAATAAAGTTTAGCGCATGAATTTTTTGGTTTTGTGACGCGATTATATCAAATCAGTGTTGACAATGCTCGTCATTATAGCGAGGTAATTATTAAAAATGATTTATTCAAAACAGCAACGACTGAATCAGACGTTTGAAGAACTCAAGTCCATTTCATATTCAAAGAGCATTTCGTCAAGAATAAAGTTCATGATTCAAGATGTCCTAGAGCTGAGGGAGGTTAGATCTGGAATCCTCCGCTTAATTACTGTTATTGTGGTTGATAAGAAAATAATTATAGTAATTGTTATCTATGATAATAATAATGATGATGAGGTGATAATGGAAACTTGTTTCATTTGAAATAACAGCCAATATAATTGATTAATCAGTTGTGATGACGTGATTGTCAATGGCTAGCCGTATATTTGATTGATTTTGAAATGATAATTTTCACCTAACAATAACTCTATACAAACAATGCAATTGCTGAGCAGAATGATTGGGTGCCGAGACGAGAGGACACCCAGCCAAAGTTGATCGAGCAGATTCACAAAGAAGCAGAACTCGAAGAGATGCAACGCAAACAACATCTCCACCATCCTAATGTACCGTCACTGCAACAACTTCATCATCATCCTCACCATCACCACCACCAACAACAGCAACAACATCCCTTTTACCATCCTCAACAACCGCACAGCAGCAAACATTCTCTGCCACACGAGATCCAGAGGTCGCTGTCTTCATCGACAGCCAGTGAACATGGGATGTTGCAACAGCAAATATTCAACAACACTTCTGGCAACAACCAACAACCTCAACAACAATACCACGGACGAGGAAGCATCGACAGATCCATAAAATCTAACCCTGATAAGTTTGGCTCTCTGGAAAGAATGAAAATTTTTGAGAACAGTAGTTTAATGTGCAACAGCAGCAGCAACAGTAGGACAAATGCATACGCAACACTCGGACCTGTTAGGAGAGGGTCTGCTAGGGCTCTTGTTGGCTGTGGAGCCAGTGAAGGTATGCATGTTCTTATGCCATGCTCTTCCAATTCACATGTCCTTTTTTTAACAATTGAAACGATTTTTAACAATTTTTTTCAACATTTTTTGCTCAAAAGGAAAATCTATGGACGGCATGAAGTCGTATCTGATGAGCAGATCAATGTGTGAGAATGGCTCCAGTGATTTGCATGATAGCAGTAGCACTAACAACAAATCACTTGTCAACAATAATTCAAACCTCCCACCATCATCAAATGCTTTCAGATCAAGGTTTGATGGCGTTGAATTTCGATTCTCTTATATTTCATGCATTGTTGATTGCTTATCAGTCGGAATATTGTAGGTGTTAATTAATTTAAACTTTTTGTTTGTGCTTTTACCCACTTGTAAAGAAAAATTTTCTGGTTTCTCGCCTTCATAATTGCATATAAAATTATTCTTTCAAAATTATTTTTAATTTGGCTTCAGCTTTGTACAGTGAATTAATTAATTGCTTGCCTACTGTGTCAGTAGTTAATTTTTGATTTCCCTTGTGAGATTGGAACGTGAATTGGAATTGAACATTGAACACGATTTATCATTCATCAAGCTCGGTTTATATTATTTAAAAATGCTTGTGTTGAAGTTTAGTGAAAAAACTTCAAATTGTTTTAGTTGTGAAAGTTGCATTGACAACACAATTAGGACATAATCATTAGCTATTTTTATGTTTATCTACTAGAAATTTGTCAATCTATCATTATCTTGTTATAATTAACCTAGCAAGTTAATTACTGAATGGTGCAAATGTGTCACTGGAATGAATTGACTTCAGGTCGTCAGCATCAGACATCTACGCCACTAGTGCTAACACAAGAAACCAACAGCAGTTGAAGCATCCAACCAGTTCATCATACGCTATCACTCCAAGGTCTCGTGTCGTTGATCCCAAATCATTTGAGAAGGATAAACACTCAGCCATTGAGGCAGCCAGGTAGGCTTCGGAGGGGTGATAAGTTTGTTGATACAGGTGTAAATAATGCTGTTATGGATCATGATGGGGAGGGGGTTACGCTAATCATACTATAAAGTTGTAGTAATGAAAACAAAATCAATTTGAACAATTTTATTTTTAACTAGTGAATGAATGTAGGATTTTTATTTAGTTGCGTTCAGTCGACGTGTTATTTAGCACATGACATCTGATCATATTTACAGGAATATATCATCTAGTCACTCCATGGATTCCTTCATGAATGCATCTATAGCCTCCGCACCGAACACCTTCACTACTTCCTCTTTTAACGGTGGCAAGCCGTTTTCCAGATCATCTCTTTCTTCTGCATCGTCGTCAGCCCTGCGACAGAACACTAAACCACCTCACCTGACGTCAGTCAGATCTGTTTCACTATCTCCGAGAGAGCTGGCCAACAAGCAGATGGAGACTGAGAAGAAATGCAAGTCACTGCTCGATGAGTACCTGGCTAATGATGATCTGCAGGTAGATTTCTGAACTGGATGTTGGACTTTTTTTCTTTTTATTTAAATGTTACTCTCTGGTTATTTGTAACTATTGTCATGAAGTATTTAAATTTTAACTGTAAATGATCTTAAAATAGTTTTATCAGAAATTTTAATTACCTATATTGCTTTCCATGTATGTCTGGATAAATTTAGATTTTATCGTTTATTCACTTAAAATTGAAGTTAAATATCCTGTTTGTTAGATGTTCCTAGAGATGTGCCCATGTGCAGTATTTTTCCATAGGCTTGATATCATCTTTATTATTCTGTTTGTTTAGATTTGACTTTTAGGAGATATATCTACAAATTGTTTTCCGCAGGAAGCCTGCTTTTGTTTCAAAGATATCAACAGTCATTGCAAAAGTGACAAGAGTCAGTCTGTGAAGCTGGTGTCGAGCATGGTGGAGAGGTCGTTGGAGAAGTCAGAGAGGGAAAGATCCAAAATACATATCCTGCTCTCCCATCTCATTCTAAAGAACCTTATATCACTTGATGTCTTTCTTGAAAGGTTTCAGTGGTTCTGCATATTTTTTTACTTTTTTCAAATTTAGAAATTATTAATTTATCAATTATAACTATATTTATTTGCTGTTACTCTTTCTTACATATAAAGTATAATTATTTGCTAATGCTTTGACTCTGATCAGCTTGTCTTCAGTGTTGAAGGAGGCAAATGACATTTCTGTGGACATTCCAAAAGTCTGGAACTACCTGGCGGAGCTGATATCAAAGGCACTTCTTAGTAGGGTCGTTACATTTGCCAGTCTCTCGAGTTTGTTCCAGCAAGTCAGCGATCGTGATAAGCAGGTGCTTCTCGTTCGATTGCTCGTCTCCAACATTGCCGATCACCTGGTTGGTCAATTCTCAATCTACTTTACTTTCTGTTGCCACATCTTCATTTTATTATTTTGTTTCATTTATTTATTGTTTACTATTATCTTGAAATGTATTTTAATGTGACAATTGTTTATTTAACATTTTGGCTATTTGTACAGTTGTTTTACTAATTGTACTTTTCATTATGTACATGAAGAAGATTATTTAAACATTTATTTATTTTCAGCTGGTGGATTTGAACCTGGTTGATCAGCCTCATCTCATGGCAGATCTCATCATTTTCCTCAGTAACTTGAATACCAATGGTTTGTTCTCCCATCTTTGTATATTGCGCTGCAAGCATTCACACTTATGAGAATTAGTTTCATTGATTTTCTTTAATTCGAAACATCATGCTTAATTCTCTATTTTCATATTATCAATAAAACTTCTGATTACATAATTTTTTCAATCAATCAAGTCTCCTCCGTATAACCATTACCAGGTAAGGGTGACAACAAAGCCGTGAACGAAGAGATGTTACTTATGCACTCAAGCCATCTCAAATCCTGCTTCCACGACAACCCGGATTTGGAATGGTTGGTCTTGGTCAATCTGAAAAGAGAAATTTTCACCATCGTTGATATGCCCCAAGGTTAAAATATATGAATCATCGAATGAGTGGAAGGATGAATGGATGAATGAATGAATGAATGAATGAGTGAATGAATGAATGAATGGATGCTCAATTTCCTCAGTCATCTATTTCTTGTCTAATTGTTATATAAAGTGAGCAAATTTTATTCTGTCTTTGAATTTGCGCAGATGACATCTTTCCATGGTTTTAAAGGTTCTAGATTTATAAGCCCTGGGTAGAGTTTATTTTTTAGTTGGTAACGTCTCGACTGATTAAGACGCTCATTCATATTGACTTTTTATTATCGATGTTTTTGTTGTTTTTTAATGATTTTTTCACCACATTGCAGCTTCAACGACGTTCAACTGCATACTGAATATACTGCAGAGCAAGGAAGTTATGTCGAAGGCTACAGTTGATAAGTGGGGAGGTGTCAAGTGCTAACAAAGCTCTTCATTCATTCATTCATTCATTCATCTGTTAATTTATTTATTTAATATTTAATTAATTAATTAATTATTTTATTACTTAGTTTTGTTGGCTTTTATAAGACTCAATTTTATGAATTGTTAGAATTGAGTAGAGTTTGTTTCACTGGCTGTAAAATATTCTCACCGTTGAAACAATCTGCTGTCTCTTGAGAGGATTTGTTATGAATTGCGAATGATGAATGATGATCTGTGTTTAGTTACGTGAAAGTTATATGTAGAGATGTGTTGTATATGACGATTCTATTCTAGATATTGTATTGGCTATTTTATACGTTTTGTCATTTTCGTTTAATTTAAATGATACTATTTTCTATGTAAGAAGGAGGTAATATTACGTTTTGATAGTCGGACAATTTGTCTCTTCTTTCTGTGTGCACCTGTTTTGTTGTCTCTGATAATTACATTTGTAATTTTTTCAACGATGCTTACCTATTTATTTATTTGTCTGTCTGTCTGTCTTTTGCGCATCGCATAGTAGTGTATGTGTGCGTGTCATGTTATGTTATGTTATGTTATGTGATGTGATAATCTTTGCAATGCTGTGCTACTAGTTGTTGCTTTAAGAGTTGTACATACGATTCGTTTTACATTTTATATCTGCGCTTTTCGTCCTTTTTGTACATTGAATATTCGTTTGTATTTTTAAATTATTTGTCTATTAATTTTTTATACTTTTTACAGTCGAGTTCTTATTGGCTAACTTTATATTTTTTATGTGAATTTGAATGTGAGTGGCCGTATTGAATATATTGAATGGCCATATTAATCGAATTGCTGGCACGCATACAGGAGATCTGTCCTCTGCATGTTTGCCCGCATGCCTGGCTGGCATGCATGTTTATAGATACTCTTAACTAAAGGGGAAAAGTATTTAAAAGTAAAAATTGTTCAAAAATTTTTTAAATTATAAAAGTTTTTCAGAGCTGAGTAAGAATAAATTTGTATTTCATAATTATCCTAAATTATTCAATTTATTCATACTCTTTTTCTTTATTGAGTCATTTATTACTTAAAAAGGTTAAAGAATTTTAATCTTTAAAAACTGCCTGCATACAATTCATGTATAAATATGTATATAAATAATGTTATATATATTACATATATATGTTATATAGATGAACTTTCATTGTACTGGTAAGATTTTTATACTAACTTATTTTATTTCACTTGCAACTGATTCACGCAGTTTCTCATTTTCATTCATCTTCCCATCTGCGTCTTTGCAGAGATCAATAAGGAAATTTCATCTTTCCATATTCATCCAAATCACCCGTTGGTAGATTTAACACTTTTTGCGTTTATAGTGACATAGTCTTCTTCACTGTTCAGCTAGCTGGCCTCTTTAAAAGGATCGGCTTTTAAAATTTGTAAATACTTGTTGTAGATCTGAAACTGAAATAAAACCTAAAAAGATGAATGGATGTCAAAGTTGGAGTTGTATCTGACCTTGAATTCGTACAATTTGTTTCTATTTTTTTAATTGCTGTTCATTTTTCAGAATTTTTATTACTTAAGTATTCTATTTAGTTCAACATCAGATTTATTTTATATTGTATGCATTTTTTATTGCAGTTTGTTAAGTGTTTTTATATCATTTGTTTTGTAAAATTTCAAAATACAATTAGTTGATTAATAAACTTGAAAACTTTTTTTTTGAGTGTTTATTCGACGTTATTAAGTATTAAAGCAAGGAATGTTAAAATTGCATAAATGTCAATTTTGAGTTATTTAATGTTCATGAATCGAAAATATTTCGGTTAAAAGGCACATAATTCCTGTAATGCAAGTTAAGCATGAAAAATATCCATTGAAAAGAGGAGTAAAATCACCCATACCAGAAATATATAATATGTAATAAAATCTTCAACCTCATATGGAATATAAGTTTTTGAATAAATGAAAAACATTTTTGAAGCAGTAAAACAAAATATTTTTTGATGTTTGTAGCATGTTAAATGTCGGGTAACAATTTGCATAGAGTCGCGAATATTGCCAAATCTTGTTTGATTTCTCAGTCTTTTTGTATGCTGATGGAATTTTAAGGTTGACAGAATGATTAAGTTTAGTGATGAATATGAGTGCACCTGAATATCTACTGATAATCTAATGACAGTGCGCATATCCATGATAGTGAAGATGAATAACTAAACGAATGACAGGTTATATTTGTTGCAACTCTTGCATTATATATGTAGCACAAATGAATGGTGTATTGGATGATAATATCAAAAGATGGGGATAATGGTGGACATGATGAGTTATAAATATTATATAAATAAGGCAAATTTCAACACTGGCCCAACAACGCTAGTGTTTCATTCGAATTTGTAATAATTAATATATATATATATATATGTATATATAGCTTTATATATCATTATCTGTATTATTTATGACTAGATGAACGAAGCTTAAGAACAATTTTAAAGAATAGAAGATAATATATCTGGACATAAAAACTGAATGTTGACAGAAAAGTTATAAGGCCAAAAAACAATACCAAAATTGATTGACCGAAAATTAAAACCACTGTGATTACTTATGAAAAACTAATAAAAAGTTTGAAACCTAAATGCTTTGTTATGATTATTAATAAAACTTTTGTATCTTTAAAATAAGGAAAATAAATGGAAATATCATGGATTTTCAAAAAGAATAAACAGGCAAACAAAATTAGGTGGGTGTTTGAATGTAAAAAAAATTACAATTTGAAAACATTATTTGAATTAAATAAACATGCAGTCATAGATGTGCCTACCGTGTGTGATGAAAAAACAAAGTTTAAAAAGATCTTTAAACAAATTTGAATAGCATATTGAATAGCACAGGTCTCTCCTCATTTAAACTTCAGGACTAAATAAACTGAAATGTTAGAAAATTCAAATAACGAATTAATTAAAACCAAATGATGATCAAGATAAAAATACTAACCAATAATAAGGCAGATGATCAAAACAGTTACACCAACCAATATTATTGTCATCTGAAAAATTGAAAAAAAAATTATGCACGGTTTTTTGATATTGAAATTTTTGTTTGATTAATTTATTATATTAAAATTGGTAGTAACATGAAACCTTCATATCTTGGCACCAGAATTTTTTCTTAAGTTTAGTAGAAGTGGCCTCAAACTGATGGGCACCAGCTTCTAAAGCATCTGATGTTATATATTGTTTGTATTGTATTATATTGTACTGCATTATAATGTACTATAATACATTGTATTTTATTTTGTTGTATTGTACCATAATGTATTGTACTGTACATCAGTTAAATAATTTGAAAGTTTCTAAGAATATAATTCAGGCTATTAGCTAACCAGCTCTGTCATCCAATTCAGATAATTTCTGATCTCTTTCCAACACTTTTTCCACGTTTACTCGCATAATATCAACAACCTTAATCAATCAAAGAAATAAAATATAAATAAATATTATAAAATTAAAATGTAGTCAACAGAGTTCTTTTTAAGTTTTTCATATATATATATATTATATTTTATATTATATTAAATTACATTAATTATATTATATTATATTATAAAAGCAATCAAATAAATGTGGCCTTATTTTACAAACTTCATCAACTTGAGCTTGTGTCTGTTGTAATCTTTTGCTTTGGGCACTTGTGGTAGTCCTAACAAATCAAATGTCAAGTTTTTTGATTTAATAAAAATAAAATTTTTAATCAATTAAATTAACCATTAATAATAATAACTAAACTAAATAATAATAATTATTAATCATATAAGCATTGTTACTACTAGTGTATCTATCTAGTTATCTGGCAATTTTAGTTTTTTAGTTTTTTAGTTTTTTAGTTAGTTAGTTAGTTAGTTAGTTAGTTAGTTAGTTAGTTAGTTAGTTAGTAAGTAAGTTAGTTAGTAAGTTAGTTAGTTAGTTAGTAACTAAAAAAAGTGAATTATATTAGTTTGCTTTTCCTTTTTTGTTTTGGACTTTTCTGGTTTTGGTATAAAATTAGTATCACCATTTTAGCATCAGCTGAACGTAGTGCTCTGAAAAAATTTGAAGTTCCATAAAAATGAACATTAAATAACTTACATGTTTGAAATTATATTATATTAAATAGTGTTCTGATAAATTTAAATTATATAACACATAGAATTTTATTAGTTTATCTATCGATTGAATGAAATTAAAAGAGGATTTAATCTAAAGTGCGTTTTATTTCAGAAATCTACTTTTTCTTCTTGAACAAATATTTAAAGAAACCCGACAAATCAAGATTTCATTTAGTTTTACTTGAAGAATTCTATTGAAAATGACGATTTTTTTTAAAGATTATAATCATTCATTTATAGAACTAATTCGATAAAAAAAAAACAACAAATAACTCGATTATGTTCGTATCCAAGCAACATTAATTTGAATACTTAATTTAGAAATGGAAGGTCAAAACTTATCAGCCGTTAAAAATTCCTCCGTAATGCGCAACTTTCCAGACCCACCCCACGGCATGGAGAACTACGACCTGCCGGGTGTTTTCGACGAGTTGGGCGCTTTGAGTGAAACGCAACAAACTCAATTAGACCAGTACAAAGTTTGCGATAGCGTTTCTTAGCTCAATCCAAAATCAGTGTTCAAAATTTGTCAATATTAATATACATTAGAATACTTAATCAACGTCATGAGACACAAATATCACGCACACGTTTGCATAAACCCTAATAAATTCAACGACTTGATCTCAAGCTTTAAATAGGAACAATGCATACACACATATAACTCTTGTTTGTTTATGTATAGAAGTAAACCAGAACAACCTACTTTTATTTTAAGCCACATTAAACATGAAGACTACATATTAACATCCTGCAGAAAAAAATGCGATTTGAAGACGAGGACTACCTAAGGAAGCACCCGGAAATAGACTGCCTGATCAGTGACCTCTTAGGGTAAGAATTCACTGGAAACACTATAAAAACGAATCATTCATGAAATCGTGTAAATTGCAGATGCATCTTAAAGGATCAACCAAGGGACATTAGAACATACGCTTCAAGTTAGTTCACTAGCTTTTTTCACAATGAAACACCGCACTTAAGTATGTATCCATTTTCAAGATTATTTCAAGGACCCCAAGCTGGTACAGAAAATTGAGGAACTGATGAAGAAACACCAAATTGACATGAAGATGTCGAACATACTAAAAAACTATTAACCTTACAATAATGTGCTTAATAATCAACTGGAAATACTATAAAACTGAAAATATGATTTTGACTCTGATGTAAAAAAAAAATAACAATATTTTGTGATTAATTTTTGATACTTTAGCAGACAATTGCCAGTACAATCAAATAGATTTCAACAAAGAGTTTATTCCCTCATCATCATCTTCTGTTTTTTCAGCTTCTTTTGTGAAACTTTTTTCTTCTTCTCCTCCTCACCAGCTGGCTTCTCAATGGCTTGTTCTCTTTCTGCCAATATGATTTCAATGTGGCAGGGACTGCTCATGTAAGCTGAGTAAAAACAATTCAATATTAGCAAAAATAAGAATTAATCACATTAGTGCACAAACTTTTGATTGAAAAATTTTTAAAAAAATCATATATATTTACACAAACTGTAAAACTCATTTAACTGGCTGTCAGTTGAGAAACCAGCGGCTCAAGGTTAAATCTCCATGACCAGAAACAATCAACATTTATTATGGTTTAATCTTAGACAAAAAGCAGAAATAAACTGCTTAAGCTTACATTCAGACATAAATTAAACAAAAAAATGTAAAATGTTTTATATCACCATTAATAAAAATAATCAAAACATGAAAACATTCATTTAATAGCAAATAAACTCAAGATCAGAGTTGTAGTTGTGATAAAAAACTATAAAAGATGAAAATTCAAACCATTAATTCTTCCGTGTGCTCTGTATGTCCTCCTTCTCATTTTTGGGGCCCTGTTGACTTGGATATGCTCAATCACCAAATGGTCAGTATCTAAGCCCTGAAAAGTGTTTATATTGAAATTTAATTAGATGAGTAATGTATTATCAGAAAATTTATTTAAAATTAACCTTAAAATCAGCATTGCTTTCTGCATTTTTCAACATTTGCAACAAAAATTCTGCACTCTTCTTGGGCCAACGACCTTGTGTTGTTCCCCAGGCTTTTGCCTAAAAAATGATTAGGCATTCAGAAAGTTTTTAAATACCAGCTAAATTGTAATACATCCCAATATTAATATTAAGAAAATTATGCTTAAATTATATACCCATAGAAATCTTAGTATTTGAACATTCTGATATAAAAGAACTATGGGTTGAAATTGTAGGTTAATCCCTATTTCAATTCTAAGTTATTAAAATTTAATAAAGTTACTAAAGATGTGTATTTTTTAATTGATAAAATTTTAATTTACTAAAAAATTAAAATGGAACATCGCTATTGCATGACATTACCTGAGCACATCGTCCAACTCCACCAGTGAATCTCCTAAATGGAACACATTCTTTATGATCAATGACATTTTTTAAATAGGCAACAGCTCTTCTAAGGTGCATGTGTTTAATGTTTTGGGCTGTTTCTCTTGTGTTCTAAATTTGAATTATAATTTTATCAGAAATGTATCCCCAGAAGACTAACAGTTAAGACTTGTAATTCACTAATGATAAAAACATCATGCATATTAAATTAATAATTATAAATAAATTAATATTAATTATATTATAAATCATATCACATTTAAAAAATTAGTACAACACTTGAGCCCTTACCTTAAAGTGAACTCTAAGATGAGAACCCCTGGCTTTGGCAGCTTAAAAATTTATTTTAAATTTAAAAACTTTTCCATTACAATATTAAATTCTATAAAATTAAACTAACATTTTGCCGCATTCTCCGGATTTAACGAATACCTAGTCATCTTTGACGCTACTCTGGAAAAAAGCAAATAACTTGTTATAACCTCTAATTAAGAATCATTGTTATTAAAACAAAACGCATTTCAAACAAAATAATGCAAATTTTATATTTCGATGGTTCAAGATTATCAATTATTTTGTAGATTAAAAACGAGAAAATCAAACCGACATACTCACCAATCAAACTAAGCAAAAAAGGAAGTCATCAACTTTCTAAACAACAACAAAGGAATTTATAGCGCAATATTTTTATGCACCAACTGTGCAGAATTGAATTTCTACTCCTTATTAATGAAAATTAGATAAATTAAGTAAACTTTCTAAAAGTTAATAAACCGTATAGTTCTATTTATAATTTTGGCTAGCGAATTACACTTAAATTTATTTACTCATTGCTATTCTTTTTAAAAATTCTGACAATTCGTTTCGATTATATTGCAGTGTATACCATACACGCTGATTTAAAAACTTGGAGCGTATACTCAGAAGGCTTAGAACGGCTTGGAATAGCATAAAACAACTTGCAAAAAATTGATACGAAAACGAACAAGCTTAAATTTATGAAGAAATGATAAGAACCTATGATACACATGAAAATTATGTGAAATGGCTCTGGAATGATTAAGATTTTATTCTTTAAAAAATCAGACTCCGATCATTATTGAGGTGTAAGACCGATAAGGTATAAGACGAAGGTATAAAACCAATAAGGTAAGGTATAAGACGCCAATGCCGCTTCTGTTTTTGATAGTTTGTAATGAGAAGAATACTTACTTTAGGACAAAATACCAACAGAAGACGACAAAGCACAAACATTTTTCATTTTTCTAATTGTTATTACAGAAAAACAAATAATTTTCAATCACATCATGCAGTTTAAACTCATTTTCATGCTCTTCTACTTTGTACAATTTTCTTTACACTTCATTTTCATCATTATTTGGGTATATTCCAAAAACTCTTCACCACTGACCTACTCGCTACTTTTATAGTTCGATAATTTATACTTTCTCACCCACAGATGAATCAATATCTTTTACAATCATATATGAATGTGGTAAAATTAAACTCATAAAACTTTTACGTGTTCAAGTGTTTGTCAATTGACAAAAAAAAAATCAACACTAGTCCTTCCCTAACAAATTTCCCATTACATTTGCAATTTCTCTGCCGAATTCTTGACTTAAAAAGAAAAGGGTCTCAACGATCCCAGTAGCCAAAGTATTCAAACTATACAAAAATTTTAGCCTATATGAACATTCAACTCATTGAACAAAAATAAATACGCAAACACGATCACAGGTATTTTACAAAAATAAATTTCTATCATTTATTTGAACGGAAAATATCCACTGCAGTAGATGAACGTTAAATACAGATTGCATTTCAATGGAAAATAAAAACGCTACGCTTGTCCAATTTCATGCTAAATTATTCGGTTTTTCCTGATTAAAATTAGTATTTCACTTAATTAGTAAGAACAAATAAATCAATTTAAACATAATTAAATCAAAAACGCGGTTTTTAATAACAGTGTTAAATAATAAATGTAAATATGTACAGTTTAGATTCAGATGTGAATATATATACAAGTTGATTTTATTGTTGATGTCCAATCGAGGTCGGAGCCAATTTGCCACTGCAACAAGGTTGCTCCAGAGGTCCATTGGTTGACAACCAATATACAAGTTGATTTATTATGCTGGTGGCTGCATAGGATACTGATTGATGGGAGGCGGGGCCATTAGATGCATGGAGAGTGCTGGAGGTGGCATGGTAAGAAGTGGCGGATGCATGCCTGGAAGTGGTGGAGGTGGTAAGGGATTAGATGACGGCGGGTAGCGATTAGATGGTGATGCAGTCAATCGACTATCTTTTGGAGGCCTTCCTTCATTGACACGACCCCGGGGGTCTCGATCTGTTGATCCAGCGTGCCTTCTTTTCCTATCAAAATGCCTGCCAAGACGTAATAAAAAACATGATTAAAATAAAAATCAAAACACCCTAAAAAACTAGAGGAGTTACAGTTTACAATAAAACTTTAGGGTTTAACTACTACTGCAGCCAGGTATAAAATTTAAAGGAACAGATTAATAACAATTTTTGTAAAAATAAATAGGCACTTGGAATCTCTTCCTTCTTGATCTCCTTGACTGGTTGTACCACTGCCAGCAGCAGCAGCAGCAGAACTGGAATCAAACGCCATTGAAAAACTAGCTTCAGACCAGCCATGATGATCTCTCCTATCGGTGGGAGGGTACGGCGGCCTACGAGGTGGATAGTACCGAGGAGAATCAGTAGATGACGATGTGTAATCACGATTGTGGGGGTAACCTCTACCCATGGCACGCTGATGGTGACCAGTGCCTTTTGGACGATCATACGATGACTGGTAGCTGGTTGATTGCAGAAATATAATGGTTAGCTTTATGAATAATCCACAATAAAAATTTAGTCGAATGCATTGCACAAAACATGTTCAAAACATAATCATGAATTTATATTCATGACAAAATCCCGGACACCATTTCAACAAAATTCAGAATGTTCCCGTTTAACAAGGTGTATTCATTTATCAAATCCTATACTATACACAAATGTCAGAGGCATTTGAATCTAGAAATTGAGCATGTCATTTTTTTGTCAAAAGCTACTGTATGATTAAAAACCATTGAAGCAGAAAAAACTGAGATATTTAAATGCCAAGTTATTGGTGCAAAAACAATGATGAAAATAATAGTGATGATGAAACAATGGTGACGGTGGTCATATGGCGATAACAAAAATTTTGATGTTCACCTTGACTGATACGAAGATGTGAACTGAGAGGCAGAAGGCGCATAACCACTTCCAGGGTTTGACTGACTCTGCTGCTGAGTGGCTTCATGCTCACCATACCTACAGGTTTATTATTGAATATATAAATGATGATATCGACACACATAGTCATTAAAAAACAATCATAACATCTTGCAAAGAAATGACAACATGAAAATTGTTAGTAACCAACCTAGATCTCCACCTGTCGTCTCTGTAGTAACCACTGCCTGATTTCTGCCTGTGATCTGAATAAGAGTTCTGATATGAACCCTGATCTCTTGTCGGCCTGTTTTAAAAATTGTAACATCATCACTAATATCAGCCACCGCATTAGAATTGTAAATTGCATTCTAGTGCTAGTAGAGATGAAAACTTTTTATCAGCCAAATTAAAAAAAATAATTAAATTCATATAAAATCATTTAGTGTATAATAAATTATAAAGAATGTAATGTTGATTTACCTATCCCTTGCTTTGGAACCCCAACCAAATGCTTCTTCATCTCTTTTTCTCCGATCTTCTTTTCTTCCATCCATCGATCGATTTTTATCAGCCCGATGAGTAGACGACGATGTTGATGATGAAGAAGGTTGTTGTTGATGATGATGGTGATGTCTGACTGACGTTGATGATGAAGCTGTGTTGGTGGGATAATGAGAGGTGCTGGCTGATTGATTACCCTGTTGAAATAATGATATATTTATTGGGATACTCATTGTGGTTAAAAAAAAAATCTTTCACTGGAAGCTAATCTACATGAAAATAATTACTTTGAAAATTAATAAATTTAATAAAACCAAAAACAACAACGAATTTAAATAAATGTGCTGTTAAAAAAAAACAAAATATGCATAAAATTAATAATTCAAAATGTGCACAGACCGATTCAGAGTTGAGTTTTTCCTGTTCAGATGTCCTACCCTTGAGTGCATGTTTGTACATTTTGTGAAGCCTGGGTGCATCAAAGTTGTCTGTGAACATCGAAACAAACTGCCACAGGTGTCTGTATAATAATTCATTTTATATTTACCTTATTTATCATCTTGCGATTCCAAAATCTGAAACTTTTATTTGACTGCTCTGTTCTAAAATCATATTGAATATCAAACAAGATGCGCAACTCAAACGTTGATATCAAAGTATTAAAACTCAACTCAACAAACAAACAGACAAATGGATGAACGGAAAAATTAAATCAAACCCTCTCCATTCCTTGATCTTGTTAGGTTCTTTGTACTCGGTGAGTATGGCAGTAATGCGGTCTCCAATCTTGATGAGGCAGTCACGAGTACGCTTCAGCAACTCATCATCTCCCATCGATGTGTCCGGCGACTTCAAGTGCTGTAAATATTTCTTCACCACCCTCATACTCTCCTTGCACTGTTTTGTGTTTAAAAAATTGATTGTAATAAGTGAATGTATTTAACTAAATCTAAACTACCAAGTCATTTATTGCAATTTTAACAGAGTGAACAAAACAAAAAGGAGGTAACATCTATATTGTGTGCAATTATACAAAAGAAAATGTATGAACAAATAAATAAATCATAAGTATTCAGATTGTCAATTAACAAGTAATGGGGACTTACTTGTTTAAAAACCTCAGGTTCGAGGCCACTTTCTTCTTCAACGGAGACAGTTTGGTTGGTTGTGAAATGCAGAGGGCCATCAGCTTGTCCAGTTTGGTTGGAGTGATGATGGTGGTGATGATGATGATGAGATTTCTGCCAGATAATTCACAAGATGAGAAATTTTAAGAAAAGTTGTCATTAGTAAAAAATAGTAAAATTGAAAAAAACCTTCTTTTTATGATCCTTCATTCCTAAACTTTTCTTATCTGTATTTTTCTTCTTTTTTAGTTTCTTGTCCTTGGCGAGACCATCTCGTGAAGCTTCATTGCTGGCATCATCGTTGTCCTCACTTCCTGCATTCTCGTCAATAATCTCTTTAGACTTCACTTTCTTAGACGATTTTCCAACGTTCTTTACTGGCTTTTTCTTCAGATATTAATTCAATTTTGTTGAAATTACAAAGCAAAAATTACTAAAAATTAGTTAAAAGAAATCAAGAAATTTATTGAATCTTGAATTAACAAATTCTAACTAAACTAAATTGGAGCAAAAACTTTCAAGTGATGGAAGTTAAATAGTAGATAATATAAAAGACAGACGCTACAACCTTGATCCCTGAAGAATCATTGATTTTCTTGATTATTTTCAGCAAGTATTCAGTCCTCGTTTGTAAATGTTTGGCTTGAGGCTTCAAGTCACCGTCAGGTAAAATCTATATTGTTCATGGTTCATAATGATAGTTGCTGATAAATCGGATATTAAAATTAAAATACAATTTTTACAGTGATGCGTGAAAATAAACGGCACTGAAATCACTTCAGTACCTTGTCCTGCAGTTTGAATGTGGAGTCCATCTTGATGGCATCCCAATTCCCAAAGCCACATTCATAGACACCACGCAGCAGACGACAATCATCTTCTACAGTCCAGAAACAGTCAAAGTGAGCATTCTTTACATGAGCTTTTATCTGTAGGCTGTATTTATGAAAAATTTGAAAAATAATCATTTGCATATCTCGACAGTGTGACACAACCAAATCACATTTTGAGGGTAAAATAGGAAAATTTCCATTAAAAACATATACCTCTGAAAAACTTAAATCTTTTTTACATGACCCCACTAACTGCCAACATAACATATGATATATGATGCGTAATACTAATGGCCTAATGACATGTATGTAATATTAAGAGCTGCAGTGAAGCAACAAACAGTGAAGAACCAACGTATCACGTTCTTTCTCGTCGACAGGCATGATGTCACACAGAGGTTCTAATTCACTGAGAGATTGCAGAACAGATCTTGCATTGACAATGATGCTGCCCAATCTAAATGTCGGTCGACCGATTGCCTTCTTCTCTTCGGCCGTTGTCACTTCTCGTAACTTTTCTTCATACTCTTTCATCACTTGATCACATCTAGTGAAAAATAAATGTTTTCAGTTTCACAAAAATTAATATTCAAAAATTATTTAAATTTATAAAAATGCAGAAACTTAAATTTCAGAAAACAACACGTTAGACACCCAATAAAACAAATATTTTTTCTAAATCTTACTTGTTGAGAATTAATTCTGCGAGGTTTTTCAGATCTGATTCAGATTTTTCTTGGAGTTCTGCATCACCAGCTATGTCTTCCAATCTATTTTGGACAATTAAAATAAATTCAAAACATTAAGATAAAAAACGCTTTAAAAAAATTGATATATAAAAAAATTGAAAAAATAACCAAATTTATAGAATAACCTTTCTAATGTTTTACCAAATTTTTTCATACTCTTCAAAAATTTTCTGACTTCGGATTCATTAAAGCCCTTAACAATTTCTTTGCCCCTGACCTTTTTCTTACCAGACTTCTCACCATCAAGAGAATCATCGTCGCTAGATTCATCATCCTCTTCTTCATCATCATCTTTTTGTTTCCTTCTACTTTTGCGGGCATCATATTCGGCATCCGACCCTGCTTCCTTTTTCTGAAAAAAAATTATTAAAATATTTGACACAGCATATAAACAAACTGTAACTATTATATTTTGAAAAATTTTATAAAATTGTTGATTTTGTAGAGTTAATGCAGAGAAAGCTTTGTAGATGGATGTACAAACCTCAGTTACAGTTTTCCTGCTTCTTGGAGGAAGATTTTGTTCTCTAATTAACTGCAACCTTTCCTCTTCATCAATTTTTTTCCTTTCTGACTCAGGAATGATGTCTTCCCAATCCTTCATGGCTGTGAAATTGTTGATAAATTTTATAATAAATGAAATTTTGCAAATAAAATCAAACCAAAAAGCCACTCTTCTTTTTTTTGAGTATGTATAATCAGGCAAGTTAATTTTAGCAAAACATATAATAAATTAGCACAACTTGAAACAATTTCTAACGCAGAGCTCGGAAGGTGTTTTGTTCAAGTTCTTGGTCCTCCAAGTTATCAAAACTCACGACCTGTTAAACAACATTAGGATTGTTTAAAAATTTGAATCCATAGGATTTTTTATGAAATTGTATGATGACGTATAAGTCTGTTAAACACATCGAAAAATAGTCATCCAAACAGAACAATATAGAATGAACAATTCCTTACTTTGAATTTTGAAAGCAGTTCATCCGTTGCACTGTTTTTCAACTCTTCAAAATTCCTGGTTTCTGCAAGTCTCAATATGTCGTCAATATCAACCTAAGAGATGGTGTTGGTCATAAAAGTTGGATTTTAATTTTCATAGCAATCAACAAGAGGCACAAAATATATTATAATAGCAAATAATATTTGGAGCAACAATAAAAAAAAGTATTTGCAATCGTGTGATAAGAAGCAAACCAAATCATTACTAAAATAACCTGAATATCATCTTCATCTTCACTTTCTTTGAACAATTCTTCAGCACCAAACTTCAAAATGGCACTTAATTCCTCCTTGTTAAATGGTGTAGCAGATGAACTGTATAAAATTTATAAAAAAATTACACTACCATCTTAAAACAAATAATATTAAGTAATGTTATTTACATTTTAAAAAGCTTAATATTATTAAACTAAATGCTCATTAGAGAACTCATGCTCAGTCTGCCATGCATTTCAAGAATAGAAATATTACTGACCCAGCTTGAGATCCCATGCCAGCTCTGTTTAGTACAGTTCTACCAGTTGTATCCATCCTCTGAATGACTAAATGATCCAAAACCATTTTCTTCTTCGCTCGTTCAACAATATCCTCTTCGACACTTTTCTTAGTAACTAGACGGTACACGCTGACTTGATTTTTCTGTCCGATTCTGTGAGCCCTAGCCATGGCTTGCAAATCGTTCTGTGGGTTCCAATCACTGTCAAAAATGATGACAGTGTCTGCAGTGGCCAGGTTGACACCCAAACCACCTGCCCGTGTTGATAACAGGAAGCAAAAGTCCTGAAAAGTTAAATATTTAACTCAATTAAATAAGTCTCATAACCTGAAATTTTAAAAATCATTCCAATATAGTTTTGTGAATTAATCAACCTGTGAACCCTCAGCATTAAAATGATCCATGGCTTGTTTTCTTATATCACCTTTAATTGTTCCATCCAATCTCTGTGGCAAAATATAGAACATGTTAAATCTAATATTGATTGTTTGTTTTATTGTTTTACATTAATAATCTGAACATATGTTAAGATAAAATTAATACGAGTTGAAACCTGGTAAGGAAAGTGCCTCAATTGCAGATATTCAGCTAATATATCAAGCATTCTGACCATCTGAGAAAAGATGAGAACCCTGTGACCTGCATTCCTCAACTTCAGCAACAACTTGTCTAACAATATCAACTTGCCACTTGATTTCACCAACAACTGCATATTTTTGTTCAATTAATCAACTTTTTTCAACGTTAAAGAGCAAGAAGAAATAAAATTAATGTAACCATTCATAATTTCAAATTTTGGTTCTAAAATCAAATTAGATCTAAAAAATTATAACCATTAAAATAAATAATTTAACTAAAAAAAATTGCAAAAAAATCTATAAGTACATCTCTTTTCAAAATTCAAAATCACTTCTCATTCTTACAATCAATCAACCAACAAACCAATAATAAAAATTCAAAGTGCAAATAAATAAAAAACCTCAAATCGATTTTTAGTGTAATCCTCATCAGTGGGAGATCTGACTAGGAAGCTGTGGTTACAACATTTCTTCAACTCCATGACCAGATTAACGAAACTTGTGATGTTTCCTTTACCACCCTTCGTCAGAGCTTTGTAATTTTTCGTCAATATCCATCTTGCATGAAAAGAATTTAATTTGATAAATTACAAATTAATCTTAAATTTGAAAATGTTATATTTGAAAAAGTTACATTTGAAAATGTGTAAGTGTGTTTATGTATGGAGGAGAATTTAAGAAATAAAACTACCTGTAATACTGCTTTTGAACTTTCGTCATCTCGACCCTCAATATCTGTTCCACTTTTGCGGGAAGTGACTTTTCAACATCCTTCTTCACTCTCCTCAACAAGTAAGGCTCCAGTTCTTGATGAAGATGTCGGAATCCTGTTTTGTCAGCGGAGGAGTGTCGTCTCTCGAAATCTTCCCATGAATCAAATCTGAAAGATATTTATTTGTTATTTGGACCGGTATAATTTTACAACAGATCTTCAAAAAAATGTCTTTCCGGGAATAGTTCATAACCCTGCCACATCAATCTTTAAATATATCCAAAAAATAAACAATATTTCCAAAAAAGCACATGAATGATACAAAGATTTTATTTAATGTGAAAACTGTTAACAAGTTAACATTGTTATTTCAAAAATATAACAATTTTAAAAAACATCACAAAAACAAACTTTTCTGGCATGATAAAATGAAGCAAAGACCATAATTCTTTTAAAGAATTCTGCAAGGGTGTGCCAGTGATAAATATTCTATGGTTGGTATCAAAGTTTATCAAAATTTTGTAGAGCAGTGAGTCGTCATTCTTCAGCCTGTGAGCTTCATCAACACCCAAAACAGCCCAGTTAACTGTTCCAAGGATAGCCTGCAAATTAAATTTGTGAAAATTTACAAAATTCTGCAACCATTTTACAAAAGATAAATTGTTATGTTAATTTAAACCAACTTTGTCTTTGAGCAGTATTTCATAAGTAGTAAGGATGACATTGAACTTCAACTGTTTAGAGCCTCCATGGTACCACTCATGTTCTCGAATCTGTGATGATACAGAGATGATACAGGGTTAGTTATTTTTGCATTAAAAATAATAAACCAATGAATACAAGTGAAAAATAAGAGCAAATTGGCAACAAAACTGACCAAAACCCTGCTGTTAACATCCCCAATATAAACCACAACGTTGATTTTTGGAGCCCAAGTTTCAAATTCTTTCTTCCACGTGACAAGAGTTGAAAGAGGAACAACTAAGAGGAAAGGACCATATACCTGATGAGAATACATGAGAGTGGACAGGAACGAAATTGTTTGGATGGTCTTACCCAGGCCCATCTCATCAGCCAAAATAGCCCCATTATTCCTAATTATTAAACAGAAATGTTAATAACATTATTCAATATAACAACAGAAAAAGTTCAATAATTTAAACAAATAAAGAACATTTTAAAACGGTATCCATATAAAGAGATGGGTAAAATATAAATAAAAACAGAAAGTAAAATAGTAAAGTTTATCAACAAATTAAAATGCTGCAGAAGACATACTTGCACCAGGAATGTAACAACCAATTGAGACCAGCCAGCTGATAATCTCGAAGTTCTAATTTATCCTTCCCACCTATGTAATCAGGCTGAGTCTTCAGTGCTTGAAACTTTGGCCGATATTTCAGTGCCTGAAATGGAAAAAATCATTCATCTATTGTCCAATGCTAACTTTTTTGAATGACAGAACAAGAAATTAAAATAAAAAACATTATTTACATACAAACATTTAAACTATAAAAATGAACAAAAAATTGATACCCTGGAATTTTTGTTAGGAAAACAGGTAGACTTTCTCCTCTCTTCATACTCTTCAACTGCTTTAGGAAAACGTTTGACAATGAGGGAGCCATCTTCTTGAGTGCACTCAGAATAAGGCAGGCCTTCCCACTTAACCAGGTAGTCACATTGATCAGCTCCAGGTTTCGGTATGTGTACTTGAATATAAAAATTTAGGTAAATTATAAAATCGAAATATAAAACTATAACATCTTTATTGTTATTCCAAATAGAAAATACTTACAAACGATTTTTTCAATTAAGCAGTACTGTTGATATAAATCCTCAGTCATTTCTTGCTGGCAGTTGTAATATTCTTGATCTTCTGCTGTGGCATAACTCCTCCTGCAGGCAATAAAAAAGTATCACTATCTTTGCAATAAAAGTATTTACCAGTTTAGAGATAGTATAAAACATTTGAAAAAAGAACATCAATGATGATATTAAAAACCAAAATTCAACATAACAAAAAAAATCTTACCATCTTTCAAGCTCCTCTTCCTTCTTCATAAAATTTTCCAACTTCTTGATTCCATTGACCTTTTGTTCTCTTAAACCGACTTCACATTCCCAGGTATTGTGAACATTGGCCCAATTTTTCCACTTGATTAAGTACTGAGTTTCGCCATTTTCATCTCCTCCTACAATAAATCCTTTATTTGGATCACCTTCTTTTTCAACATTATATACAGTTGTTCGACTTCCAGTTGCTGAAATTCAACATTTAAAAAACTTGAAAGCAAATTTCGAATAGCCATGCTTGTTTAAATATGAAGATGCAGACAGTATATATTCACAATAACATAAAATGATATAAAACATGAATAGACAGAAAGGCTAACCTCCAACTCTTCCTATCCTACTTTTGACAACTTTTTCAATTGTTTCATACTGTTCTTTATCCTCTTCCTCTTCATTTTGATCTATTTCAATTAAGTCCTCAGAATCTGTAACATCATCCGACTCCTCTTTGTAACTGTAAAAAAATGTTACTTGTTTTACAAAATATTCAAAATAACTAAAAACTTGTGACCATCAATCACAGAACATTGATTTGCCAGTATAACAGAGTTCATTATTATGAACTTCTTTTGGAAAATTTTAGACAAATTTTTTGGTAAATTATACTGTGACATATATATGTACATATATGTGTTCATATGTTTGTTGTCTTAACCGTGTCAATCATATAAAAAACCTCAACCAAAAAATACAGAAAAAAGCAATATCTAATCAACTGACATTTCTGGATTGTTCAACTTCTGATATATATATATATATATATATATATATATATATATATATATATATATATATATAAACATACATACATACATATACACACACGAGGGTAGTGATATAATATATATAACTATTATATTATACATATATATATATATATATAAAATCAAGAGTGAACCTTATTTTGAAAGCATTCGGTTTTCTTCTTGTTATTCTATGCCTGCAATGGATGTTTGAGATGAATTAAATTTTGCAAAAATTATAAGTTATCAAATGTTTAAACTTTAAAAGTTTGAAAATTGAAAAAGAAAATAAGCTTTACTTTGAAATTTTGCCAGCCTTTCTGGATTTTTTATAATTGTCATCACTAGAATACGAGTCGTCCTCTTCTTCCGAGGAAGAAAACGTTTTTTTTGATTTGTTTGACACTTTAGCCTTACTTCGAGTTGTTGCTTGCCTAGTAGTTCTGTGGATAGAAAGAAATAAAAATATTGAAAATTTAGGATGAGCATTTTCAAAAAGTCAACTTGACATAACTAACAGATTATGAACACAATACTCTACTATTATAAAATCAGCATAATTTCTTTATAGCTAATAATGCCGATATCTCACCTGGTAGGTCTAGACCTGGACTTCTTATTTTCATTGTAACTGCTGTCAGAATCGTCATCCTCGTCGTCGTCATCATCTGAGTTTGCGATTCTTAAAAATCATCAGAGAAATAATTTTATTCATAAGTAATGAAAAATATTGATTAATGTAGTAGTAAGATAACTAGTGCAGCCTACCTTTTCCTTTTTTTCCTCTTATCAAAACTTTTATTCTGAAAAAAGTTTCAATTAAAATTTAAATAAGTAAGACAATAATTCAAATCTAAAAACATGTATACCAAATCAGTTTTATGAGAATTAAGACATAAAGAATAGTTGAAAAAGTTATTATACAAATAATGGCAACAAATTGACTTTACAAGTTCAATTCAAATAACTGCATTAGATATTGTAGATTTATAAATTGTGTGCCATAACTAAGCTAAACTAAAGAAATAGAATATAAATTACATCATCAAAATGATTCCTCGTAACTTCAGTGCGACGCCTGTCAGATCTTCTTATGCAATACAGTTCCGGATCTTGAGCTGCTTTCTGAAAAATCAACATTCAGAATTTAAAATCTTAATTTTTATTTACTAGTAAACTACTAAAATAATCATACCTTTCCTATGTCTTTCTTAGTTTCATTTTTTATTATGTCCCTTTTTCTTTCCTCTTCTTCATCATCGTCATCGTCATCAGAATCTGACAAATTAGTACCCTTTTGAGATCTTGGTAGATGTAAGGATGAAAACTGGTTGTTATTGTTCAATTCAACATGCACTTCACTTTTATCAGAAGTATCAGAATCATCTTCAGAATTGCTGGATGCAGATTTGGAATCATTTGAAATTGATTCATCTTCTGATTTGTCTTCACAGCTGATAAATTATAAATCAATAGGTATGAGTAGAACAGCACAGCTGATCAATTTTAGATGTCATACAAAATTAAATTAATGACAATGAACATTAAATCATTAATGAATGAAGATATAAAAAACAAAGCATTTCACAAACCTACTATCCTCTGATCTGCTATAGGCATTTGTATCTTGTGCCATGTTGATATCAGTTCTATATCTATATAATAGATAAGAAAATATAAATTAATAATTTTAGCTTTACTTTTGCTTACATTAAAAAACTCATTTAGAAAATTATCATGTTGCTTTGGGCGTAGCATTTTATTTTACTTAGCCGTAATAAAATTTAGAAGTTATTTTTGACCGAAATATGACAAAAGTTGTTTACGTCTGTTCGATGTTTAAAACTTAAAAAACATTAAATCCCATCCCCGCGAGCCAAACATCAGGTGCTCGCATCATATGTTCGCGCCGAAGTAAGCCAGAAAAAATCGTAACTTAGTGCAGTGAACGCCATCTTATATTAATTACAATTTCAATATTCCTTAAATAAAAAATATTTATAAAGCTCTATTCTTTACTAGCATAGAAGGCGAGAGGCGAACAATAACTACTTCGCCATATTTAATTTAAAAATAACGATCAGCACAGGAAACAGAAACCATCTTCTAAAAAAAAAATTTTCGCTTTACTTACCAACAAATACCTGATAATGAATTAAAACACGAAACGAGCAAAGATTTTATACGCTTTATTAGATTTTACAACCCGATACCGACAAAGATTATCAATATTTTACGCATATTTGTACGTGACGTAGAATAAAGAACATAGACATAAAACAATCTAAATATATTTTACAACATAACAAGTCATTATGGAAAACGAATAAATTAGTTCGTTTGCGCTGTTCCAATTTAAGAAATCTTGAACACCGATTTAGAACAGATGTGAACATTCTTTGTTGGCGGGAACCAGACTGGAAAACAAAAGATCTTTTTCCGAAATTGCACTGTAGAGTTGAGAAAGAACTTCACTGACGTTCGTTGGCACCAAGGATCGCGAAATCTTTTTCGAACGTTACGCCGACACAGCACCAAAAAATTGAATTTGTTGCAAATTTTTCTTTGCCTCAAAGTTGCCAGTTTGAGCTCTAGAGAACTTCAAAATTATTAAAATTGTTCTTGCAGCTTCTTAAGACTTCCAGCATCGAGATTTTCACGAGATTTATATTCTTCAGGGCTACTTAGCTACCCAGCAATGAAATGAATGAGATTATATTACTAGATGGTTTAATCAATACATATTTCAGATCAAAAATACTGTCGCTTTTTAGTATTATTCTTCTGAAGTATGTGCAGCTATCGACACCTTTTTGATGAACATGCAGCTTCATAGATGATGAATGACCAACAATGAACATTTGCCCAAAATCTGAAAATAATAAAATTTAAATGAAGTTTATTTATAAGCCATATATATATACACAGAAATACACATACATAGACGCAAATATATATGTCGATATACATACATATATATATGTATATACAGTGGTGGATCTCGACAACTTTAGCAGGGGGCCCAAATTTTTAACGTTAATCTGGCAAATTTACAAAATGTTTAAATGTTGGCAGGGGCCAAAATTTTGACGGGGCTTCATTTGTGACCAACGACCTTTTTTTTATATCATTTTCCGTTAAAAAACGATTAAAAAATGAGTCTTACTGACTAATGATACAAATACTAACACTACTAACAAAAGAGGGCACAGGCCCCACTACATCCACCACCGTATGTATGTGTGTATATATATACATACATACATACATACATATATATATATATATATATATATATATATAATAAAGACTGTCAGAAATGTAACCATTGATGAAAATCACAGCATGTTGTGCATTTTGTCAGTAATTGCGTATATATACATACATTTAAAACAATTGCATAACTGAATAAAAACAAGAATAAAACAGTTAAATAAAATCATTAATTATCAATTAAAATTGAATAAGATAGATCAGAAAAGTAGCAAACTAGACCAGATGATAAAACATGACTGTAAACAATTTTTTATTACATGCAATACAGGCATACCAATACATTTTTCTAAAAAACAATTGCCATTGTAAGCCTTAAATATATATATATATATATATTTTGCCACATATTTATATATATGGCTACTATTAGGGTTAGGGTTAGGGTTAGCAAAAAACCTGCTAACCCAGTATTGCTTTTTATTTTCAGAAATACATATATATATATAATTATATGGTTACATACATGAGTTTTAACTGTGACTTTACAAATAAAAATAAATTTAATATAAATAAATATTAATAGGCACTATTTAATTCTAAAATTATTTATATGCATAAGTACTTAAACACGCGCACACAGACACACACACATATATATATATATATAAATATATATCAACATAACTTTAAACTTAAATATGAAAATAATTTTATAGACACAGCAGTACATAAATTTAATTAGATAAATCTCTTTACCAACATGAAAAAACCTGGTACAAAATAAATAGGACAAGGAAAATATATATAATCAATTCATTTAGACCACAACCAAGTCAAAATAATTTTCTTTAGTTTTAAATGTTTTTTATAAGTTTTTAATTTTTTGAAAATTTATTTCAACAAAATAAAACATCTTTTGCTTCCAAGCATTATTTTCTAACGAATTTGTGGAATTTCTGCAGCTTAGAGAAACATTTCCATCAAAATATTTTTAGTTATCTAATTGTTTGATTAATCGATTTAATTTATAACCAACCAACCAACAAAACAGAAGAGCAAAAAGATCAATGCAGAATTATTTACATTTTTTATGTCAACTTAATCCATTTAATGCTGTAAAACCCCTTGATTTTTCTTAGGTTATTCATTCAACTATTTAACTCAAATTGTTCATCATCAAATTAATTGATATGATTCGACTAAGATTGGCGTTTGGCATATAATTTTAAACTTTTTTAATCAGCAAAATTTTTTCACAATCCTACAAAAACAATAGTTGGCTATGTTTGCATTGATTTAACCACTAAATTAATTCTCACACTCAAACACAAGCATACATATTAAGTGTATATATATATATAAATATAAATAGAGTGGTATGCAAAACGCACATGCCACACACACATTTTGTATATATACATGCTATGCTCATCTCAGTTTGTCAACCACTTAATTTAAGAATACTGTCTAGGCACTATTCATTTTTTTTATTAAATTTCAACTAGCTAAATAGACCTATTAGAAATTTTGTTTTGCATTTATAATGTAAAATGCAAACTCATTGAAACAATGTTTTCGTAAAAAAAGAGCAGTTAATAAAAATAGCATCAAACATAAAAATTACATGTAATTTAACAAATTCCTTAATATAAAAACTAAACATTTTTAAAAAAATGTAAAAGCTTCATTTATTGTTTAACAACACTGATTTGTTAATTAAAATAAATAAAAAAAAACAATTGAAATAGAAAATGTCTACAAAAATAAAGACAAATTAAAAATAACATTAAAAACGTGATAAAAAAGCCATCGTTAACAAAAAACTTAATGCTAATCTTAAGTAACTATTACTAATAAAATAAAACTTTTAATCATTAGCTAATATAATTTTTGATCTCAAACATTTACTATTCCTAATGAACCTAAGAAAAGTGAAGACAAAACGTTACGAAAAGTTAAGAAAAAAATTTTGAACAGCTCAGTCTCAACTCATCCAATTGTAAGTAATACTAATCATTAGTAACTATTGAGACAATACGTCCTACCTCAGGAAACTGGGTCTCTGGACACTAAACGAAGATTGATTGATTGATATTGGGACAATACTAAACAAATTATAATCAAACAATTTTAATTGCAAGCAACACTCATGCTTTGACCCAAGCACCCAAGTCACCTAACCATTTCTATCCAGACACCAAGTAAATTATAGGCTCCAGGTATTTAAAATTGAATTTTATTGATTTGACAACAACTGAATTTAAATGAATTCTAAAAAACATTACAATGCTAAAGACAACTAGTATTTTTGCAGTTTGCTGTTAACAATCTATACTATACTAGATCAAAAAGCCCATTACTTGATTTTATTCTTGATTTGCAGTTCCTACTGGGGCATGTCGTTTGTAACTGTCATGGAATTGATACACCTTAGGTTAGGACCTTAGGTTATGGTCTACACGTCTGTACAGCCTCGCACATCAGAATATCTGTTGAGGTCAACGTTACCAATGATAATAACGAATCGCACATAGACCTTATAATAATTAGAATTATTAGAATTAGATCAATTAAAAAACGTTTCAACGGAGGTAATGATTAAAAATAGGCTACCAACACAACTTTAAGGGCTAAAATTGATTCAACGCTTTTAACAGGCGTCAACGCAAAAAACGCACACTATTTCGATAGAATTTAAAAAATTTATATAATATTAAAAATTAAATAAGCTAGACATGCTGGAAACATTAAATAACTGATTAAAAACGAGTTTGAACAAAAAACATCAAAAAAAAACACTACGGACATCGATACTAACGTTAACAACTAGGCGATTACTTTTTGTTGAAATTTTCATCTAATTCTTCTTATCTTCAGTTCAAAATCTCTGAAATCGCCAAAACAATGACCAGAAATATTTTTGACACACAAAAAACACATTTTGATAGAATTTTTTCGATACTTCACAAATATTTCTAAAAAATGAAGAAGAACATCCGCACCGAACCAAAACTTCAGAAACAATGAAAACGACCTCTAAGAGACCTCTACTTACACAAAATGGCTTCTGCAGCGTCATCTGTTTGATATGCAAAATTATTATAAAAAATTTAAATTTATGTTTCATTTGAGAGCTCTGATTGGTTGGCAGCATGAGTCTAAAAATAAGCTTCATCTGATTTGCTGACTAAAAATTTTGAAAATCTGTTCGCTATAATATTTTGAATCATCTTATAGCACCGTCTATCGAACTAACAGAATTTATTGCGTTGAGAATAAAATGTGAAATAACTTAAATCAATCATTTGATCAATCAATCCACTGAATTATAATAATAGTGAATCAACCAATCGATGAAACAATTAATTACCTCATGTACGTTTAATAAATCTAAACGCTCTATTACTTTTCTTTCTATTATTATCTTACCTGATTCTAAAACTCATGATGTTTCTCACAAGTTTCGTAGTCCAGGCTTTATCTTTGATTCTAGCGTGTCTCTTTCTTCTCAGATTAAAAGTGTTGTTAGAAGTTCTTGCTTTCATCTACGTAAAATAAAAAAACTTTTGCTTTTTCTTTATAATCCTATTCTTCTCCTTTTTACTTCTTTAGTTTTATCTAGGATTGATAATTGTAACTCTTCCTCAATCTAAATTATTTCCTACGCACTTATCAGATATATTAATTTAACTTTTACAATAGTCTTCTTGTTCTCACTTCTTCTTAACTCATGTTGTTCTTAACTAAATCTGCATTTGCTTTTTCTTACCTATCACTATGAAACTCTCTACCTTCTTTTCTGACTACTTCTCCATCACTTACGAAGTTCAGAGCGGATCTCAAGACCATCTATGTTTGCAAAATTGATTGAGGAGCGCTTTTGAACATCGCGGAAATAGCGCTTTATAAACTAACTGATTGATTGATTTGCGCTTTCAGCATTATTCTAAAACACAAACGCGTGAAAAAACACATCTTTAACCGAGACCTGAAAATAATTTAATAATTTCATTACATGCTCAGGGTAGGTAGTAAGTAAAAAACGAGATATCGTCTTAAATTGAAAAATTCAGCATAGGTTATAGAGTAGAGGAGAGCTCAGTCTTTTTCTTTGTCCCAATTCCTTACACAAACCGATATCAAATACGAAGTAATAAGGTTTATGTTGGTACACATACGCATATTCTCAGACACACACACACACACACACACACACACACACACACACACACACACACACACACACACACACACGCACACAGCTCTCAGTTTATTTCTTTATTAATTCTTTTATAATTCTAGGCTTTGAAATTGGCAATTCTGCCAAAACAACGTTGATAGCCTAACTATGACACTAATTACTAAAACTAAAAAATGTGAAATACAAACAATAGGTTTGTGTTGTTAAATTACTTACTAAAAAGTTAATAAACGCAAAATGAGCAATTATATTTAGTGACATTTGTATCGACGAAAACCTCGTTCCTTAGTCTGTTAATAAATCTTCGACAACCGATTGACATTTTTGGGCCAAGTTTTTACCTATTAACAAATCCCAACTTTTTTTGGGCAAATTTATTTCTAATAAAAATAGTTTTTTCTTGAACCCAATATTTAAAACTCGATTAAAAAGGTTACAACCATAACTTAGGTGAGCGTTTTTTTAATAGAAAATTGAATCTGCCTTCATATTCCGTAAACCAATCTCAGACAATATTTCAAATTTTTGGCAATTTTATTCTATTATGAATGGTTTTTTTTAACAAAATATTGAAAAATACTTTAAAATTCGATTAAAAATACTTACAACCATATAACTTAAGTGAAAACTGAATCCAATGTCATATTCTGTTGCGTGTATGTGAAATATTATTTTGTTGCACGTTAGTGGAATATTATTTAAATCAATTCATGTTATAAGTAAATAGCTTTTATTAACTTTCATATCTATTATCTCTATGCGGCCTTTCAAGATTCATTTGAGTTTGAATGAGTTCAATTAAGCTTTTATTTTGAGTATTGGCTTTAACATGTAAAGATATGGCGGATAAGTCAATGTTTTGGGCTCCACTGTGAGCGGCATATGTGGTTACGGCATTTTTCACAAATGAATTATTGTTAAGCAATGAATAATCAACCAGATCTTCCACATCATCAGATCTCAAACTCCCCACAGATTTTGGCTCTAAATTATATGGTTGTATATGTGAAAGAAATACGGGCAGTGTTGTAGAACTATCTTTTATATCATCGTACTGTTTAATTTTTTTCTTCATCACAACTTCTCTTCTTAATATTGGTTTTTCTTCATCTGTATGCAAATAAAACGATGAAAAATGTCAGTCGATTTCTCGGGTTGTATAACAATGTAAAAATGCATGTCTAGCATAACCTATTTAATATAATTAAACGTTTATAAATACAGAAAATACTTTTAGGCCTGATTGGCTTTTCTTCAAAATTATCGATCCTGAAATCTTTCCAGTTAAGTAGTGTTTCCAAAGCATAACTACTTCTTCGATTGACATATGGTAGGTACAAAGAATACATGGAATGCGCATGAACAATCCCATATAAGCTACGAGCTTTTGTTTCATATTCAGACGTAATTTCAGATCCAAAGGCCTTTTTTACATATTCTTTAGCCACGTTGTAATGCCCCTGCAATCGCAAACCTAAATTATTTGACTGGTCTCATACCACACAACAAATTGAAGAAAACAATGATATGATACCTAAACTTCGAAAGATTATAAAATTCAAACAAACTTAAATAACTGACAGCGTTGTTGAAAGCGAATCCTGTTTCCAGATAAGATTCGGTTAAAACGTGTTTGTCTTCACCTTCATCAGAAACCTCTATGAACCGACCATAATACTCTTTTGCCTTATCTAAATCATCTAACCTAAAATTTTAAAAAGTTATATGAAGAAAACATTTTTAAAGTGTATACACATTACTTGAAGAAAACTGCTCCAATAGATTGACTTGCAGATGCCACACCTTTCCAGTCCATCATTTCTTCACATAGTTGAAGACATTCTTTTAAAATCTTACAATTTAAATAGGCGCTCTCAATTTAAACTAAATAAAATAATAAAGTTTTATTGATCAAATTTGTCGAAGGGTTACTCACTTCCAAAGCTCTTGTAAAATCTCCTTTGGTGGTGTAGAAATTGCCCAAATTGAGCATAGAAGCAACGATTAACGAGCTATTTTTATCTTGAATCGTTCGAGAGGTTTAAAGTAATAAATATAATATAAAAATTTACTCAACAATTCACATCCAATAATTTTTTTCAATAACAAATTAAAAAAATTAACTGATAATATTTTGTCAAAACACGACAATTTTTCAACACGCCTTATGTAGGAAATTTATACTTTCTGTGGCAAATTTAGACGCCTCATTGAAAAAGTTTTCACTCTCTCTCAGAAGATTTAGCGCCAGTTTACTTTTTCCTATGTTAAGACAAACTTCTGTTAGGTTATAAGTACTTTGGTAAAACAAACTGGTCCCATCCTCCAGAAGAGGGAGATGATTGTTGTCTCGAGAAAAGTCATAAACAAATTTTAAATAATTGTAAGCTGATTCTGGATAATCTGACGTGTAAAAGTTATTATTCTATTAACGCCATCACAATTTATTTTACATGTCTCAAGAAAAGATCACCATTAGATTTAGCATAGAGGCCAAAATAAAGTTGGCTTAATGCTAAAGAACTTCCATCCTTATCACAAGGATATTCAGATGCTATTTTCATACACAAATCAAAAAACCTCACTGCCAGTGAATTTTCCCCTTGAGCAAATGTCCGCGCCAAATTTAAATGACAAGTAAACAACAAGCTAAAATCATCTGTTAACAATTAATGTATTACTTCTGTGAATGTTTTGTTGTATAATAATTATAAGCAATGTCACCATTGTTTTTAGCAGTCTCCGCATCTTTGAGGAATTGGGCGATAAACTGTATAGTGTCAAGTTGTTCATGCAAAGGCTTAGCCTTGTGGGCTCCATAAAGTTTCTCATATTCTTTTCTTTCCTTTGCGTCAATAAGGATTAGATTGTTAATTTCTTCAAAAACCATGTGATAGCCATCAATTAGCAGATCTTGGAGCATACTTTCCAAAGTTATTTCTTTTTCACTTTTAGAAAATAGCACATCAAAAAAATAATTAGTATAGCCCGTAATGTAAACGGTTACTTACATTTAAGATTTAACGTACGGCGGTTTATACGAGCCAATGGTTTCAGCTTCACGGAGCATCGGTAATATAAATGTTGATTGATTATAAACGGTTCCAGCTATTCCACCTCTTTTGTACTTAGGAATCTTGGGAATAACCTTGTCTAACAACAGCACGGACTCCGTTACATCACCTTTCCAAATTTTCAAAATTGACTTCATCTCCTCTTCTATCAAGCAATCAGTTGGCAATCCTTGGCGTTTTGCAGGCTGCCTTTTGCGCACTTTTTTCAACTGAGCAACAACGTATGGAAACATTTTAACAACTCGTTAAAACCGTGTTATAACGCTTTCCGTTAGCTAGTAATTTCACAGTCGACGATCTAATGATCTAATCTAAATAACGATTCAAACATTCAAAAACAACGTCTTGCTCCCTTAGATACGTTCGTTGTTTACTGAAAAAAGTTATGTTTATTTTCCAACACAAAAACTTATAATAGCTAGCTAATTAAAAACAGTTACATATTTCCGCGTCTTCCCCTAAAACTTGCCATGTCCTTGTTAACTTCAAAAAAATCGCAGACTGCTTGGAAACCTCTTGTCGGCAACAATCTGGTAAAATAATTAATAAAAAATTATACATAATTTTAAAAATACATCTTCAATCTATTAGTGAGCAACGGCATATTGCAAACAGATTCAAATTTTAGTCATGTACGTATTTGAAGAAATCAACAGCAAGAACAGCAACCATGTACTTAGATTAGAATACGGCAAATAAATAATTGGATCAGTTAAATAAACTGATTGATGTTTGCCATCTAAATATTGACTAATTTTGGGTGGCGCGTAAGTGTGTAACCGTAAAGTGCCTTGCACTGCTATTGTAGTGACCGGACCCGATTAAAAAAGAGATCCTCGCCTATCATATGCAATGTGCGTGATGCGTTGCTTTACTTGTATTTACACGCACTGTGTGTTTGTCGTCGATACCTTTGAAAAATATTGACCTTTTGAAAAATATTGAAAAGAGAATTGTAATAGAATTGTAATAATTTAGCATGGCTTTACCAACAGCAATGCATAACTAACGATTTAAGCATCAAGAGCAAATGAATTATTTTAGGAATAACGAGAATGACTTGATCTGTTAATATGGCTTTAACTATTTTATGGCTAACATACTCTGGCTTTAATATAGGAGTAATTTTTGGAAATCTGTAATTAAAAATGTTATTAAGTATTATGTAAATGGTTATCAATGACGTAATAGTAAAGAAACGAACTTAGTTTTGACACCATGAAACATTCCAGTGTTAATATAATACGGACATATGCAAGTGGTTTTTACTCCAGTTTTGTTAAGATGAATGATCTCCTGTCTAAGAGAATCATCAAGACCTACAGCACCAAATTTACTGGCACTGTAATCTGTCATTTTATTAATACCTGCTAATCCAGCAACACTTGCTATGGTTACAATATGACCATGGTTTCTAGCTAGCATGGATGGCAAAACACTCCTGATCAACTAAAATGATGTTTGAAATAAACTTTGTAGCTAAAAAAATAATCTATGATGGAAAAAACAATCATTAGTGTCATTAAATGGTTAACAGGAAAACAAAATACATACACTGGCAAATATAATTTTGTTTGGCAACATATTAATGAACAAATTTAAACAAACATAAAAATACTCAAGTGAACAATAAAGCTAACCCAAAAATGAGCCATCAAGTTAATATCTAATGTTTTTTCAATTTCTTCATCACTTGCATCCAGAATGCTTTTTCCTGTTACAATGCCAGCATTGTTTATTAAAATGTCAACATCTCCTATATCTTTTGCTATCTTCATTCATGAATAAAAAAATCACAAATAAAATCTATCTCTTATTAAATAAATAAATAAAGTCATAATAACCTTAGCCATGGTATCATGAATATTTTGCCTTATTGATAGATCACAGACATATTTGTATGACTTCCCTTTTGAATTTCGAATTATTGAGGCAGTTTCTTCAAGTGATACTGGATTGATATCTAATAGCAACAAAATACATCCTCTTTTACTCAATTCAATGGCAATCAATCGACCAATGCCTGAACCTGTGCCATTATTTTGTTTGCATTTAAGTTTTTTAAATGTCTTTGAATGAAAATAAAATATGGTGTATTTTTTTAATATTTAATAAAAAAGCTAACTAAATATTGTGCCATATAAATGTTGCAACATATATGAAAAAATTAGCAAATTAATAATTAAAATTAGATCACTAAACTTTAAAAGGTATAAAATCTATCTTAACAACAAAAGTTAAAAAACTAATACAATACTTGAATACTTCTTACATTACATAGAATAATAAAAAAAACCCACAAAATTTACAGATGATAACTCATCATGTTATCACATTGTTACTATGGTATGGGGTCTACTGTTAAAAGTGCTTTTACCTTTCATATTATTTTTTATAATATTGTTAAGTTAAGCCTATTATAATAACAGGGTGTTTATAATTTTTATATTATAGTGAATAAATAAAAACTGAATTTTTAAATTAATCAAAAAATAATACCAAAAATTCTTGTACCAACCGGCTCCCGTTACCAGAGCAATTTCATCGGTTACACTTTTTTCTTTTTTAGAGACGAAACAATAAAAAATTGATTCCAATATGCTGAAAAGAATGGTGTAAATTAGTTTGAAAAATTCGACCAACACGTTGTCACCTGCCATCATGCTCTGGATTCGAAGTTAAATCTTAAAAGAAGACTGCAGGTCGCTTTTTGGGATGCACACAGCTGCCGTCTCTGCCGCTACTTAGGTATGGGACTAGCGATGACAAATGAAAACAATTCTTTTCCTATGTAGACAGATATAAATAAATAAATATATATATATATTCTAATTATATGTATGTATGTATATATATATATATATATATATATATTTATATATATATATATATATATTATAGGCATAATAATTATAAAATTATAAATGGCCCTCAAATATACCTGTGTAATCTATTACGTAAATTGTAATCTCGTGAAGTGTTTTTTCAATTTGCAGTTAACAAGTTTCGCTATAATACTATGCGTATTTTTGTAGTTTTAATGTCAGTTATTCGAATTTTTCTATTATGGTTCTGTTCTGTTAGAATGTTTTTAGTTTGCCTCTTATCATGCCTATCATATAATGATGGTATTCTATAATTAGCGGCTTCTTAAAACCATATATATTTATTTATTTATTAAAACTCGCTACTTTCTTCGATGTAGTCCTCTGAAAAAAAAGTTTATCCACTCCTGTTCTTATCAATTATACGCTAAAAAGTAGATTCATTGTAATGTGTAACCATAACACTAAGGGAAAAATCAACACATATATAGAATAGGTGTGTAACTAATTTGATGTATTGTATATATACATTGTACAAGACAATAGAATAATGTAATTATATTATAGTCGTATATACATTTATGATATTACATTATTAAATATATAAAAGTTAATGTCGTTTCACAAAAATTTAGTATGGGAATTTAATAAATTGAACACCATGACACCATTGGAACGTCTAGCTTGATGCAACATGTATATGGTCTAGCCCTTTGGCTAATTCTTATAAATATAATCTAATCGTTGTTATCCAAGTTATGAATAACGTTGATATTTTATAACCTTTTTTTGTATTTTTAAAAGTCAAATAAAATGTAAAATAAAATATAGATAATATCAATGTCACCATTCTTACCCTGTTATTTCCAGTTATCAGGTCCCTGGGTAGTAGAGGGGATAGGAGATAAATAGGGGATAAATTGAAATGAAATTCTAATTGATTGATTGATTAATTGATTGATAGGTTATAGAGTAAAGTTTTGTCAAAATCATGTCTTTTAACAGAAGCGTATACGCTATTTCATTTCATATTTAAGTTGAAACGACTTGAAGAATAACGATTTATATGCATAATATTAACGAAAACCCATGATAAACGCCAATAAACACATATTCAAATGCCAATTTTTACATCAGGTCAGGACAAATGATCATCAAATTCTCAAAAAGTTTGCAGATGCTAATGTTAACAGTTCTTTGCTCAGCAACATGGATACTGCGTTAACCAACTCTTCTAGTGTTTTGTTTACTAATTTTTTTCATAGAATGGAGCAAGTTAGGAATTAGTGTCATCTCGTAGGGCTGCAGTGATTTGATTTGAATAATAATAATTATTAAATGATTTAGTTGCTCATTTTCGATGAGATGTCTTCCGATAATTATGATAGGTAAGTTGATTTAATAATTTTGTTTTTATTTAGTTTAGTTTTATTTTAGAAGTTTAGTTTTAGTTAGGTTAGCGTTAGTTAGTTAGATAAACTGTTTAGTTTAGTTTTAGTAGTTAGTTTAGTTTTATTTTAGTTTAGAAGATTTAAATTTAGAGAGTTTAGTAATAGTTGTTTAGTACATTCTGACTGAACTGAACTGATTTGGATAAGATTTTGAATTTTTGATTGAATTGATATTGATTGGATTAATTAATTAATAACTGTTAATTAGCATTAATCAATGGATTCAACAATTAAATAAATAGTTTAATATTAAATTAAATTAATTAATTGAATAACACTTTATTTTTAAGTATAAAATAAACAAAGCATATTCATTTCTTTTCACAATGATTTTCAAATTAATTTATTGCTAATTTTTATTTTTTGTTTTTTTTTAATATAATTTTTTATAATCAAAATATTCTATGATTTCTGTTGGGCTAATTCACTGTTAATGTTAAATATTGCTAAAAATTAAACAATTATTTAATAATTCTTGAATTTGTAATTAATTAATTAATTTTTATAACCATTAAGTTTCCAATATGGTTTCCTACATGTTTCTGAAAACCAAGAAGATCCAACTAGGTTGTCTATTTTAAAGGTAAAGTAAAAGATTTTTTTTCAGTCTAAATCTGAGCTCTCTCATAATATTAATTAAATTAAATTTGAATGTTTTGATACTTTTAAATAGTTAATAGCAACTTATGAAAGTGAGTTAATAAAGGAAGTTTATGAAGACAACACTTCAATGATCTCTCGTCCATCAGACACATCCGATGTATACTGCAAACTTGGTCATTTACATCTCTTGTTGGAAAATTATGATGAAGGTAAGGATTTAAATAAGGATCATGTTTAATGCTTGTTTGATAAATGATAAATTTCATTTAACATTCCTATTTAGATTATTTTTGTAATTATTGTTTTGCTTTACTTTTTTTCACTCTCAAAGCTCTCTCAGCATACCAAAGATATTATGCTATTTGTCCAGAATCTTGGAAGGTATCCTGTTTGATAATTTTTAAAACCTGACAGATATTCCTCTAGTTTTACTAAATGTTACAACCTCATATATTCAATTTATTTGTCATAATTGTTTACTTTGTTTTTGTACCTCCTCAATATTAGTCATGATAGATCACTGGACTGTCCTTTAAATTTTTTGGCGGTTTTTAAAATTATTTTTTGAGGCGATACAATCAAAAGGGTGATACAATTCTTAAAGATAGAAAAACTTATTTATTTTATTTAGTTTATTCTGAGATTTTGTCTGTGTTTTTCAGAATGCATCCTTCCTGTATGGCATCTCCATGACCTACTTCCATTTCCAATTCCACCCATGGTAAAATTTAAATATTCTAATTATTACTGACCGCTATCATTTGATTGTTATGTTGATGAAACTTTCTTACTGGGATGTTCTAAATAGTGGAACATTAATTAGATCTTTTTAAAAATATGTTTAATGGTTTTTTTTTTACAACCAAATTGATCAGTAACACATATGAGTAAATAAGACATTTTACTAATGTCTACCTCATTTACATTTAAATAAGATTTACAAATAAATAAACAAATAAAAAATTAAATAATGTTTTATCTTTTTCTCTGACCAGGGCAATTAAAGGTTTCCAGAAGTTCCTATATCTGTACTCGGATCACAGATGCTGTGTTGAAGTTCATATAAGATTAGCGTACATTTATAGTGCACTGAAGGAACACGATTCTAGTCTCAAGGTTATTAATGTTTTTAGTTTTTTCTTGGATTACAATTTTGATATGTTCGACTTGATGTTGATGAGATGGAGAAGATGATAAGGGTTGTAGTGATGCAAAAAATATTCTACTTCCATACTAATACAGCATTTCCAACTGGCATACAATGACAGCAACCCATCAACATACACAAAATATCAAAGTCTGTTTACTTCGTTTTTGTTTCATAATTTTTCTAATTTCAACATCGTTATAAAACACTGAAGTCTGTGGTTTGTTATTTGGCATCCATGCACTTACCCTATGTTTGTAAGATGTTTAAATGTGCCCTTAAGCACTTTTAAAATAGCCTATATAATTTGTTTAAGTTATATTGATTGATTGATTGATTAATTAATTAATTAGTTGATTGAGTAATTGATTGATAATTTTGATAGTTGCCAATTCAACCACCACTCCTGTTATGGCCATTATTTTTCATTTATCATGTGTTATATTTTTTACATATTCTTTTAACACGCGCACAAACCCACACATATATATATACACCTTATATCTAATACATTTCTAATATTGTTTATATTCTCTCTCTTCACAACAGTCAGATTTTGTGAGGCCCACATATACCAGATGAAGGTTAATTATTATCTTTCAACAAGTTGATATAGGATTTCTTTTTCATTTTTATTGTTATTATTATTTTTGTTGTTATTGTTAGTGTTGTTGTTGTTATTATTATTATCAAGATCATCATCGTCATTATTGTTGTTGTCGTTATTTTTATGGTATCATCTGGTTAATGTTTTTAATGGTTATCAATTTTTAACGAAATTTATCAATTCATTGGTAATATTTCTATATCTGCAATATCTATTATCATATATAAAATATCCTCAATATATATAATACAATATACAGAAGTATGTATATACAGTAGTATGTATGTTGTATATATAGTACAATATATGTAGTATATATATAATATATGTAGTATATATATTACAATATGTAGTATATATATATATATATATATTGAATTGTATATAATCTATACATTGTCTATGATATCTGCAGAATGATTGCTTGAAAGCAAAAGAAGTGTTTGATGAGCTGATAGAAAATGCTTTGGTACCTGACTCAATCAGAGCTGGATCACTGAAACAATTAGGTTACTTACTATTTTCATCATTATAATTAACATGTTAATGAGGATGGTGATAGTGTTGATGATGATGAGGATTATAATAATAATAACGATGATGATGATAATGATGATGAGGATAATGATGATGAGGATGATGATATGTAATGCCAGGGTGGATGTATCACACAAGTGAGAGTTTTGGAGATGGTCAGTATCGAGATACGATGGCGGTCAACATATTGAGGAAATCCATCGAATTGGAACCAACCTCTGGACAGACGTGGTATTTTTTGGGAAGGTAGGCCAAATTTTACTCTTCTTATTTTTTTTCTTGTTAATTTCGGTAATTAATTATATATTTTGTTTTTTTTCATTGAAAAATATTCTACCGTCGCCAAGATGATTAAAAATTATCATAATTTTCGTCGTCAGATGCTTATCTAGTCTGGGCAAGGTTCACGACGCTTTTGTGTCCTACAGACATTCAATTGACAAGAGTGAGGCCAGTGCTGATACCTGGTGTTCCATTGGGTGGGTAGCTGACATCACTTGATACTTATATGCATCATTAGCTATTTATTATGCTCAAATATTTTTCATTAAAAAGTTCAAAAAAATGTTTCTCTTCAAATTAAATTTTTCCAAATGCCAGAAGAAGAGCTGTGATGATGTTTGATATGTAAATTGTAAACAACGCAAGAGTCTCTACTTTCGTTGGAAATTTATGATGAAATAGACATCAAATTGTTTGCAGTGTGTCGATACTATGCATGCCATCCATTCACTCGAACCATGCAGGGTGTTGTACCAGCAGCAGAATCAGCACATGGATGCATTGCAGGCCTACATATGTGCCGTTCAGTTGGATCGATCTCACTACGCTGCATGGAATGATCTTGGATTGTTGTACGAGTCATGTGACCAGCTCAATGATGCTCTCATATGCTACGCCAATGCTATCAAGACTGCAAAATGTTCGTTCTTGTTTTTTGTGCTGCATTGTTTGGAATTTGTTAAACTGGGTTTGGGATTGAGTAGAGTTGATTTGATTATGTGCCAGTGTAAGTTGGTTTCTCCACATTTGTTTGACACTGTTGGCAAAATTAATTTTTATTAATTAAAATAATTTTGATACAAACGAATTTTTAGCTGCGCCTTGTAGATTGAAGAACAGAGTGAAGGCTCTGCAAACTCACATCAGCAACACTCCGGCTGCTGTCTTTCAAGCCAAGTCTGTTGTTGGAATGTGTTTATATGATCTTTTGTTTACGTTGATTAGGTTGTACTGATTAGTTGTGATGCATATTATTGAATTTTGTAACGTTTTTTATGCATGTTTGGTTCATTTTTGTATTCTTCATCCAACTTTTTAAATTTGATTTAACTGATAATTTGGTTGAGAGAAAACAAATTGAATTATAATTACTAACACAAACACATTCACACACACACACACAAGGCCGAAGAGTTTGCCCAGTATTGAAGAAGCGTGGACGCTGCCCATACCAGCTGAGCTGACATCAAGACAAGGCATCCAACAAGTATCTTCTGCTTCTCTTCCTAATTCATTATCATCATTACAAACTTCATCGCATCGTCGTCGTCATCGCATTGTCGTCGTCATCGTCATTTCTGCCCTAATCCTCACTGTTATTATCGTCTCTCTTTTCATTCACCTCACCTAATTTCTTTTAGAAAAATTGTTTAGAAATCACTCCAACAGGCGCGGAGCAACAATGAACGCGCATTTTCACCTTCTAAGCAGCAGCAGCAACAGCAGCAACAACTTCAACAACAACTTCAACAACCGCAACAACAGCAGCAACTTCAACAACCACAGCAGATCTCAATGCAACAACAACAGCAGCAGCAGCATTTATTTCATGCAGCGGGTGATGAGCCACTGAGTAAGAAGAGAAAAACTGATGATGAGGTTCGTTTATTGAAATGCTTTCATATGCAGTGTAATATCTAATGGTTTTTGTTTGTTCCATTGATATTTGTTTAACGTTATTCAGGAAATACTGATCTGTTTGTTATATTTTATATTATAACACATCACATTCGTCAGTTATGTTAGTTTTTTAAGATTCCTCAGTTGTAGACAATCTACATTTAGCTGATTTTTTGATGATCTATTTGATGATAATGGAGAAATTTCCATTCAAAGGACTCAAAGTTAAAAGAGGAGAAAGAAGATGAAGTGAAAGAGGTTCTGGCAGATGATGCTGCTACTACAGGTGGTAACCGACGACGTTTCTATTTTGGTTACCTACCAACGTTTCTATCTTCAATTAACCTTATTCACTGTGTTTGCTTTGCTTTGCTCTTGAACAAATATATGTTCACAAATTTGCGGGCAAAAGTCATTATGAATTTTATTAATTTTCAATAATTTATAGGACCGCTGAATTTAGGATCATGGTATTATTGCTGATAATGTGTGGTAATTATTATAAATTATTATGAATGAATATTCATTATGTGGCTTTGATTGACTACACTATTGAAAGTTACAATATAACGACAGTTGTTTGTAACAGTATTACTGAAAAATTGTAAATGAATGGACAGGAGGAATAGATGGATCTGCGAGTCCAATGTGTCGTCCACCGTCTCCACCACCATCACCCTCTCCAATTTACGGCGACAAACTTTATCCTTCCGTTCCAAGTATTTATGTTAGTCTCTTTTCTTTTATTTGACCTATTTGTAGGTACTAATGACTGATTGTCAAAATGAAATTAACTACCTAATGCTACTTGACTTTTCAAACAGTTTCTTCAGTTTAAATTGCACCTACATGTATATTTGAATTACTTCGATTGTGTCTGACTTCTTAGTTAATTAATTTTTTTTATTGGTTTTAAACCAATGTCATACTTTTTACAATTTTAACTATTGTTTAAGTTATTTGAGCACGTTTCGTTATTAAGACAAACATGTGATTGATCACGGTGTTGGATGGATACTCGATAATTATTTGCAGTTGGAGAGCAAGAAGGATGTCTTCTCGATAGAACTGCAACAATATTGTTATTCGCAGAGCGTGTGCGTTGTCAGAGGTTTGGCTGGCATCCTTAAGTTGGGTTCGTCCTGTTGCTATTTTTTGTTTCTGTGTTAGCTGTTGTGTTCTGATCTGCTGTTGTGACGATTTGCTCCTCGCTGATATTGTTAAACATTTGTTATCAATGTTTTCCTAATAAGTTTTTAAACGTCCTACAAGTTCAAATTTTATTTCCCTGAAGATCTGGGTTTATTTTCAACGAAGACGTTAGTGGAGTTGAACCCTGACCACAGAGTTGAGGTAAGGTCCCAAGTGCTTCAAGCACCAGATGATAACTACAATGCAAGTGGTGAACAAGTCTGGTGGTGTGATAGCACGAGGTCCTACACCACTATCGCCAGGTTCTGACGTTTTTTAACAATTTGGGCAATTCTTTGTTGCTCATATTTCTTTGTTGGATGCTTCCGTGATTGAATGATTATTTTGAAATGTTTTGTTGGGTAAACGGTGTTGTCGGTAGTTATTAGTCGTTGGTTGTTTACGCGATATTCTTAATGAGGATGATGGGAGTTTTGTTTGATAGAATTAAAAATTTTTCACGCAGGTATGCTCACTACCAAGCTGCTTCCTTCCAGGAGTCTTTGAAGGTTGGAATGAGTTTCCCTGGTTAACGATGAATGAGCTGATATTTCTGAATAGAAATTTTAAAATATTCGTACATGCATTACTAAGTTTTTATTGTTGCGATTTGGTTATCTGATTATATTATTGATTGAATTGAATGTAAAGATGGTTGGTTTAACGATGATAAGTTAATTAACAAATTGACGTTAATGGGATTAAAGAGTGACAATTGAGTGATTGGTTGATTGATTGATTAATTATTTAATTGATTGGATAATTGATTTTTTGGTGAATTAGGAAGAAGATGAGAAATCTAAAGGACATTGGAAGGAAAAAGAATCTGATGACGACTCCGTTTCATCAACTTCTAAAATGTAGGCGTCATATTTTCAGGCATTAATATAACAACTCTTTAACCTTTCATTGTTAACCCAACCTCACTATTTTAATTATAAAAATGCAGAAAACGCACCATGATAAAATTTGGAACAAATATTGATTTGTCTGATGAAAATAAATGGAGAGTTCAACTGCAAGAACTAACTAAACTTCCAGCTTTTGCTAGAGTTGGTTCAAATATTTATCTTTTTTTTAATTGTGCATGATTTTTTCTAAGCTTGTATTTATGTAAAATTAATTAATACGTACAATTTGATCACATAAACTATGCTTTAAAATATTTTCATGTCTGCAATCATTTCGTTAAATTTATTTTTTGTACACATGTTATCAGGTGGTGTCAGCCAGTAACCTGTTGAGTCACATAGGCTACAATATCCTCGGTGTAAACACAGTGCAGCTGTACATGAAGGTTCCTGGTTCAAGAACGCCTGGTCCGTTCCGTTTCTACTTGCTTTCTGCTACCTACATCAATTACTCAACTAATTAATTGATTTGTAGGACAGTGATTTTTAATGGACTTTACTCTTCGTCTTTGCATTTATTTTTCCTTAAATTTATTTTTAAAAACCTGTAATTCATCATCAGCGTCGATTTGTATCCTTTCATAATTTATAAATATTTTTATATTCAACGCTAATGAGACCGTGATGACATGTTGATGAGTGCAGTAATGACACACAGGCCACCAGGAGAACAACAACTTTTGCGGCGTCAACATAAACATTGGACCCGGCGACTGCGAGTGGTTTGCCGTGCCCCACCAGTATTGGGGCTCTCTCTACAGACTCTGCCAAAGGTGCCAGCCAATCCCAATCAGCTTACTTTTATCTTTTTTTAAGTTTTGCTGATCATTTTGATATGAATTGATAAATTATTTAAATGAAAAAATAACCAATTTGAGAAGAAGTATTAAACTTTTTATTGCAAATCAGAAACAACGTGAATTACCTAACTGGATCGTGGTGGCCCAACTTGAATGACCTCCGAGACAATCATATTCCAGTGTATCGGTTCATACAGAAGCCTGGAGATCTAGTCTGGCTGGGACCTGGAACTATTCATTGGGTGCAATCTGTGGTTGGTAGATGTTCTGTGGTGGGTGTGTGATGTTCGTTTGTATGTGTGTGTGTGTGTGTGTGTGTGTGTGTGTGTGTGTGTGTGTGTGTAGCTGGTGTAATGTGCATGTCTACTGTGTGTGTGAGTGTGTGTTTGTGTGTGTAGTATAGTATAGTTTGTATGTACGCTGAAGTTTCGTTTATTTTTGGTGTAATTTTTGGTGTAATTTTTTTTGTTCGTGGTCTGTTTGATCGATTTGTTGGTTACTATCAAAATTCTCGTGTTAAAATTAAAAGCAATTTAATGATATTAAATAACCAAATGATCGATTAAATGAAGGATTGAACTTTTTTTTTGAGACAAGATAATAATAGCCGACATTTATATAGGGCTGGTGCAATAACATAGCATGGAACGTAGGAGCACCGATATGGAAGCAGTTCCAACTCTCTATGAACAGCTATGCATATAATAAGGTTTTCTCATTTTTTTTTACTCACCATTCTTTTCGACGTGTTTACTAAACAGAATTTTTTCGTTAGATTTTTCAAATTATTGAAACATTTTTTCCTGCTAACTTTGTGAACGTCAAATTTGTCATTTCTAAGATCGAGCATTTCAAGTCCATCGTTCCAATGATTCATTTGAGTTGGAACCTGGCTAGGAACATTAAAATCGTTGATGCACAGGTCTGTCTTACGATTTAATGCTATTACTTTTTATTATGTTTATCTATCTATTAATTTATTGGCTTATTTTTGTCTTTATTTTCCTTACCATTCACTCTTTCGTTCATTCATTCATTCATTCATTCATCCTTCCAGTTTCTTGTTTGTTAATGATTAGTTAGATTTGAAACGCTCAACTTTATTTACAATAATCGAATAATTGAATAATCTCGTAATAATAACGTCCTACCTTGGGGAACGGGTCTCTTGACGCAAAACGAAGATTGATTGATTGATTGAACAGTTGAATAACCGTAGCAGTAACATTACAATAACTGAGTGACGACAAAAATAACCCTAACCTGACAGTTGTACGAGATGATTAGAAGAACTCTGCTCTACACATTAGACGCCTGCTGTCAGAAGATGAAGTTCATTGAGGGCCTCAAGATGAATGTTGAGTATCAGCAGAAGAACGACCATGACCCCGTAGCTTATTGCGACGTTTGTCAGGTCACTTGCTGTTGCTGTTGTTTCTTACTTTGCTGTTGTTGATGTTTCAAGAGGTTGTAATTTAAATTCTTGTGGATATTTTTTCTTGATGTTTAAACATCTCTGAAGCAAACAAAATACAACCCTTTAACAGATAGAAATCTTCAACCTCGTGTTCACGAAGACACTGGACAAAGATGGCAAGATGTATTGCTACAATTGCGCCAGGAAATGCAGTGGCCAGCTGCAGAACTTCAATGTCTTCATGCAAAACAAGATCCAAAATCTCTACGAGGTCATCAACAACTTCCAACTAGGCAGCATTGTTAGTCCCATTGCTATTTCTCTTAATACTAATATTTTTTAATTTTAAATTGATTAATTAGTTAATTAATTGATTCATTAATTAATTAATATTTAATCAGCCCCAGAAGAATTCGGACACATGGTTGTCATGGTGACGATAAAGGAAGAAGTCATAGTCATAATGGTGATAATGATGATGATGTTGATAATGATGATGACAATGATGATGATGATGGTGATAATGGTGATAATGATGATGGCGATGATGATTGCGAATATGGAAGTTAAGGTAGTGATACTTCCTCTAGGAGCATCTGAAGAGAAAATGATGATGATGGCGAAGAGGATGGTAATAACTGCGATGCCGTGCTGATGATGATGATAATGATGATGATGATGTGTGGGATGTGGTGCAATTTCTTGTTTTTAATAATAATAATCATAATAAAATAATCATAATAATATCATTGTTGACGATAACACTGGAATTTTCAACATTATGTTTATGTTGTTTTTTCTTCATTTTGTATAGAAAAATATTTTATAGTTCATTTGATACTGTATTAATTAATTAATTAATTAATTTATTTATTTATTAATTAATTTATTAATTTATTTACTTTTTTAACCGATCGATATCATGAATATAAACGTAGGATTTGGTAATAGTATATGTTATTGCGTTTGTTCTGTACTTCTATTGAATATTAGTTGATTAGTCCCTTAAATGTGTTGTGCGTGTGTGTGTGTCTGTGTTTTTGTTTGTGTGTGTGTGTTTTTGTGCACTGCTGTCTGTTTGTTTACAAGTGCTGTATATATTTGTTTGTGCGTGTGTGTGTTTGTATGTGTGCATGTAGTATAGTTTTACGTTTGTTCATTTGCTTGAATATGTCTGGTCATTTCTTCTACAATGTTTGCTGTGTGTGTGTGTGCCAATATAGTTTTTTATCTGCATTGTAATTTGTTGCTGTTGTGAGTAGTAATGTCTTTTTTTTTATTAAGAATTACTTTATAATGTTCATTTCATTGTAATTTATCCTTCGAATGTTTTGTAATGTCTCATTTGAATGTATTGTAATGTAATGTTATGTAAACCTAATATATTTTCATGTTGAACGTAGATTTGAATCATGTTAATATTGTTATATTTAACAATCAGGGATTACTATGTGTCTGTGTGTTAACGTATGTGTGTTTGTTAGCGTGTGCGTGTACCTGTGTGTGTGTGTGTGTGTGTGTGAACGTGTGTTTTTATATTTTTTATTTCATTTTTCAACAGATTAAAATCTTTCTTTTTTTCCATTTTTTTTATTAATTTCAATATAGAAAACTAAAAATTAGAGTAAAGCTAAGCAAGGAAGTTTTCAAGCAGAACTTTCTGGACGAAAATTTCAAACTTGGATCGTGTTGCGCTACTGATTCGATGCACCGTATATAGAATAGTCGCGAGAGATCCCCATGATCACAGCCATAAATTTTTTCCTGTTGTACGTATATACTATGCTGGTAAGAGACCATAATTAAAAAAGTACAATTCAAAAACCCGCAGTGTATGTGTATATACACCACGCACACACATACATGTGTATATATATACATGTATATTATAAATATATATAATATGCATACATATGCGAATATATATATATATATATATATATATATATATATATATATATATATTACAAAATAAACATAATAGTGAGTAAATAAAATAAAATTGTGTGAGACAGACGTAGCACCAATCATAACAATCGTATTTATGTTTCTCACAGTGAAGATGAATAGATGAATAAGTACATACATACTTGAATATTTATGAACATCTGCCGATTGCTGGCCATTCATTCGTTCATTCATACATTCATTTCATTCATTCATTCCATTCGTTCATCTGATCACTCGTTCATAGTTTATTCTTTCACTGAGTCATTCACCTGTTCGCCTTTTGCCAATTATTTACTAGCAAATACTAATTAATGTTCATCAATGTTTGTCCATTTTGTCCGTTGGTTCATTCATTTGTTCATTTGTTAGTTCGTTTATTTATTTGTTCAGCTCATTCTCTCGTTCGTAAATTATTCATTCGTTCGTTCGTTCATGCGTCGTCGCGTGTCAGCATTCTTGATTGCTTAATTATTATTTGCCTGCTTAGACACTTCCAGCAGCAAAGCAACTACACGTACACACGTCTACAAGTAATTTGCATATACTCTCCACACGCATATACATGGCACGCATACATTCACACACACTAACGCACACATTATAAACACACACAACAACACACACACTATATCACTATATATATATTATATAAATATATAATACGCACACGTACAGAGTATACATGCTTTTTTACACGCACAGGCAGGTAGTATTAGTATACACACACACACACACACACACACACACACACACACACACACACACACACACACACACATACGCACGTATGGAATCCAAACGACATTCTTTGGTTAGTTAGGCAGGTGTTTGCTTTCTAAGCGCCAATTTCAAATTGCTCGTGTGCTTATTTTCATTGTATTCTTTCTCATTGTTTCTTGTTTACACTATATATATATATTATATATATATATAATAAATAAATATATATATTATATATATATGTTGGAAGCAGACATATATATTATACATATGTATATATACACACATACATACATACACACATATATATGAATATGATGTAAGTATTTTCTCTAACAATACGAGTATAATGTAGGTATAGAAGGTATTGTACAAATGTAATTTATGTTTGGTATGCGATAGAAATTGCAATCATTTGAGTCGGCCTTCTCTCGTGTTGTGAATGTTTTTGGCTGTTAGGAGAAAGTTTCCTACTTTTTGTTTATGATGCGATAACTAATGGGAAATAATTTAATTTAAATTAACTAGCTATTAATATATAATTAGAAAATGATAAGCTGTAATTATTAACCTTAAATAACAAATTTGATGCTTATATTGTAATTAATTCCAAATTGTAATTTGTTTTGGTTTTGATTTGTTCCAACACTTCATCTAATTGGTCTACAACGACGCGACTGCATAGTTCTTCATTCGATTAAACTGGTAACAAATACCTACCGAGCGAGACGATGGTGCCCCAGCAGAGTGAAGTGAAAGTCTTAAAAGTGATGGTACGTTTCGACGATGTCAGTGTACTCGTCCCATGCACCGACAGTTCCATGACCATCAAACAGCTGATGCTTGCGGCCGCCAACCGGTTCAAGAAAGCCATTGGAAAGGTTGGTTGAGATTTATGGCTCCTTTTTTGCAGTTGTAGTTTTCAAAAATTTTGTACCGTGTACGGTTCTCTACAATGGATCGAGTTGAATAAGTGGTGCTTTACTTTATCATCAATGTTAACGCTTTTATATATAAGCGCTTATTTTAAATCATTAAACGTGTCTAGTCTAGTTGGATGGTACAAGAACATTTAATAAATTTACATTCTTATTTCTTTTTTGAATTGCGAAATAAACATAAACGTTTGTTTTATACAGAGTAACAATGTTTAATGTTTAATTGTTGCTCTACTGACCACGTCACCGATGCAAACATTTTTGGTAAGGTTTGTTTTTCGTTAACCTGTTCAGCCGCATGAATATGGCGTGAATGTCATCAATCTGAAGTCCTTGGAGGGCGGGATACTCGATGAGGACGATGAAGTGTCGCAAGTTATCGAAAACAAAGAAAAGGTAGGTGCTCACGTTGATCGATTGGTTGACTGATTTAGCTGACTAATTAATCGAATGAATGATTGATGTATTTCGTTTGTTGTATGTCATTTTGCCATCTAATCCGATGTCATTTACTTCAGACATTTAACTATTCAATTAATTTGCATACACCTGTGACTGACACACAAAGGCATATATCGCAACGCCCGAGCAACACACACAAACGCACGCACAAATTTGCTAATGTATCATACGCACGCAGGCGTATACTTATATGTGTATATAAATTATACATTATATGTATATATATGTGTGTGTGTGTTTGAGTGTGTGTGTATGTTTGTGAGTGAGTGTTGGGGTGTGTGCATATATGCGCGTGTGTATGTGTATTTGGTTATTGTTATGTTAAAAGTGCAAATATAATTAATTGTTTAAATGATAAACAAAATTTTCAGATAATCGCCGTTTTTGAGGAAGACGACAAAAGGATACGAAGCAGTCGTGGAGATGGCAGAAGTTCAATTGAGACGAACAGTCCCGACATGTCTAGGAAGCAACCAGCGAAGATGAATTATCCAGACGAATGTTTCGATGAAAATTCCTTCATGACCAGACAAACCAGTGAACCAGTTCTCAGCGCCAACGACCCGCAACTGATGGATGACGACCCGAATGCCAGTTGCAGTCAAGACGACACCATCTTATCAATGAGAAGATTCGAGAGGTCCTCCACCAGAAGAAGATGTAGCAGCAACGGCAACAACGTCAGCCAGCCACAACATGTTTCGTCGGCACTACCTCCAATTGGCTTCGTTAGGAATGCTAGTTGGAGAAAATCAACATTCAGAGGGAGTAAGAATGTGATGAACTGGGTTCAAAACCAACAGCAGCAGCATCTTAAGGTTGGTGCTAGTGCGTCCGATTTTTTCTAAATAAATTAAATTTCAAATTTCTATTTAAACATACATTTTATGGTAAAAAAAACTAAAGTACCAATTATTATGACTTATAAGATATCCAAAAGAACTGAGCCAGTAGGATCTACAGAGCTGAAAAAGGCAGATGATACGCTGAACGTTTCGTCCATTTCAACGTGCGTATGTTGGCTTATTGTAATCATTCACTTTCTACCGCGTGTTTCAAAGACTGTTGTCTTGTGCTGTTGATCTAAGTTTAACATCTACTACATAATTTGTTATATAATTTTGATTGGGAATGATGTGAATGAGTCATGCACGTACATAGGAATGTTGTAGTTTTGATTAGCTGTAAATTTTTTATAGGGCTAAAATTTAGGATTTATTTAAACATTTTTTTTGCAAATTTCTTAAGTGTGACTGAGCGTTCATTTCATATAAATATGAATTTTATTTGTTATTATCTACTGAATCAACTCATTTGATAGACTGGTGAACAAGATGGTCGTCCTTGATAATGATAAGGAATCGTTGGGAATTCACGTCATGCCCGATCAGGATTCACTTGGCAGGTATGTTAACAAGTTAACGTGCTCCATTTTTTCATGCTGTGTTATTTTAATTTTTATATATAACTAAAAATTCGAACGAACGATAGAACAATTGGATTGCTGGTTCACAACGTCGACAAGGGAGGCAAGATAGCGAAGAATGGACAGATTCGAGAGAAGGATTGCATCGTAGAGATCAACGGCACCTCGCTGTCGGACGTCACATTTCAAAGGTACTGTTTGTCATTTTTACACTTTTTTTTATTTATTTATTATTATTCAAGCAATAAAAATTATCTCCAAACCATGCGGTAGGTACTTTGTTTATGCACGTATGTTTGAACGCAGACTGTCTGTTATGATTGTAATTCGAAATTTAATTCGATTTGAAACTGATGTCAACAATATTTTTAATTTGAGAAATAATTCAGTCGAATAATGCACGTCAACTAATCACGAAACAGAGCACAGAGTATATTGAGAGAGGCCTTGAACTCTTCAAAGTTGTACCTTCGAGTGGTACCACACGAGTACAGAATGACGTCATCATTCATCAGACCTGCCATTCCGTCAACATCCACACCGTGCAAAGACGATGCACTGATGTTCACACCTAGCAAGGCGAACCCACCAACAACTGCACACGTGAATTCAACGAAACCATTTTACACGCCTACAGTTAGAAGTAGCAACAATTTTCAAGGGGGCATGAGTCAGATGGCCAAGTCATCAACATGCTCCAAAATCACGCAACCATACCCCGTAATCAACTCTCTTGTTAGTTCATCAAAACTGCAAACCTACGCTCCGACTGCAGACAGACAACATGTTCAGATAGTCAATTTTAAAGTTGATCTAATTAAAGGTACATTTATAGCTATAAATGTAATTGCTTAACTACATTTTATACTATTTTTAAATAAAATTACCACTCCTTATCTTATCATAGCATAGAAATTATATTGAAACGCTTTCGAATCGGCAGGAGCTCACGGCTTGGGCTTCAGCATCACGACGAAGGACAATGTGACTCCTAAACAAACGTTTCCAATCTTCATCAAGCACATCCTTTCGCAAGGTGCCGCTGTCGAAGATGGCAGGCTGCAGGCCGGTGACAAAATATTGAAAGTCAGTTGAGTTGTGCATTCGATTTAAAGGCTCTCTTCATGTTCACGGATGTTTTGTTCAAATGCTACTAAATAGTATTGGCAGATATGTTTGAATTAATATTGCTTATGACTGCGCGAATAGTTTTAAAATTAACTGATTTCAATTTTAAATTTTTGAATCTTTATTCTTCATTCTAAAATATTTCTGCAACATATGAAAAGTTTCGACAATGTTTTGATTAACGGTGACGTGGTTCAGGTGCAACTGCAACTCTTTCGTTGTATGTACTAAAAAATACAATTTTGACGAATATGCACCAATATGTACTAAAAAATTTCGCACCGCAGGTTAATGGCATGGACACGTCGACAATAAACCAGGATGAGATCGTTTCTTACCTGAGAGGTATCAAATTAGGAGGGAAAGTTGAGATGCTCGTCGAAAGGCTGGTCGTCAACGCTGACATTAACAACAACAACTTCAACGTGGACACATATTGTGATTTCGGTAACAACCTCAGCGAAGAAGACGTCTACACCTACGTCATCAGTTTGGCGGGAAACATGGGCATAGGAATAAGTGTTCGAGGTAAGACCAAGAAAGAAGACAACGGAGATGTGAATGATTTGGGGCTGTTTATCAAGTCTATCCACCCAAGTGGTGCAGCTGCTAGAGATGGAAGATTGAAGGAGGGCGATAAAATCATTCAAGTGAATGGAGTATCCTTACGTAACTTAACAAACTCAGCAGCCAGAGAAGCATTGAGGAATGCGATGGATTACGAAGGACCGGAACCAGAATCCGTTTACTTTGCTGTGCATAGATGTGCCAACAGGAATTCTTGGATGATTAACACTCCTAGTTCATCAGCATACAAGGTTTTTTGCCAAATATTTTTTTGAAAATATCTTACAATTTTTAGCAAAATTACTGCAAATAATAACCTGATTTGAAATGTTTTGAAATTTTGACCTTGTTCAAGGTTTGTAAGCAAGACAACATTGCATCTTCAACAAAAGATTCGGCACAGAAATATTCACATGAGAGAATAAGAAATCGTATTCCAAGCTTTTCCACTAGTAACAAAATGAACGCAGATGGGATTAACACAAACCATGACGCTACCTTCGTTGAAATAACAAACAACTTCTCAAGAGACGTTCCCAACATACAGAGTGTGTCAGACAGAAAGAAAATAAATCGTGAATCATCACACGTTTCTTGCAATAAAGTTAAAATCTCAAGAAATGAATTAAACGAAACACAAGTTACGCTGAAAAAGGCCCTATCCGACGAATCGTTGGTCAGCCATAGCACGACGATAATAAAGACGCCCCAGGTCGACACACGCACTTGTGGACTGAAGAGGGAAACACTGAAAAAGTATACATCAGTTGAGAATATGGCCAAATTCAACAGATTACCAATGTCCAACCAAATGCCCTCAGTGGCTTCCCAATTGAAGAAAGTTCCAGAAGATGAGACAACACAAACTAATAATGTTTGCAGCACGGCAAACAAAAACAAATTCAAAAGTATTTTCAAAAATATTAATTTTTTCAAATCAAAATTCAAAAAAGAGAGCAAAATAAACCAAACTCCTGACAGTGCGCCCATCAGTGCCAACAATACTGCCGAAGATAAAAAGTCAATAATCGAGCAGTTGACTCGCAAACATCCCCACAACGTAATCATTCCTTTCCAGAACGATATCGTGACGTCATCACAGACGAGTGACTACAACACCATCGACAAGAATCCTAACTCAAATTTTGCAATGAAACAAAGACACGCTTACGATTCCTCTAACATTTATCAATCTAACAACTACAACGTCAGATCGAACCAATACACGTCGCACAGCAATCAACAGGCAGCAACAACCAACCAAGAAATGTGTAACTGCAGCGATTGTTTCGCTTACCATCAACGTCATTATCAGCAGCAGCAGCAACAACATCCTTATTCACACTTTCCCGCCTGCATCACTCCACAATTTTCACGACCAAGGAACGTCTCAGGAATGGCAAACCGAAATTCGCAATTGTATGATTATTGTCCAAACTATTCAACTGATGAAGAATTCATGCCTCATCACCCTGCTCACTGCCATCGCCCGCAGCAATACTACCAGACGCAGCAACTCTACCAGCCGACACGCAGCAGCAGACCTTTCTACAACAGCAGCAACAACAATCCACATTATAATTACAACTGCCAAACTCAAGGTAGCGACTACAACAGCGATGACTTCATCGATACGAACCACGACTACGACGATCCTTTCAACGAAACTTCAACCACGCTCCACCACTTCTGAACGATTAATACTTTCTTAGAAATTGACTATTGTAATTATTTTATGTTCCATTTTGTTTCAATTTTTAAAATAAAAGCAATGAAGATCAGGGAATTAATGTAATTCGTTATTTCGGAAACCAAAAAAAAATTTACAGACTAGAGTTGATGAGATAAAACGGAAATTCAAAAACAAATAAATTAAAACAAAACAGCAAGAAACGCAAATTAAAAATAAAATTTACCACAAATATGCAGTAGTAAACAGAAAGAAAATTGCACGAATTCCTTATTGAATCTCAAATAAAATTAAGAACAATAGATCATCAGTGACGTCGTAACAAGATAGAATGATCAAATCATATTCACTAATAAATACAATGTGAAAATACCGTTGCAAGTTGAATAAAAAATTTATAAAGAAAAAATTCAGAGAGAAATGTGCATATATTATTCGTAACTGTGTTGTATGTGTGTGAGGTTTCATTTATTTTTCTTTCTATATGCGCTTATTATGCAACATCTACAATGAATCTGACCATGTATTAAAAACTGCAGCGTAGCTAAGAAAATAATTTTGACTAATTTTCAAATGAAGTTTCGGAAATTTTCCACAAGGAAGGCACTTGCGGCCGAGCCACACATCAAACTGTAATTCAGGCAGACTTAATTTAAAACCAATTTGCAGCACATATCAGCAACAACAAAAATTAATACCAAACACGAGGGAGAAAATTAAATATAGTACAATCGATGATTTAAAAAAAACTCGTTATAAATGATTTCAATAAATAAAAAGAAAAAACTTGAAACGTAACTGATATAAAAAAGCTTAAATCGATCATTTTGAAATAAATATACAACAACAGCACGATAAGAAGAAGCATGACAATTACGCTGTATGCATCAAACCACCACACTAAAATTAGGGTAAAAACTGAAAAATAAATTGAAAAAAATCACTTTCAGAAGATTAAAAAAATGATGTTAAAAATTGAATGAAACTTCAATACTTTTAAACATGATTATATGGTGATGAACGTGAAGATGAAGATGATGAAAGTGGATAGGAGAATGGAGAATGCTGCTGCTCTGTTGGGCGTCGATGCACTGAATGATTCTTCCATCTGTCAAATATTTGTCTAAGCATCAAGATTTGACGAAAGTATCTCAAAATACAAATAAAAACTTAAAATACGCATCATTTAATATACACAGAAAGCCATACATCATCAGAAAATATTCCCAAAATATAAGTTGATAAACTATAAAGAGCCATTGAAAGTTAAGGCATACCTTGTCGAAGGGTAGACAGAGTGAGTCATCAGAGTTCACCTCAAAATTTGATAACAGAAAATCTTTATCTTTATGTATATTTCAAATTAGCATTAAGGTCAATATTGTTGAGCCTCTTGTTAGAACTAATAAAAAAAACTAAAACATTTCAAGTTAAATTTATTTTAATTAGATTAAAAATTTATTTAAAATCTGGTTTTATAGCTAAGAGCAAAACTGTTACGTTTTAATATTGTAAAAGTCAAAGCTAAAGCTAGCGTTATTTTGAAATATTAAAAAAGTTTATTGCAACACTCTATGCTATTGCTCATGTAGACACTGCTTTACAATGCAAAACCGCTTTATCAAGATCGTTCCAATAAGCATGTTCCAATTTTAACCCAAGTTATCATCGATACGGCAAAATTTTAGTAAAAGATGGCAAAAAGGATATATTGAGTTGGTTTGAATGGAAGACTCATGGATTCATTGAAGTAACACTTGCAAGCGTCCTTCACCTCTGTAGCGTTGTCATGTTGGTTGGACTGCGTGTCAGTTGTGTGGTCAGATATGTGATTGCTGTTGGAGCCACCGTCTGCGCTGTTGTCGTATGCATGATGGCTGCTGACCACCAGCACCAACATCAAGTTCGCATCCCTCATCCTCATTGTCTTGTACGTCCTGAGTACATGCCAGTGCGAGCATATATTGCAACGTATATGTGAAAAAAATAGGAGAGAAAAAATACATTTTCAATTCAAAAAATTCAACTTTGATTACAAATAGGTATGTTTACATGATCATATATAGCCGATGATCTGGCAGTCCAACTACAACATCCTTCATCTTAATATATAATGCTTTGTATATAATGCTAAATCTTTTGATTTCGGTAAATTATGGACCGTGTAAGTGGTGACCAATAACATGATAGCATGTATGGTCTGCCTTTCAAAAGGTGTACATCACACAATTGAAACAATAGTGGAGAAACAAGACATATATTTATAATATCCTACGTTTAAAACAAAATTTAAAATAAAACATCTGAAAGCCATAAATAAAAACAAATAAAAAACTAGCAAGAGGGCAAAAATAAAATTAAAAATACCCAAAGCATCAAATACTACGACCAAGAAAAAAACGAGTAAAGAAATGAAAAAAACATTACTTTGAGCAATTTTGGCAGTCGATGGAAAACTCATTCTCCTTTGCGGCATTCGTACCAAAAGAATATTTGTATAAGTTCCTCTGGCAGTATTCCTTTGGGCGGTTGTCTGGCTCATCGCCGAATTCAACTGTGTCGTTTAACATTCGTTTAACACTTGTTTGTATCAACAACATGGTTTCGTTTGTTTTTTTTCGAGATGTAATAATATAATTATTTACTAAACAGGCAAATTTTTTTCATTTAAAAAAAATAAAAACTATCATGTGACCTATGTTAAATCTAACGAAACCCAATTTTAAAATGGGTTATGTGAATAAGATTTAACAAACTTACTATCGGAAAAAACCATATCCACCATTACGCTGTTGGATGAGAAGAACATTTTTTAATTTAACGAATTTTTAAAAAAATTTACAAATCTAAAAGTTTAACATATTTAAAAATTTTACAAATCAAAATTTTTTACACAATTTGAATTAAACTTTTATTGCACGAAATAAGACCACTGAAATAAATTGGTATATTACCATCGAATAATAATAACAACAACAACAATAAAAATAATAATAATTATATTAACCTGCATATTATCTCAAAGAATGTGAACAATCTAAATAAATAAAAAACACGTTAAACTAATTGAATTGACTGAAATATAATTAAATAATTAAAATAAATAAATAAATAAAAGATTTATAGTTATAAATTAGTTACACAAATATATACAGGAAAAGAACTTACACATAACTCATTCGATGCAGGTCAAACATTCAATGAATAAAAATACTAATAAAATTATTTAGCATAAAAAAATTATAATTTTTGAAAAAAATTGTCAAAGAAACAAAAAAAAAACTCACCCATGAAGGAAGGAGAAGAGTTTAGGAATTATCAGCTGGTACGTCAGACTCGAAAAAAACTGATAACATAACATGTGATGATGAAAATAATTGTTAAAACTTTCAAGACATTGTTTGTATATCAGTGATAACACTCAGAAACAACTAACAATAACTAATGCCAACTAAACCTGTACAAACGTCTATCTAATACGACTAACAAATATACAAAACTGTCGCCTAGGCTACCTACTTTATCATTTTCATCTTCCTTCTTCTAATACTAAAACCACTACTACTACTGCTACTATGGCTGCTACTACTGCTGCTGCTGCTACTGCTACTACTACTACTACTTCACAACGCATCTTTCAAAATTAAGTAGTAACTAAGTGAATGTCAATAACAACAATAGCAGAAACAATAAAAAAAAATGACAGCTGACGGATGTGATGTGAGAAGCGTCATCAGTTGATCCTAGGTCTGAGCAGATGGAAAAGTACCTCGTCGTCTCATCCCTGCCAGGTTGATCGGGAAGGTAAAAAAATTTCATCATCCTCATCGTTATCCTCGTCACCATCACAGATCATTTAATATTTAATTTAATATTTAATTTAATATTTTATTTATTCATCAAATCAAACAATTGTAAGAAATGAAAATGATACGGAGATCAAAAAAGAAAAGATCTTATGATAGACCACCGTTAAACAGAAAAATTTCATTTAAAATAAAGAAATAGACATTAATACAAACAGAACTTTAAAATTAAACTTGCGTAAAGGCTACAAAAATATTGACAATATAATGGATTGAAACAGCATAAAAACATTAACACGTAGTTCAGCGAATAAACCAATAAAAATTCGTTATTGACAAAGTAAAAAAAAAAAAGAGTAAAAAAAAAGAGTAAAAAAAAAAGAAAGAAAAGAGATCATCATTACAAATTATCATCATCATCGTCTTCTTCTTCATAAATTATCATCATCATCATTCCATCATCATCATCATGTCTGCAAATTATCCACAACGCGAATCATCATCACCATTATGACCACCACCACTACCACCACCATCATCATCATCATCACTACCATCATCGTTATCATCACCATCACTGCCATCACCGTCATCATCACCACTACGAAATATCGTCACATCTAAGAGGAGTTCAACTAACAGTCTGTAGATTCTATTCTCAAGCATATGTTTCATAACATGCGGCTCAACATCGCCAAAAAACAGACCTACCTATTTTGGAGGATTTAAAATAAATATAATTATTAAATAAATAAGTAATAAATAATAATTAATATTGCAAAAAATAGAATTAATCATAAACGAATGGATAAAAAATATTTATCTGATATGACGGAGCTACAACGTATAGAGTGACAACAAATTAAATTGAGATCAAACTGCGAAATCTAATCCAAAAATCCTGAATAGATGATAATAATAACAAAAATAAGACTCGAGCGATATTATCAAAAGATGAATGACGTGATGAAATGATAACAGACATGGTCCTCATCATCATCAGCAGTGATTACGATGCCACCATCATCAAGCAGGTAGGAGACTGATGTCACAGGCGACGACGACGACGAAGAAGATGACGTCAAACTATTTTCGATGATGATGTTCCTCAAAATCTGATCTCTGAAGACAGCTGCCACAACTGAATTACGGTAGAAATGACGATGATGATGGCTGTGACGATGATAATGAGGATGATGAAGCATTTTTGTCATCATATCTTTCGTGCAGTTTAGTTTATCTATCAAGTCATAAATGGCATAGAAAACAATGTATTGATAAGCAAAAAAAAAAAAATAATTCAAAAGCAAGCAATGAAAACAAACGACCTACCAGCTAGAGTTGTGTCATGAACTTTTATATTTCTTCCACATATTAGAAACCTCTCAGTAGTTCCATTCCAGAATTTCATTTCTTAATTTCGTTTACAAATTATTATTATTATTTCTCTCTTAAATATTTACTTATTTTTCACAAGTATAAACAACACACTCAACACACACACACACACAGCGTAAGCGAATATTAGTGGATCAAGGTTTTCACACACATTTTAATTGAAGAAATGAATAAATAAATAAATGAACAAACGAATGAATGAACATATGAATGAACGAATGAATGAACACACGAATGAACGAATAAAGAAAAAAGAGAACCTGCGTCATAAACATCAACCACCCACGCGTCATCGGACTTCAATATCCTCTCCTCAAACTGCAGCTCAAACTTCTTCATGACACTTCGAGCCTCTTGTGCATCTCTGAATGGACAGGCAAGTAAAAAGAAACTATGAAAATACGTCTAAAAAGGTAATACAGCGTACTCAAAATAATTGCAATTTAGATAGAATTTGCAGTTGGAATATGGAATGCTAGGCCATTAGGATGACAACCAATGGAGGAAAAATTGAAATAGCCATATGAGAAATTGAAAAATAATAAAAAATTATGAAACAACAAGAATGCATGGAAAAATGGAATGAATTCCAATTGAGCTGATTAACTTATATACATAAAATGAAAGCTAAACAAAATATACCAACTTTTCAGGATATATTTTCCATAAACTTCGACTTTTCAAAATATTGAAACCGGTATAATTTCTGCAACAAGATTATTTAAAGAATAGTTTAAATAAATAAATAAATAAATAAATAAATAAATAAATAAATAAATCAATCAATCAATCAATCAATCAATCAATCAATCAATCAATCAATCAATCAATCAATCAATCAATCAATCAATCAATCAATCAATCAATCAATCAATCAATCAATCAATCAATCAATCAATCAATCAATCAATCGATCGATTAATCAATCAATCAATCAGTCAATCAATCGACCAATCAATCAATTTGTTAAAAACAGCTTTAGATTTACTAAAAAATAGAAGAACGTTGATAGGATCAAGACAGCCACAAACAGAATTCAGCCACAGAGCAACAACTTACGAAGTGAGATTATTGTTGTTGAAATAATCCTCCCAATCATCTTCAATGTTCATCGAGGTGAACAGATCAAAAAATAACTCGTTCTGCGAATCAGAACCTTCGGCTGATAGATGATGATGATGACGATAATGATGGGACAATGGTGATGATGATGACGACGACGATGATGATGATGTTGGGACAATGATGATGATGATGAACAATGATGCGGTAGATTCTACCAATCAACCGTTAATTTTAATAATGTTTATCAACAAACAAATACAATCCCCAGAAGCATATAATTCAGAAATCCAACATGACATATCATCGCCATTACCATCACAAACTTATTGACAAAGTGATATCTCCCATTAAAACTAGAAAGTAAAAAATAATGACAAAGAAACAATAATGAACGCTGACTGACTCAAGTTTTTCGAGATAAACTTTTCGTAGAAGTATTCCAGAATGTCGGTTGCATTCATGCTCTCCAACATCTCCTCTATCTCACCGTCTACATTGTTCTCTAAGAATCTGGAATTCGATAATGATTGACATTCAAGTGGTTCACTCTTTAAACAGTACATAAGAAGGCCACATCGATACCAAGATGTCGGATTCGGATGAGAAATATCCCACTCGGAAAAGATCTTCAACCGACTCCGACAGTCTCGTTGATAACAGTCACCAGTGGTTTTGGTGAGAGTATTAAACTAACAAAAACCTGTCAATAGCAATATAACAGGGATGGGCAAATTTTTTGCTGTGAGAGCCGCATTGAGAACTATTTTACCTTTAAAAGGCCGCTTATGTACTTAAATATCAAATTTTTTTAAAGATTTGTGGCTTCTTTTTTTTGGTCATGATGTCTGGCTGACGACCATTTTTTGGGCGAACATGGCCTCGCGGGCCGCATAAAATAGCTTCGCGGGCCGTGGTTTGCCCACCCTTGCACTAGAACATAATAGGAACATTTAAAACGACAAAAAAGCATCAACGTAATTACAGAAATTATAATTGAAAAACAAAAAGAAAAATGATGATGACCTTTTGTTGATGGTGAGACTTGATTTCTTGAAATCATCCCACTGGACATCTTCTGCATTTTATAAGAAATTTAACAAATCAAACCGACTGGACATAAATGAATTAAAATAAATTGAATAAAAAAAACATAAAAAAGAAAGATTAATGATTGAATGAAAGTTAACAGACTTTCAATTATTGGCTTGTATTTGATGGTGTATTTTTTATGGCTGTCACGGAGATTAACCACCGCTACGCTGAAAGTATGTGTTCAAATCAATATCAATGAAAATGATGCTCCGCTACAAATATCATCGCAAACAATTACATTTAACATTTCAAATACTTTGTGGAAAAGTATCCAAAATATTGATTAAAATTAGAAAATCACGTGTTCAAAGCCAATGACGCCAAACCTGAGATTGAAATCCTTCACTTTATCGTAGTTGTAAGTCTTTGATCGATTGATTACATGGTGCTATCGTGAAGATATTTTGATCATTTCACTAACTTTTATCAAGAAAATTTTAGTTTAGGCAAAAATTGTTTAATAAAAACTATGACTGCCCTAGGATATTAAATTTTAAACACAAATAAATTCCTGAAATTTGCCAAACCCACCTCATCATTGGAGATGTCGTAATCATTTACAGTGATTTGGCCTTTCTCGCCATTTATCATTGCCTTGCGAAGCTACAAAATATTATTAACTCAAGAAATTACTGTGTTATCAAGAACGACTCGGTCAAATAAACGTTTGTGATTTGTATTACTTCCCAAGTTTATAAATGAACATTTTGGCACAAATTGACATTTTTGAAATTTTAAAATAACCAAATTTTTAAAATGACATGGAAACAATTTCAAACTTCAAATATATGTGAACTTGGTTCTAAATCTGCGATGTCAACGGGGAGGAACTCATTCTTCTGTCGTGTGTTTCGGTGTGTGTGTATGCGTGTGTGCGTGCATGTGTGGTGCATTTATTTTAAACAAGCAGGTGAGGTAAACATAATAAACCAACAACTCTGAAATTATCAAATAAATTAACACATTAACACCAAACAATAAGTTACTTATTAGAGAAAAAAAAACCAAACCATGTTTTCATAAGATGGATGGTACACAGCTATGCCTTGAAAATTTACTATAAAAATATAGCTGTCTGGCCTGAACTGAAATAAAAATATAGAAATATGTCACATCTAATAATCCTGCTGCAACTTTTAATAAACGCAAAGATGAAGAGGAGTGCGTGAAAGTGCACAGTATTATTGATATATGTAGATATACAAACGTAAGTTTCGGCATCACTGTCGCCTAGCAATTTTTTGATTGACATGTGCATTCCGAGAACTCCCATTATCGTCAAATTACTGGGCTGTGGAGTGATCATACCATATTTTGTTCCTCCAAACATCATCAACGTCATCGTATCGTCATCATGATTGTCAACAAAACAGTGCCCAACACATTCAGAACGTGAAATCATTCTACCAGTTGTTAAGGCCGGTTAAAGTTCTGCTGTTGTAAATTGACTGGGTTCGAATGCTAATATATCCAAGCCTATCACATGCTAATATTTTTTTTATTAAATGAGTTTGTATGAAGCGCTATTTTTTAAATGTGTGTGAAACCTTGATCCACTAGTAATCGCATACGCTGTGTGTGTGTGTGTGTGTGTGTACGTGTACGTGTGTGAGTGAGAGAGTGAGAGAGTTGTTGAACCTCTGCAAAAAAATTTAGAAGCAATTACAAAAAAAAATCACAAATAAAGACTATATCACATTTACAAAATGACATCAATAGCAGAATGTTCCTAAACATATAATGAATATATAAAGTTCCAACCTCTTGCCCGTGTGACATGTTGAACAGTGGATACACCAACGTAAGGACTAGATCGTTCGACTGCAAACGAGGAATTAGAAAAATGTATTTCATCCACTAAATAAAAATAATAAACTATTATAAAAGAAATGAGTTGTGTTAGTTGGATTTTAAAAGTTAGAATTGCAAGTTTGTAGGTGACGCGAAAAATGACCAGGAGCCAATGCTACGTCGAGTGGAGAGCAGTCAGCAGAAATGAGGCATGAAAGTGAGTTGGACAGTGGTTTGGATACCGTGAAATAAAACACAGTTGAACTTGAGAAACTGGCTTTACGATATGAAGAAAAGAACCTATCGTTCACAAAAAGTTAAATAAACTATTTCAAAACTGATAACAAGTCGAGATAAGCAGGTACGGCTGAGACGTTTCCCTATTTTTTATTGTTCACTTGGTGGTCGATGAAACAGGCTAAAATATCGCCAGAGTATTTGCGAAAATTACAAAATGAAAGTAACATTAAAATATCATCAAATTATTGTTACACGTAGTCGTCGTCATCATCACAATCATCAACATCATAATCAGTACGATCATAAGGAAGACATGGCGTCGTCATCAGTGACATCATCACGCACATAATGTCATGAAGCATTAGAAGACATCTGATCCAACTAACCATCTGATCATATCGAGCTGTGGTCATGGTCAACCAATTGTTGGACTGAGCCTTTGAGTCCGCCAGGAACCTTATGTAATCCTTTAAAGAATATCAATTTAGGTTAAATTTAATGTTGCTATGTTGAAATAAATAGAGAAAAAAATTCTTTTTCAAAAGTTTCATGTAATTCTTTGAAAAACATCAATCTGATTTGAACAAATACTGTTTTAAATTAATAAAATTAAAAGCACTTTATTAGCTATCTTAATCTACTGACAAAATCAAACAAATTGACGTCTCTAACGGCATAAATTGGAAGCAAAATAACAATAACAACTACGCAATTACACTCCAGTCAATCAGTAGAGCAATAAAAGCACCCACCTTGAAATCTAAATCAACAAAACAGCAGCAACAACATGAGCAACAACAAGTTTACCAACAGCAACAACAACAAACAACAACATCACCAGCAACAACAACAACAACAACAACAAACAACAACTAACTTGTGTTTGCGATCTGATTGCAACTATTGAAGGTATTTGGTAGAACTTCCCTGATCAGACAAATAAATAATTAACAACTTCTGCAACGTGCAACTTTTTTCACATTATTATAAATTATGAAATAATATTCATATGTCAAAGAAAACTGACTTAAAGAACAGAAGACAGAAAAACATACATACACACATACATAACACACACACGCGCGCGCACGCACGCACGAAAACACACACACACCCATTTAACGTACCTCTATTTTTTTCAGCAATCCATTTAATGGCAGGAGCATGTGTTGATATGGGACCAATGAGGTAAGTAAATATTCTTATCTATGGATGTATTTCATCGGTGTGATTACGTTTAACAGTAAGTAATAAATACCCTTGTTACTTTAATTATATATAATTAGCATCATCGTTATAGTGAGATGTTATAATGGTTGATGATAAATTAACACCATCTAAAAAGGTATAGTCATGTACAAGTGGAACTAATGAATATTTAAGAAAGTTATCTCAACGCACTTGTAGATATTTATTGTATGTTCTGAGAAGATCAGCTGGTTTTTCATTGCCGCCATCCGTCAGCAGCATGATCATCTTGTTACAATGTGGACCAAACAGCCTGTTACTCTCGTCGTAACTTGCAGTCTGATCAAATACAAATCAAGTCACAGTCGGAAAGTTTCGGCTACAGTTAAGATTTTGTAATCTGTTCAATGTACAACTATTGCTCTCTTTAGGTATTAGGGGAAAAATTTGGTTGATCTGGTAAGAATGTTGTCTGCTTATGCGTATGATGCGGAACTTGCGCGAACGTGTGCGTGCACGCACGACGTGTAAATGTTCCAGATTTTGTGTTAAAAAGGTGCAATTTGAAGTAGGAAAAAACAATTTGTATGAAGTTCTGCGTTTGTGAATGTTGCAAAATGAAGGCAACAGACTGAAAATTGTTAAAAAGTATAAAATAGCGAACGTTGTTGAAGAGAATGAAGGCATTTTCAAGGGCCCTGGTGAAGTTGGCGATGCCGAGCGATGTCATGGCTTCTATGTACTCCCAGGATTTCTGCATCACCAAACAGCATCACATCACGTAATGATTTATTATTATGCCAGCAGTAAATATTTAACTACACGAAGAAAATATTGCTGTTGGCAGAAACATTCCTGACACTACAATATCGGAGGTACATTTCAATATTACAACTTCTATCACTCCTCCTACAAACACTATTAAAAAAGTTGCATTTAGTAACATAAAACTGAGCTACAAACAACACAATTTTATTTTATTAAACTATTTTTTCAACTACTAGTTCAAATTTGAATTAAATAATAAACTGTTGGTTAATCATGAATTCATTTAAAACGGATCTCAAAAATTAGATTTTGCGAATCCGGATATAATCGGTATCCTGAAATTAAAAACAACCTTATTCCTAAAACTAAAAAAATTCACTACGAAATGAAAATAATGATGAATACAAATGAGTTGAACGAACGGACCAGTTTGTTTCTTTTCGTAGCCCGAACAAATGAGTGAAAACATGACCCAATTTCTGCTGTTTTTTCATTAGGAAACTGTTTATTAACATAATTTATTTTGATTCAAGTAGTTATTACTTAACAATTGTTCAAAAGTATTGAGTTAGTAACCAGCAATATATCAGTGAATGACGGTGGATGTATGTGATAATATTAATTTAACGTTATACATAAATAAGGTATCAAAACAACTTAAAAAAAATACTTGAATGATTAAAATTTGATAACTTAACTTTGCTTAAAAAAAGCTATAAAAAATAATTAAACTAAAAAACAAAGAAACGAACGAATGAACAAATGAAACAATGAACGAACAAACAAACATTAAGAACATCGAAGAAATCATTCTCAGTCAATGTATCCAACAGCTGCTTTGACATGTGCTTCATCAGAGCAAGTGCCTGTCCTTGCGAACTTCCGCTACTGTATAATTCATCATCATCATTACCATCATCATTATCATCATCGTCATCAGTTTAGTCCATATTCCATCCTAATAACCATCACCATCATTTTATTATCACTTCATATGTGATCATCAGACATCATCGTCATTCCATACTATATTATCATTTACTATCATTTTCATCATCGCCATGGTTTCATCCAAATTATCAACTTCCTTATCACCATCCAGTGTAGTAAACTACTAATATCTAATTAATTAATTAACTAACTAATTATTAATTAACTAATTAATATAATTAATTAGATAATAAAAAACCGACCTATCAATAAGAATGAGAACAACTTTCGGTGTTGACATGCCTTCAATATACCTAAGATGCGTTGTGAATCATTAAAATAAAAAATCAACAAGCCTTTGAAATATTATATAAATAAGAATAATAAATATTAATAAATGAGCAGATAGATGAATTAAAAATATGTAAATAATTTAAAAAAAAACATAAATACAAATAAACAAAGGTGAAGGAACAAACGAACTAATAAATATGTAAATAACTAAAATGGTCAGTTCACAAACCATGTTCTCCTACGAACGTCATACAGATCAATTGGCTTCTCATCTTTGTCCAGCTCTCTACTTGTCCACTTATCACCTGTCAATCATTCAATCAAATTTTGAGAATTACATTTCCAGTCTTTTTAAATCTAGATCTTAAAATATTTGCCCTCACAATCTTTCTCATCTTTCATTGCACATTACCAGTGCAAAAACGATTCTATAATTTAAAAATTCCATCCTATCCACACCGCCTCTAAATAAATTCTCTTGAAGTTAGAAAAAGGAATAAAATTATATACAAATTCACAACGAAATTTCTTTTTCACTACTATATATGACTTGTCAAGTTTGATAACGATGAAAATTCTATGTAATACTAATTCATTCTTTGGTATGTGTGTTTGTCATCTCGGCCCTAACAGATTGAATTGTAAACTCATCAGAGAACAAATGAGACAAAGTTAAATGAGTTTCAAAAAATTATATACAGTCTTTAACGTTTCTATATTTGAATTTTTTATTTTAGATTCAATAAAATAAATAATTCGAGTACGTCTTAATTGTAAAATGCAATCAGGGTTAAAAAAATATTATTTCTTGGCTGTATAAATAACTAAAATAAGAGTTAACAGTTCTTAGAGGAGTAACACGTGCAACATTTACACATAATAAAACATTAAGAAACAGAAATAAAATAAAATAAGTCAGCCACATGCAAATGCAACACTATGGTAATAAAATTTCTCTTCCATTCATTATTTTTCTATGTTTATTGGCATCTAATGATTGAATTGTACTAAGACGGCCGGTAAAACTAATGTATAGAATATAACCAACTTTGACTTTACAATTTGTAAGCATAATAGACTTTAATGTAAAATCAATACAATACATTCATTGATTGAACTATTTATTGATCCTAAATACATTTCACCTTTATTTCATTCTCCGCAACCTTTTTAGCCTAAATATTGTGGCAAAACATGTCTTTCACTAACATTAACAAAATAATTATTAATAATATATATATAATTATTATATATATTATATATAATTATATAATAATTAATAATTATTAATAATATAATAATTTATTCATTGATTGATCGAAATAAAATTGACGGCATACCGACCAGGAAAGTATCTCATGACGCCAGTCGTGCTGCCGAAGAATTGAAGTTTAATTTCAGTGAATGTATTGAGGAGGTCATCCCAGAGTGGATCGAGCAGTGAAGTCCACGTTATCGCCTCCATTATGTCCTTCTCTATTTTCACGCCATTTCATTAATTCATCCACATTAAAATCAATTATTCCAAATAATCATTGAAAAATATTAAATACAGAAATAGATGCATTTTTCAAATTTGAATTTTTAACACATAATTTCACAATAATTTTTCAAGTAATTGAAATATATATAAGGATGAGATAATTTCAAAAAGGGGGCACACCTTCCCTGAATATATCGATAGGTATGTGGACGAATGACTTGTCAGTCTCTGATTTGTTGGCCTCTCTAGCCCAAAGTACATCATCGGGGTTTAATAAAGTCTACAGATCAAATCATTTGTTATTATTATTATTGTTATTATTATTTAACTAGTTAGAAACACATTATTTTGCTAATTTGGCTAGAGCATCATTGAATTGTAGAAATGTATGATATAAATATGTTTGATTGACTGATTTGTTGATTGATGAGTTGACTGATTGATTTATTTGAATAATTCAATTCAATAATAAATCAAGTCAACCAACTCACTAATAAGTAACTAATTAAACAACTAATTAAACAACAATTAATCAAACAAATGTATGAGATAACTTTCTAAAAAAAAGTTAAACTAGTTATAAAATAAACATCAAATAAAATTAATCTGCAAATTTTCAAGAGTTTAAAAAAATAAGCAAACCGTTTCATTGTAATTTTTTAAAATGTCTTCAGCTTTTACAACAAGATTCTGAAAATTTAGTTGAATTTAGTTTAGGTAAATATTTCAAAAAAAAATATTATTAAAACATTTGTTTGAAAATGAGAAAAACATTCTACCTTGAATTCTTCTCTATAATTTTGCAATTTCCTCGAGAGTGTGATAGCCACATTTGTGACTTCATCCAGTGAAACCTTCACTACCTCAACACTCGGCCCATTCCTGTCATAATTCTTTTAAAAAAGTTACAACAAAATCAGTGCACATTTAAACTATAGTTCACCAATATTCATTTGAGTTAGACAAGCAACCAGACACAAAACATCAACAAAATGCTAGATTATGCTAGGTAACTACTGCACAATTTAGGATGAGTTAAACATAAACAAATAAAAAACTTTGTTTAAGTTACTTAATTTTCAATTCCAAAACATCTCTAGGTGCAAAATTGACAGAGTGAAAAAAATTTTTTAAACATGATACATTGGTATAGGTTAAATGGTATTTTGAAGTGGTCCAATTTCTTAAATTTATCAAAAGTCATTGCCAAATAACATAACTCAACACAAAATTTGCATAAAATTTATTAAATCAACTAATATATTATCAAATTAACATATTATTAATGTAATTTTAATGATAATTAATAAATGAAGAAAGAAAATAACCAAATTTCACAGTGCATATTAGATGTATTACAATAGTTGCAATAGCAGCAGATCTAATGACAATAACATCTGCATTCATTCTCATAATTCTAATCAAAATGCTAATAGTATTGGCATTTCACCATCATTCTTTTCTCAAGTAGGCAAATATTTGAATATTTGAAACATACAGAAAAATTTTTAGGTTTAAATATAATTAAAAACAGAATATGAACTATTTTATTTTATTATATTTTCTCAAGAATTTGTCAAAACTATGAGCTCAATCAACCTTTGCAGTTGAGCAAAAATTTTAAAATCTAATAACCTAATAAAAAGCTACACACTACCACACTATTAAACAGAGCAATGCTCATAGATTGGAATAAATCCTAATGTTGTATTGTATAGAATGTCTAAGTGTCAATCGATTAATGAAAAGTTGGTTTTTTAGATGCCTACCTACTATTAATAATATCCATACAACAGGCAGATAAAAATGATGACTGCATGGCCTTATAACAATAAATTTTGTATGTTCACATCTTTTAAAGCGTTATATTACATTTCAAAATACCAACAGACAAACAGAAAGATAGACAAACAGACAGAGACAGACAGAGGCAAAGAAAAGATTTTAGTTTCATTATTATTCTCACTGAATTTTTATGAGTAAATAAAATACTAATTAAATATTCACCAGAAGTAATCTGAAACTTTTGACTTTGAAAACAAAAAAAAGTTGTTCATCAACTCATTTAAAAAAAAATACAGATTCTGCAACTTGTAAATGGAATTCAACTTTGTGCACCTTTTATAGCATTATTATTAAATTCTTGACATTTAGATTTACTAAACCAAGCTTAACATTATCACATTTAAAAAATTTTTAGAGTTTATATAAAAAAATAATAGTTAGGTTAAAATCATAACAATTTAATTATAATTATAACCAAATAGAAAGACAAACCTTCTGAATAGTTTCAAATTTTGTCATGTCCACCAGCAATTTAGAGACAATATTATTTGATATATCGCAGTGTGTTCTGGCAAATGTTAAAAATACATTAATTAATTAATTTTTAATTAAGTATATAATTATTAAAAATTAAATAATAAGAATGCCAATCTGTAGTTAGCCTCAAATGAACTTAGGTGGTCTTTTGATCCTTTAGTAATCTTTGAACATTAATTAACTTAACAGTACAATACATTACAGATTACACATTACAACACTGAACCTAAAATGTGTATTTGTATGGTCAAGAAGGTATTTTAAGATTAAGAATAGGATTTGACTGAAATAGAATTGAAAATAGAAAGTGTTAACAATAATTAATATATTAAAAAACTTAACATATTATTAAACATATTACTTTTATTTATTTATACATAACATTTTTAAATAATATTTATTTTAAATTAATTTAAAATGGACTTCTAAGAAGATTTATTTTATTCTAATATTCTAATGAGTTGAAGAGCAAGACTAAACTATATTTTTTAGTTCTATCAAATCTTTATATAAATTTTTAAAACAAAAATTTAAAAAAAAAATTGAAATAATCCAATATGTTTAATTAATTTAAGTATAGTACTGTACTGTACTCAAGCTGCTTGTAGTCTACTCTACAATCTAGCATCTAGCTTTTTTTAACATCTACTTACTTAAAAAAAATATACAAACCCTGTCAACAGTTGCAAAATCGAGTAAATAATAAAAAATGATTTTAGCATCGTTAATTTAATAGCGTTTGTTTCTTTAAGTTAAAATTTAAAAAATTAGTAACTTAAAATAAATAATTCTATAAAATAAGACGATAATTCAAAACAACAATGTCAAAAAATATTTAATTTACAAAGAACTACAAAAAAATATTTATCGCAAGATGTTTTCGCCTCGTTTATCATAGAATTGGTATATTGCATTTATCATAATAGTAAATATAAGTTTATATATTGCTTATTTCTATACAAATCTTAAAAGTTTTATATTTATTATTTGAGCAGACTTCAGCAGTTTCAGTTTAAAAAATGTTTAGAGGTTCGGTCTATTCCACTCTTCCTAGGTTCCGGGGAATCACCAACAATACACGAACAGAGTATATGGATACGATCGGTGCATCACACATGAAACGTGCAAAATGCAATAGGCGGAAATCTTTTTGTCATATTCAAACTCTGTCACTGCACGCACAGCAATAACTGATTGATTGATTGATTCATGGATATTATATATATCCATGGATTGATTGTTGGGCATTGGTACATTATCTATATATTTGTATCTATGTCTGGTATCTTTGATACATATATATCGATACTTTTGATATATATATATATACATATATATATATGTATATATATATATATATATATATATATATATATATATATATATATATATATATATGCAATGATATATACGAGTAACGTTAGTGAGGCTTCCTATAACATTCAGGATATCGCTTGTGGGACGTCTTAATGTTCGTACGTTAGGCATTTCTTACTTGTGGTAGATATCATTTTATTTTACTTATTTTTTACTTGTTGAAAATAATGGCTGCCATCGTGAGAATAAAACGCAGAAGAGACGAGGATCCGGTAGATTCGCTTGTGTTTGTCTGTAAGAAAGCCAAGTTATGCGAAAAAGTTGCTGCTGGGGATGAGGAGCAGCAGGAACTACTGAGGATTGAAGATAAATTCAAATTTGCCGGAACTGTTGATGATCTTGACGATCAGACAAACGCAAAAGTTGGTAGGAATCAGAATATTTAATAATTTGAAAGATAAAGTTCAAAAGAAGTTTTTGTTTACTTTTACAAAACTTTTTTCTGTCTCTTATATAATTTATTTTATAATATTATAATAAATAAAACTAAAAAGAAATGTCCTAGCTAAAAAATATAATTTATTCAATTTCAGGATGATTCTGTTATTAGAACAGTTAGGAGTGCAATAAAGAAACGTAAATTAGAGAATGAACAAATGAAAGTTTCTTATCAAGCAGCTGAGCCTCAACAAGTTAGAAAACCAAACAAATCATTAACAAAAGGGTAATCAATAGTTTTTCAAATTAAAAGATTAAATATTGAAATTTAATTTATTTCCGTACTCATACGAAATGTTTTTAATATTTCTAACATCTAACTATAACATGACTTTGCATTGTGTAGATATGCAATTATTGGGCAAAAGACAGCAGATAATTTGGATTCTTTAGGTAGTTCAAAGAAAGAATCTGTCACTGAAGAATCTAAATATTTCCTTTTCAATTTGGAAAAAATAGAGGAATCGTCCGAAGCCAAAAAAAATGAGATAAAGTCCAGCATAAGTTGCAATGATGCAACCTTGACCAGAGAAAAAGTATCCAATGATAAGAACTACGTTTACGATATCTTCTATATGAATGATTACAAATTTGATTTTTCACTTCTGCAAAATATTGAATCGGTAGAGGCCTACAGGTTGGTTAATATTCATAAATTATTTTACTATCTTTTAAATATTTGCGTTTAAATTAGGTTTAATTACACTTTATTATATTAACTTTAAATAAATTTAATGCAATCAATTTTTTCCTTAAATTAATGTTTTTTATTTTCAGGGAGACTTATGATTTTCAATACCTTGAAGATGCTGATGAAGAAGTTTACGAAGATGAAGATAATGAAGATGATGAATCTAATTGGAGGAATGATTACCCAGACGAAAACTTGTGCTTCTATGAATCAGATGATGATTATAATGGTTCTGATTATGAGAATGATGATTTGAATTGCTTTGGAGGTTTGTATGTCATTTTTTATTAAATTAATTATGCTTAATTAGCATGTTTAGCTAGGTACACTAAGATAAAATAATTTTAGTTGTGTTTCTACAAGTTCAGATAAAAAAAATTTTGTAAATAGCATTTTGTTGTGAGTATTTATTTTTATCCATTAGTGGCTTTAAATTTAAAGTTTAACTAACTTCCTATTTAATTTTAGTTAATGAAACAGATGATATGAAGGCAATTGTTTCACATGTATCAAGAAGATTAAGTTTGGGTAATTAATTTTTTAGATTATTTTTGTGTTGTAATGTTCTGCAATGTGAAAACAAAGTTAAATTGTTTAGTATGTTTTCTCAAGATTTATCTGTTGTTAAAAATTTCAAAAAGTGCATAATCTTTCCTAATTAAAGTATTTACTTATTGACGTAGTTTATAATTTCTATAATAGTTGGTATTCATGAATATGCTAAATTTGTGTTTGTTTTTTTAAGGTGGTGAGACAGCAGACAAATTGATGAAGCCCGGACAGAATAATCTTTATGATTCCTACAAACGAAACTATTTTAAATAAATATTTTATTATATTTATTGTTATGGAGTGCTACTTTTTATTTAAAATCTAACGTTCGTTGATTATTGTATGTATATGTAGGTGTGTTTATATAAGTTAGATCATACTTCGATCATTAAATGTGATGTAATAAATTTCTAACAATTATTTTTTGTTTCTTGTTCTTCAAATATTTCGGAATATGTAAAAAACGAATGTTAACAACGTTATAATGATTGTTGGATTTTAGCTGTGGACGTGTTTTAAAGGAGCGCCGTAGTTCGATTTTTTTGGAGTGGCGCCGATATAGCAAATTAAGCCGGTAGTTTTTACTAGATACATGCAGTACTCAATCTCCTAAACATGAAAATGTATAGTTTGGAAATGAAAATCTCCATGGTTTTGATATATTGTAACTTGAATCGACCGAATAGTTATTATGTAGCACTAATTACTAGTATAATTCGATTTTTTGGAATGTGACGCTGATATATAGCGAATTAGGCTTGTAGGTTTTACTGGATTCATGTGGTACTCAAACTCTTAAGCATGAAAATGTAATGTATATCTCGTCGACGTTTATTATATCTGTTAACTTGAATCATGGAATTATATAATTAATATAATATAATTATATATAATTATATTTATTTTTACAATATTCTATAAATTTTACCGAATGTTTGGCGTTAATATGTTTGTAGTTCGTTTTTTCAATTTTTCTCACTAAAGTTTTTTGGTGAAAGTTTTTTATTAAAGTTCAAAATAAACTTATTTTTCGAATTCATGGTGCATATATGCATTTATAAATTCTTTCCGGCATGAGTTTAGTTCATTCTTGACACTGCAATCAACATCACAGTGATCCCATTGATTCAACAATTCAGTTAGTTGATTGGACAAATCTAGAACTACCTTCCTTTTAACTTCTAATTCTTGAGAGAGATGGAGCAGTCGCTGCTCGCGATCTTGTTCGATTGTTAGATAGCGTCGGTTGGTCGCAGAACTTCGAGTAAATGTTGGTAATAAACTTCTAATTCTCGAGAGAGATGGAGCAGTCGCTGCTCGCGATCTTGTTCAATTGTTAGATTGCGTCGGTTGGTCGCAGAACTTCGAGTAAATGTTGGTAATTCTAGAAAAGGAAGGTAGTTCTAGATTTGTCTAATTAACTAACTGAATTGTTGAATCAATAGGATCACTGTGATGTTGATTGCAGTGTCAAGAATGAACTAAACTTATGCCGGAAAGAATTTATAAATGCATATATGCAGCATGAATTCGGAAAATAAGTTTATTTTGAATTTTAATAAACTAAACGTTCACCAAAAAACTTTAGTGAGAAAAATTGAAAAAACGAACTACATACATATTAACGCCAAACATTCGGTAGAATTTATAGAATATTGTAAAAATTATGGTCAATTACCAACAATTATATTTATATATATATTTATATATAATTATATATAATTATAATTACTTGAATCGACCGATTAGTTAGTTATCGTGTAACACTGAAGACACACTATAGTTCGATTTTTTTAAATTTATTGAATTAAGATAGTAGGTTTTTTGTATTCATATGGCACTTAATCTCCTGAGCATGAAAATGTATAATTTGGTAATGGGAATACCGATGTTCTTTGCTTTCGTGGATAATAGTTCTAGAAGATAGTTTTACAATACTGAAGGATATAAAGATACTAAATGCTGACAAGAGTATTAACAAAGTTAGTTTTACAACACCCCGGATTAAATATACATTATTTCCGAATAGTAAAATTTTTTGAGATTCTTTCATTATAATGCTCTAATTCAGTTATAAATTGTAATAATATTAGTAATTACATGTATAGATAGTATATTTTATTTATATAAGTTATTATATATGCTTTATTCGGCATTATTTAAGTATAATAAAGATATTAAAATGACAGAAAATTCACTTTAAATGAGAATTTTATTTTTCTTTGCATCATCGTAAAACATATATTTTTTACTTTCTTTGTTTGCTTAGACGATAAATAGCAGGCCCGGCGGTCGCTCCTCACATTTTGCGTCAAGTTAGCTTAGGTAAGCATCCTGTGTTATCGCACGTTCTACGTTCTCAGATTAAAATTTTCATTGAAAGTTGAAATGGCCGACAATATGGATGATCTGCTTGATTACGAAGAAAATGAAGATGTTGATGCAGTAGAAGAGAGAAATGGAGTCTCACAGAAGAAAGATGTCAAAGGAACCTATGTGTCCATTCACAGTTCTGGATTCAGGGATTTTCTCCTAAAACCAGAGTTATTGAGAGCCATTGTTGACTGCGGATTTGAACATCCATCTGAAGGTTTTTTAATTTTTTAAAATTTTATTGTAAATTATAGATACAATTGTATAGATATTTTTATTATCCTCTTGTATTTCAACCTCTATCTATGATCTGTATTGTTGCAGTGCAATCCTCATGAAATTCTTATATCTGCTTCATATGTGCATATAAGCATATGAATTAAGCATTTTTTAAATTGTAATTTATGTTGTTTAATATATTTGTGTTTTACTTTTATATTGTGTTATAATATTTGTATGTTCTAAGATAAGTTAATTAATAATTTTTTTTTAAATATTAAAAATTTTTATTTTATTGTTATTTATTTCTATTATCTATTGATTCAGTTTGTCGTATGTTTATGCCAGGTATTTTAAAAGTTATAAAATATATTTTATTGCTTTGCAGTTCAACATGAGTGTATACCTCAGGCCATTCTTGGCTTGGATGTTGTGTGTCAGGCAAAATCCGGCATGGGTAAGACGGCCGTTTTCGTGCTGGCAACACTTCAACAGCTGGAGATCGTTGACAAGCAAGTTTCCGTTTTGGTGATGTGTCATACAAGAGAATTAGCCTTCCAAATAAGTAAAGAATACGAAAGGTTCAGCAAGTATATGAATGGTGTCAAGATTGCTGTCTTCTTCGGTGGAATGGCAATAACAAAAGGATGAAGCAACTTGGAAAAAAACTGTCCCCCAAATGTTGTTTGGTACCCTGGGAAGAATTCTTCTTCTGGTTAGGGAAAAGACTTGGAATCTGAAGCATTTGAAGCACTTCATTCTTGATGAATGTGACAAAATGTTGGACCAATTAGGTTTGTTCATTTGTTGCTGAGATGTATATTTTGTAAATTTTGATGCAATTAATAGTTAAAATATTAGGCTATATTTGTTTATAAAACCAAAATTGCATAATATTTTAGTTGAATTTGTTGTGGGATTATATTTATATTATTTATACCACTTGCAATATATATTGTTCATTCTGTTGAATGAACACTAGCGATGAAAATAAATTTTTACTCCAACAGATATGAGAAGAGACATTCAAGAAATCTTCAAATCAACCCCTCATGAGAAGCAAGTCATGATGTTCTCTGCCACACTCGGAAAGGATATTAGACCTGTCTGCAAAAAATTCATGCAAGATGTAATGATAACTTTTTACCTTCTCAGTTTCATCAAATTCCTTACCTTCCATCTCATCAGCCTAAAATCAGTTGAACAATTTTTGAAACTAACAAATAGTGAATGTGAAAATAATTTTTCCTCTTGATGCTAAGCATTTTGGTAAAAATAGTTTATGGTTTGGTTAGTGGTGGGACATGTCGGATATGTTTGTGTGAGGGTACAATATTTTTGGTTTAGGTGGTGCTAAGAAATCGATTTACTCCTCTGAAGATTAAAATTTGGTTATAGAAAATGTTTGGTCTAGCTAGGTCTTGGTAAAAATAATTTAAACTGACGATTAAATTTGGCTCTACCTGGTATTAACATTTTGATTTTGGTAATGCTACAAAATCAGAAGCAAATAGAAACTGGTTGATACACCCTGATTACATTGTGGGGGCATGGAAACCATGTACTTTGATGGCTGTGCACATGTGATAGTCACAGAACATCTCCATGCCAATGTTTTCATCATTGCACACCACTGCTTATCAGGATGGTCCCAATTTGTGAAATGAAGTTTTTTGAAATATTATTTTTATCTAAAATAGCTTGTTTTATTATGAATTCTATAGTTTTATATATTTTATTTTTTCATAGCCAATGGAAGTATACGTGGATGATGACTCCAAATTAACATTACACGGTCTCCAACAACATTATGTAAAATTGAAGGACAATGAAAAGAATAGAAAGTTGTTTGAGTTGTTGGATGCTCTTGAGTTCAACCAGGTGATCATATTTGTCAAGTCCATACAGAGGTGTGTGGCTCTTTCTCAGCTGCTCGTCGAACAAAACTTTCCTGCCATTGCCATCCACAAAGCAATGAGTCAAGATGACAGGTAATTGATATTTTTTAATGTTTCATGTTTTTTTTACTAAGACATACATTTTCATATGAGATGGAATACTTACACCGTGTTTGGTTTCTTGTTTTCAGGTTGAGTCGTTATCAGCAGTTCAAAGATTTCCAGAGTAGAATACTAGTTGCAACTAATTTGTTTGGCAGAGGGATGGATATTGAAAGGGTCAACATTGTCTTCAACTATGACATGCCTGAAAACTCTGACACTTATCTTCACAGGGTACCTTTCTTAGTTTTAAAATTTGCATCTTTTCTTCAATCAGTTTTATCTAGTTGCAATTTGATACAAGCCTTGTACTAATTTTAATTAAAATTTTTTCAAAATAGGTTGCTCGTGCTGGCAGATTCGGTACAAAAGGATTGGCTGTGACTTTTGTGTCAGATGAAACTGATGCCAAGGTGCTGAATGAGGTGCAGGAAAGGTTTGAAGTGAACATCACCGAACTACCTGATGTCATTGACCACACTACATACAGTACGTTTTGCTCAAAAGAATTTAAACTTTATAAATTTTGAATATTTCGAATATGTCTCAATTTTTAAAATTCTATTAACAATTTTTAATATTTCTGTAAAATTTTATTTTCAATAATTCAATTTCAGTTGAGAACAACCATTAGATGGAGTGAAAATCATTGGATGAAATGATACCCTGAGACATTGTACATATTGTTTATAACTCTGAAGATAATTGCGATATATATTGACATTGATGTAGACGCTTACAATTGATCAATGGTACATTTAAAGACTTCTGTGTGTCTACATTTATAGTTACGCAATTATGCTTCCTTACATTGTTGATATAATTTTTTATATATTTTTTTAATCATGCTGTGACTGCTTTGTTTAATGTATATCTATACCTGTAATAAGTTAAACTGTTAAATGTAAATAAAGAGTAATGAAAAACTGAATTGTGTTAAATCTCTTTGAAATTCCCGAGTTAAGTAAATTTGATTATTTAGAACGCGATTTAGCGAATTATGTGGTTTACAAGTTGGTTTATGTGGTTTACATGAATGTTTGATTTAGTTAGCATAGTGGTATTTGACAGCGGTCTTCGCTCTTTCGTATAAAAAAAAGAGATGCCCTTACCGCTGAGTATCAGGTTATTGACGAGAGATATTGCGTAGAATAAATATAGTGCTTCCAAGGTGCTTCCAGGTTTATGTCTTAATTCGTATGCGTAATTTAATGGTTAGCATCGTTTCAAATGTTGGAGCATAAGATTGGGAAAGTGTGAAAAGTTATGGAAATGCGAAAACTTGGGATATCAAACAAATTTTTTGTATATTGTGGAATTAGAATATAATAGTGTGATTATTTATTTATTAGATAATTGAATCGACTACGTACGGATCAAACGCTTCACTTCCCCTTCTATGTACTGTAATTCAATTGGTTTGAAAGCTAAAACAACTATAAATAAATTAAAATAAATAAATGAGAAAAATTGAAGTTGACATCATTCATTGCTTAACGTTATAGTTTATAAAACTTTGCTACGAATTATTACTGAAGTTTTTCATAGAATTCGTGCGTGATACATAAAATTAAGTTAATCAAAACAATAATAATATTTTATTAAAACATGCTATGTAGTGTGCAAGTTAAATTTTTTAAAGGATTATTTTAAAGTTAGTAGAAAAATTAAGGTGCGTCGAAACAATTGTATGACTAACAATTATGTTGGTAAGTTTTCGTTGGAATTCAAATCAGTTGAGTGGAGAAAACTACAGCGAGTGGATCTAACTAACCCTTAGTAACTTACAGTTTAAAGGAAGTTGTAGTTTCTGTTAAGTCGACGAACGTTATTGAAAGCAGCACGATGAAGTTCTTCCTGGCATTTGTCGTTCTTACTCTCTCCTTGCAACAAACATTGTCCAAAGCGAAGCCAGGTTTTTTTACTTGAAGTTTTTCGTTTTTGGTAATATTTATTTAGTTAAATTATTTAAAAATCAATGTCGAGATAGTTTTATATAATTGGATGGCAATGGTTTAAAAATCTCAGAAAAATTGATGTAGATTTTAATTAACTACTTCAGTTATTTTAACAAAACGATATATTAAAATATAAATTAATAGTGATAACAAAAATTTTGGAAAAATATTTTCAATTATTAATTGCATGTTTTAGTTGTTTGAATAGACAATGTAACTTAATGTAACTATAGGTAGCAGTAGTGAAACATTTTTTAAAAAACGAACTTATTAAAGTTATTAAAATAAATGTTTTCAAATTTAATTAAACGATATAATTAATTATAATTGAATAGCAATAGCAAACAAATTCCTGGAAGACCAAATTACCGTTTTGGAACGTCAGAGGAAGCAGTTGGAGCATTTGGAGCAGCTGGTCAGCTCGCAGCAGAAAGAACTTCAAAAGCACCAAGAAGAATCGCAGTCGGTACTATCGCAAAACGATGATGAAGCCACTCCAGCTACCTCAGACGACTCAAAACCGTCGGGACCCATTTTGTACCCTGCCGACATTGGTGTAAACAGTTGCGCCCTGGAAAGCCACCCCTGTCTCCACGGAGGAACGTGCTTTTACATGTTGGAGGCAGCTGCGTGCATGTGTGCGCCCGGCTATTCAGGCCCGCAGTGTGAATGTAAGTGCATTTCAATTATTCAAATGAACTGATAGATAGTGATACTCATAAAGATAATATTTTAAATTATTAATTAAAAAACAAATTACTGAGAAATCTACTTTTTTTTGTTTTAAACGTTTTAATTTGTGCCGTCAAAGAAGGAGATGATATTTATAATTAATAATTAAAAAAATAAATTACTCAAAAATTTATTTCATTTTTAACGTTTAGACGTTTTAACTTGTCCCACCAGACTTCCAAGGAGAACCAGAAGTAGTACCAGAACAGAAGAAGGACGTCGTGAATGAAGATTTTAACGAGCTAGTGCCATCGGAAAAAGTTTCAATTTCAAACGAACGAGCTCCCCGTCAGCACGTACATTCAAAACCGCACAACAACATCAAGACCGCTAACGTTCAAAGCAAACATTCCGCAGAGTCAAATTTGTCATCCGATAAAAAAACTTCCGACGAAGAAGAAGACTCAGCTACAACTTTAGCAGCTGCCACCACAACAACTACTACAACTACAACGACTACAACAGTGAAAGCAGTTAGCACAGAAAAGGTTGAAGTCGGCACGACCACCACTACGACTACCACAACAACTCAACAAAACCACAAGTCGTCAACTCCTGTCGTTTCAACCACGCATAAAAAATCAAATGCACCTCATCCTTCAGCAGCAGCGGCGCACTCCAAATGAACCAAACATTTCACCTTTCTCATTCAATTGCACGGCTACAAACTGCACACATTCAACTAAATATGCCGACATTTTTTTTATATAAAAAAATGACTCGAGTTAAATAGCTGTTAAATATTTTGTTGACTTTTAGAGAAATTTGTTAATGCAAGACTTGTTTGAAGTTGCGTTAATGTTTACATTATGTGCGTTTTTCAATCTATTTCTGATGGTGAAAATAAATAAATCCATCTTAAATTAGAAACGTCTTTTTGCTTTGCTCTAAAAATAAAACTCCTCTTACGAAAGAAATTTCAAGTTTACGAAAACAAAAAAAATTATTTCAAGAAAGATTACATCCAAAATATTTCAACTTCTCTAAGCACATAAATACGTTGATGCGGTATTAATAAAATCTCGAGTATTAATAAAATCTCAATATATCATCCTCAATTGTTTTTTTATGTGATTTGTTTTATCAACTGTTTCTCTGGCTGTCAGGCTGCTGTCAACTGAGAACTTCCTAGAGTATAGAACAGAGTTATGTAAGTAATTCTGTCGTTGGTGGGTTCCTTAAATAAAATAAAAAGTGACTGGCGTCCATAAATTCAGATTCGCTTATTCTGTTATCAAATATTTTGTAGGAAAATAATTTTTCATTAGCGGTTGTTGAAGCAAACCTTAACAATAAAGAGCAGAGAGAAACAAATTTTATTTGTTGATAAAAAAGTAAAAACAACAACCCATAACTCGCATGTTTGTGCGTGTGCCTTTGTGTGTGCGTGTGCTTGTCTCCTTGTTTGTAATGTGTGATGTATGCGAATATGCAGGAATATTTGTATAGCAATATAAAAACATTGAAAGATTTTGTGCAAACAGACAAGTAGATAAATGCAGGCGTGCTTAAACCATTTATCCAGAGATGATATTCCTTTCTTATCACAACTAAACATAAAATGTTGTAACATATTTTGTATTTATTGGATATGTTAGTTACTTTTACGCATAAATTAAATTCTTAATGTCGTACATAAGAGTGGCGCCTTATGGTAGGACATGTGTGAATTGAATATGCTGAATTAACTTATTATTTTACTGGTAACATCTCAAGATGTTGTTAAATAAATTATTAAATTTTAATCTGCTTCAAGTTTTTATTGTTCTTAATTTGTTACAAAAGTTTTTAGATTAAGTTTTTAAATTTCACAGCATATATTTGAAATGTGTGAATTGAACGGTCGTTAAATTATTAAGCATGTCTGGCAAAGTTTCTTAATTTCGTAAAATTAACATTCATTCTTTCTTGCAGCAAAAGTTTAAAAAAATAGAAAGATCAAAATGTATCATTATTGCTAAAAATCAAATCATGATTCTCGAATACGTTTTGTTAACTGAGAGACAGGATATATCCAAAAATAACATACGTTCGCATCAACCATTGCTCACTCTCACACATCCAGTACCATCCATCACACGCACACGCATTCAATACAAACCATCACACACAGATACACGCACGCACACATACATCCAACGCAAACCATCACACATTGATCCAACAAAAATAATAATCAAACACATCCATCTCTAATACAAAACCATCAAATGCACCATAACATAAACACACACACACAAATCCATCCAATGCAAACTATCACACCCACACACACCTACGCACGCACACAATTACACACGCACCTACACGCACACACACACACACACACACACACAGACTCATTCAATGTCTTCAACAATGTGCTAGTATTGCAGAGGACATTAAGAAAGCAAAGCAGCATTTTGTAGTGTTGATGAGATGAGATGGGTGGCTGGTTGGTACTTTGAAAGACGCACGTTAGAGCATAAATATCATGATGAAACAGACTGTTGGACAGGATTAGCCACATAAAAACCATTAACATACGATCAGGCGATGAATGAATGAATGAACGGAAAATGAATGAATGGAAGAATATATCAATGCTTGTGTGTATGAAAAAACGAATGAGTGAGTGAATGAATAAAACAATGGATGAATGAATAAATGCATTACAAATGAGCGTTCTATAGCAAAAAATATAAACGTTGTTAGAATGGAAGGTTTGTCAGTAGATGTCAAATGAAGAGAGAGGGATGAGAGTCATTCGATGATGAGAACATCAGACTCCAGAAAAAAATTCACAGCGTCAGCAGTGCCAGATATGACAACGCTGGACACTCTCCAATGCATTGAGAACCTGAGCAAAGATGTGAATTTTATGTGAGGTCAGCGTCTCGTTTGAAATTCAACGTCCATCTTTGCGTAACAAATGGCAGAAATTGTTTTATGAATAATCATTGGCAATGAAGTCACGTTCTATTGCGCGGGTGACATGTGGACTCATGCTCTAAAATTGATATTGTTCTTTTCTCTAGAATTTTGTTTCGTTATAATTTGTGATGGAATTGTGTTAACCATTTTTCTGTGTTTACATATTTTGGAATTGAAAGGGTTGAACAATCAGGTGATCAAGCTAACGCAAGCAAACAAATAAACATACGAAAAAACAAATCATCTAATACATTTTATGAAACAAATTGTTTCATCGGAGAAAAATTTGGAAATGCGCTGACAATCAAACAGAAGAAGAAACGATG